TATTCAAATTATATACATATTCAATTCGCCAGATCACGATAAGCGCATTATTTTTGCAGTGAACTGATTTTTGTGATAATCTTAATTGCTGTTTGCTACTCATATTTAATTATGTTTTAAGCGCATATCTATATTTTCTCGAATATAGATAAATAAAATATGAGTACTTTATTTATCAGCGGTCACAACACTTTCATTTAGTCTTTACCTTTTTCAAGATTTCAGTTCAATTTATAATCATGCCCTGCCCTGCCCTGCCCTGTCTCAGGGCAGAGCAAGGCAGGATATAGCAGGGCGCAGGACAGGGCAGGGCAGGGCAAAAAAAGTTGCCCTGTGGCGGTCTCTGTTGTGGAGTGGTATGGGTAGCTTAATTGTTCATAATTTGTTTGTGGCTGTAACAGTGTATCAAATGAGGTTCTCATATTTTTATCCGCTAAACGGTTTTTTTATAACGTTGCTGCACTGTTTCTGTTTTGCCTGTTTAAGATTGTACGCTTTTGCATTGTGATCGTGAAACAAAATGAGTTCGACTATGAGAAATGTGATGCATAATATTGAGTATATCTCAAAAGAAGAACAAATCGATCAAGAAAGCGGTAATCTTTGCAGTTTGAAATAAATGGGAAGTAGTATTTTCTATGTTTAGATGGTGTTACAGAGTGTCCAATTTTCCAATGGAAAGTTGGTGATGTTTGTCATGATGCCGATTGCAATAGTGTAGAGGTATCTGATGATATTGGACAAGAAAATGTCAAAGTTGTTGATGACGATGAAGTGTTCACAGAGATAGAATCGACCGATGCTGGAAATAGTGATGCCGATCTTTTAAAAGCGCCTGTTTTCTCGAAAGGTGGTGCAATTCATTTTTTAGGAACTCTTAATCAATCGTCGCTTGTGGATTCTTCTGTCGGTATGTTAATTTATAATCTGTTATATGAATTGTGTTTAAAATTTTTGTGTATGTTTTAATATAAGAATTCAAGAAGAAAAAACGTTCTTCCAAAGACGAATATGATAATGCTAATGCTGATGGTGATACAATTCGTATGAAAAATATGGACGATTCTGCACAAAGATCATCACATTTTATCTATTCTTTTCGTAAAAGACAACGTGTTGAACCAGAAAATGAAACTAAAGTGTCAGAAAAACTGGTTGTTGGTATGTCGTATTAAATTATTTTTCATTAATTTCCATTCCCTTCTATAATCTCAGATTTAATCTTTTTTTTCAGTTGTTATACAATGTCAGTCTCGTTATTAGCAGTTTTTTAAGTTCTTCGAAATATTTTTTTCTATAATGTTTTGTGTGATACTTTTTTATGTCGTCGTGTATTTAAGGTTACTTCCTTTATTTTCGTGAAAGAATTCTTTTTATGGAAATGACAATTTTTGTTTTTCGTAAGACGCTGTATATCTTCTTAAATTGTCAGTATATCTCACTGATAGGCTCCATACATTATCTACAATACGAGTTTTGTATATTTTGTCGAATAGATAGTGTAAGCAAGAGTGTAATGTTGTCAAATGAGAAATCATTAAAAAATATTTAAGTAAATTGTTTCTCTTTTTCTAGTTAAAGATGGCGAAGAATCTACCGTTTGATAAATATTTCATGATAATGTGACTTTCAATAAAAGTATTGATTTTTTTATTCGTTCAGGAAATCGAATGGTTAAGGAAGCGGTTGAATATGAAAATGAAAATGGACCATATGATCTACAAAGATGTTCAGAAAAATTTGATGTCATAAATGGAGTTTCAATACAAGAAATCAGTCACATACTTGATTTAAAATCCTGCAGTATTAAAAAGATGCCAGCGAAAAACTGCAACTTCCACGTGCCGTAATATATTGAAATTAAAATATCCATATTCTAGCACAAATGTGAAGTTTTCACATCTAGATCATTATATAATTGATGCTATTATAAGTAATGCTTTAACTAAATTAATTTTACATTTAAAGAACTGTTTATTTTTAGAATGTACTAAAGTTTCCAATCATTTCGATCAATCAACTGAATCACAACTGCGTCGTGCGATGAGTTTCTATTTTTCAGGCATGGCTTACAAAGCAAAAAAAGGCTGGATCCTCAAAAGAAAAAGTTAATTAAACCTACTGAATGATAGTTGATCAATGATTATAAATGGAATGGAACTATTTTTGAACTGATATAAACTAAAGGCATAACTTATGTTGTCTAACTTTATTGAGTCGTTTTTCTATCTGATTTTTCGTTTTTAGTTGAATTTATCTTCATGATTTATGTTAATTATTTTTAGAAGAAAAATTTATATAAGCTGTTTTTCTTCTAAAATTTCATTTCTTAATATTTTTAAAACATTCTTTGTATTATTTGCTTTGCCTTTAGTCAGTAATTTTATTCAAAAAAGAAAAAAAAGCGTCGCTCGTATCATAATTCTATTTTAATGTCATTCACATATAGCGAAAATATGAGTGCCTTTCAATCTCAAATTGCATCAAGCTTTATTTTGAATCTAGTATTCATCGATCGTACTGTGCATGAAATGATTAGATACAAGATCTTCTCAAGTAAACCATTTTATAAAAAGCATGCTACGCAAATCTATAGAATTTTATGACACAAACAGTGAATAAAGTCAGATTTTATGTGTGATAAATGTATTGATCTCCTAATTAGTATCAATTTATTTTAAATGCATATTTCAGAAGCAGTTTGAAAATATCAATAGGTAGGTTAATAAGGGCGTTCGTTTTTTGCTGTATTTACGTCCGTCACAATCCTAATAAAATTCTCTACAATACATCGAATAATAGCAGAAGTTTTATTGAGTGTTGAAATAAGCGAATATATTTCCGCCAGCCTTTTTGTTTGTATAGACTTGATTTAAATATAAGAATAAAAATAAAATAAAAAGAAGAAGGATGAGATTGTGCATCTCTTCCTTTAAAGACAAAACGAATCAGCCTTGAATATGACATTAAAACAAACAAAAATAAAAAAAGAGAGAAGAACCTGAAAGTCAAAGACAAAAACGAAAATAACGAGAAGACCCTTGAAATAAAAATAAAGACAATAACTATGTTCTGCTCTCTTAAAAACAGCTGAAATAAAACTTATCGCGTCTTTTAGTAATAGTTCATTCGTTGTTGTCATTTGGTGGTGTGGGATTCGTATTACCATCATTATTATTCAATATTTGCTGTTCTTGTTCATATATCTTTTGCTTCTTGTTAAATCTCTTTCTCTCGTAGCACAGAAAATTTACCAATTTACGGCGCAAGCATACATTAAAAAATTCATCATATGCTGACCTGCTTATTCGATATTTGTTACGAACGGCTCCTAAAAATAAGGAAAAAAAATCATTTCGATTCATTTATTATCGCAGAAACAAATAAAAACAATTTTCTCAAAATAATAAAGCATAACGTTCTTGTTTAACACTTGTATGTTGAATAGTATTACGAAGTTAACTTACTGTGAAATTTTCGGAACCTTTCATTATCCAATTGTTTACGAGAAAAATGATTGCATGATGATGGTAATATCGATGATGTCAACTCGTCAGGTTTATATAATACTCGAAGAACTTGACGGGCATATTCTCCATAATCTTTAGCATAAATTTGCAATAGATTAAAACCTTCATGATCCTAAAGATGCACATACCATGGAGTTAGCATGGTTTTAATTATGATATGGATTATTTCAATAATTGATATTACTTACAACAGCTGATTCAAACTCTTCATTTGAAGATGATCTAAACTGTTCAATTGATGTTGTTTTCTACAATGAAAAAAATCTCGGTTGGCAAATAAGAATCACAATAGAAAGTAGCAGAATGTTTTTGAAAGTAGTATGCGAATGTGATTGTAATTTTTCAATCAAAATTAGCTTCAGTAAAACTCGAACTAATTATAGTGTAAATTCTAGATTCAGTGTTGGATATGTATATTATAATATTGTAGTAAGATTGCATAGACATTATAAACTGATAAAAAAAAGCAAAATTAATCATATACTACAATGAGTCACACGAACATTTAAAAAATTGTGATTTTACGATTGATAATACTGAAGATTTCAATGTTTTTCTTAGATCAAAAGTGTCAGTGAAAAGTCGATGCTAAGATTATCCTACACACTTACAATAGAAAGACATGATGCAGCAAGTCGATTGAGACGTTTCTCCAATCTTTCCATATGTGTATCTAATAAGTAATTTAATTTCGCAGAAAAATCACTAATATCTGTAGAAAGAAAAAGAAAAAAGTTGTCAATTTATAACGAAGAATGATTCCGGCGCTTTTCTACAAACCTTTTCCAATCAATTTATACAAATTATGTCCCGAATTGACAGGTGTTGATTCATAATTTATTCGTGATGCTGTGTTATTCTCAACTAAAATATAGAATTAGCCATTAGTCATAAAAATGTTTAGTAGATAGTGAACAAGTAAGTATAAAAAATGATAAAAGTCCTACTAGCTGTTGTTTCTTCTTCATCCGATTGACAACTATCATTTGTCATACTTTCTTGTGATGATTCTACTATAAAAAAATTCAAGTAATTTAAAGCCGATACATCAATTAGTAATGAATATCTTATCGAAATGTTATTCATACTATAGTCACCTTCAAGTTCTTCGTTACCTTCATTATCCTCCAGCTCATCAAATTGCGATCGTGAAATGGTTCTTGGAATTTTCTTTGGTGGTTGATCATCGTCTAAAATAAATTTTTAATTGTTAGTCTCGTTTTTCTTAAGTAAAAGCTTTGAAAGAAAAGCAAAATGAAAATATCTATGAAAGTGAAATAGAAAACAAAAACTTATAAATCTAAGACAAAAGGACAAGGTAATCTTCATCGTTACAGACTTTAAATTTTACATTGAAAGATACTTTCAAATTCTTCATTATATTTCGAGCTGATCTCAAGTAATCAATGTCTTATTATAACTTAAAACAGTTCTTATAAGACAAGATTTTTTGATTCTCACAACAAAATCAACAACTAACTATGTTGATTTTTCACGGAAAACGTATGGTTTTATTATATTTTGATCGCTTTTAGTCAATTTTCATATATTTTCATTCTTTGTTATTTTCACATGTAGCTCTTGTTTCTTTAAACGTCATATCAATCGTAATTAAATAGTCAAGTTTATCTTACCGGCTTCGTCACTATCATCATCATCGTCGATATTCATTTGATTTTCGATTGATGACAATCGTGAACGAACTCGATTAGTTCCCATCGGCCGTTTGCCCGGTTGCACATGACGAATCACTAAATAAAAACACAATACCATATTCCTAAGAGAAAAAGAATCGTAACAATTGAACCAAATGTTTTCTAATAGTTTACAATTAAATCGAGATAATACTTTAATTCAATCGAATGTATTATTATCCACTTTTATGTATATGAGAAGCTTATTAATTTTAATTTTTAATATTTTTCTCTCAAGAAATAATGGATTAGAATGACATAAAAAAATTCTTATACATAATGCGTAGTATAAAATTGTTGTGTATACTACCATTGAGAGCTTTCAGCGGCTGGTTCGTTGGTTGTGGTGGTGATAGACTTGATGGTGTAAATCGTTTTGGATTCGTTACCACACGACCACGACTGGTCACTTTTCTTGTTTGTGTATTCATTTTTTTTGTAACAATTTATATCTGAAATTTAACTATATTTCTCAAAAACGAAAAAATAAACAAAGTCATATCAGGACAAAACGGTGAGATCATGCATTTAGTGATGTATTTTGCTCAGAATTAATTTCCATTAACTAATTATATGACTGAAAATTCATGAGTTAAAGTGTGTTCAAGTTATAATATTTTCTAAATATAAAAAACAGAAAATTTTCATCGGTTTATGAATTAAATGATTTGAAATTACTTAAATACCTATTGTAGTTTGACTCCCAAAAAATATTGTATTGTTGCAATGCGAAAGAAAGAAATCATTCAATAGTAGTAGAAATAAGTATAGCAAGTACTATTTCAAATTTCAATATTACACACGTAAATATAAAATACAATTGAGAGTCATTAGATTCAAAACAAAATAGTATTGATGATAAAATAATGCATACAAAACTTTAAATTCATTCCGTATGAAACGAATAACTAAAAAGAGAATCTTATTGAAAAATCGTAAAATAATTCAGTTTTGAATGATATTGACTTGCAACAAGAAAATAACAAAGCATAGTCATATATTTGGCAGAATACCTAAGATCTAATCAAAAAATCAATTTTTTCTTAAATATTACTTTGTACTACTTATACACGATTCCTGATGTTACATACATTGTTTTTCTGTTGAAAAAATTTACATTCATAATAATTAAAATAGCCTTCAGCTCATTCTCTACGAAATGTCGACTTGTTCCATTGTTTCATATTATATTATGAAATATCTGTTTTCTTAAATGTTGTTCAGTCATGTTCTTCATATGAAGAAATTGGTGTTACAAAAAAATAAGGATATTTCTCATCGTGAAATATAACACAATGATTTTTGATATGTTGAACACTTATGCATGCATAAGATTCTGTAGTATTAACTACAAAATAGAAACTATCGAGAGTTGGACGTACTGTGTCGTAATATGCTGAGTATTTTAAAAAGTTACTGAATGGTTGCTTGATTCTGAACTGCTCTTTATAAGAAAATAGCAGCTATAATTATCCTGGAAGAAAATGATCACTTCACCAAAACCAATTTGATTATTTAACGATTCATTCATTCACATATTCCACCGTGTAGCTATTCGAGAGACCTCTACGACGATATGCCAATGAATGATATATACGACCGCCAATAAAACAACGTCGATAATCGTGTGAGATAAATTAAAACAACACCGTTTATGTTGCTCGAGAATTGCCTTGTTGTTCACAAACTGTCCTTCAGATATGATGTCAAATGGCTCATCCTTCAACGAAAATGACGAACGTTTAAAATTATTGAGACAAACATCAACACTATAGTAATGCATAACCAAATCTCCTAAGTATCTAGTTCCTAATCATAAATAAATAAAAGTTATAGATATTATTTATGTTTTAACAAAAAAAGATGAGTTTTCATAAATATTTCGATACGTACCATTCCTGTCAGATGCAATACTTCCCATCAAATCCTCTTGAGCGAAGGTATTCACATAAGTTAATGATCCATGTAGTTTATAATTCATGAAATAATGTGCATGTAAATGAAGAACAAAATTCTCCATATAAGTATAATAAAAATTATGATGTTCATGATACATTTTAAGCAATTCATTAGCTATATCATCTGTTGATTCACGAACTTTTTTATGTGAACTATGTAGAAGGCGTACACCACAAATGAATAATGCAATATGTCCAAGTACATTACAGGGCAAAACATTGTGAAAATGCGGAAGAAAACCATATAACAAAATATTTTTAATTTCACTGGCTTTAATATAACTTAACTCCTCGATACCGCGCATCTTTCTTTTGAAATAAAGGGGGAATACTTGTCGTCGCAATTTTGAATCAATTGTTTTTCTTAGGCTTGGAGATAATGCACGACCTATTGATCGAATTACATCTTTAAAATGTCTCAAAAGCGATACATGTCCATAATCACATATGATTGACGTTGGTAATGGAACATCAAGAATGCTGTCCAATATACATCTCCCTAAGTGTCCATAAACATTCATTTTGGAAGTAAAGTCATTAACCAATATTCCTGAAAGTGAATAAAGAATACTAATTTCAACTAACAAAAGTTTGATTACAGCATCCACTACTTTTTTAACAACCCAGAAATGCACACATGTTAGAAATATCATCCGTTTTAGTTTTTTCTCTGCTATTAGAATCAATTATATTCTATGCATATACTGATATCATATAAGCTTTACTTTTTAATTCACTAAAATAAATTTGATACGTGTTTTTTTCGTAACTCAGCAATATATATAACAAGTTGTACATGATAATCCTGTCTTCCAGGTTTTGATTGGCAATTAGCATCAATTTAACAACATTGAAAATTTACTTTCTATTCGTTGATTACGACTTAATTTTAGGTCTTCGAACCTATTACGAAAATTGATGTTTCTAAACAACATACCGTTAGTCTTTAATAACTTCAACATTTGAACGCTTTCATTAAGCCACAAATGGATGCCAGGTTCTTTACAAGCAACCCACATGGATATTAACGGCATATTTGCACGACGATATCGTAGAGTTGGTGGTAGTTCAATAACGAACGTGCTAAATAACCACATTTTCAATTTCGTACTCTTACACCAGTTAATACCGTCTAGATGAAAAATTAAGCTTAAAAGGTTTTTGTTCACAATTTTTCTTTAACAAATCTTGGTATGTTGATGCGAATGGAATATCATATATGCTACATCACTATTTCCACTAATGATTTTCTTTTTATAATTTTTAATGTCATCTGTTAGTTTATTCAGTATTGATAAGAAAATATTGGGAAAGTGTGTATCATAAATAAATATTAAATTTTTCCGGTGAAACTCTGGACATGATAAACATCTTCTAACTTTTAAATCTAAAGTTGATCCACAAAGTGAACATATAATTCGTGTGTTGAAATAATTATTTATATCTAAAATTGACATCAATTCATCAATAGAACGAGGCATTGAATTAGGAATTGGCAAAATACTTCGGAAAAATTCTAAAAAACGTTCAGCTTGCAACTTACTAACTTGTGAATCACGAAAGAGCTCCATTAATCTGCTGCATGCATCTGATAAACGAATGTTCGTGTAATAATGTAAACGTTCACCATTTCATGCAACTTGTTGTTGCTTCTGTACTGCTTCAACGTCATCATCAGTATCATCATCATTAGATTGTTCGTAATTTAATTGCATAAAACTGGTAGTGTCATAAATTAATGAACTCGGTAAACTTGTTGCCTGTGATATTTTCTGGGCATGTTGACTTATGCTCGCATCACTAACCATTGATTCATTATCACGTATTCCACGACGACAGTCATCCGAAAGATTACAATAATCAGACAAATCCATACGATCGCCGATATTAGAATTTTGTTTTCGTCCATCATTTCTTTTTTTATTTAATGTTTGTTGTTTCTCAAGACCTAAATCAATATCTTCTTCGATGCCACTAGCAATCCAATGATCCATAAAGGTTTTATTAATTATCGTTTCGTTTTTGGCAATATAATGGTATGTGAATCAAGAACAATTATCTGAAAAGAAAATATTTTATTAATAAGGAAAATTCAATATCTGTTTTAATCTTATATTCTTAAAACGGTTTGGCACAAAACTATTCAAACCAGGATAAAAAATATGAACACGCAAAGTCTTGTATTTTTTTAATCAATATTATATGAACTCAATCTCCTTATGATCATTGATATGTATTAAGCATCTAAACAGGTCATAAAAAACATACATAATTTTTTTTGTAAATTTCTTTTACGTAAAATAATAACAACTCAGATTGTATCAACGAAATCATTTGCAACGAAAACCTAAATGGCATTGGCCACTGTTCCACATAAATTTAATAACATTTAGACGCTTTTTTCTGTGCTTTTAATTCAATCATGATTTTAAATTGCATTCTCTGGTGTCATATATTTCATTAAAATCAAGAGAACGAATATTCAAAAAATTCTGTCGATGTCAAAACGTATCAAGGTTTTCATTGTATTTTGACTTTGCTATTATTTTAATCACTGCCCATCGATACTATTCCTTTTAATTCTCTTACATAGTTATTATATACAATGATTAAAAAATGTGAGTGCTCATCTTATTTTAATGGCATAACAAATAATCTGAGAAAAAGATCGATTGTGTCGAAGCTGTTGCCAAATAACTATAATATTAGCAATCGATATAGCTTGTATTTCAGATACTGTTATCTCGTAAGTTTAGAAATCAAATTCTAGTAGATGTATGAGTTATTTAAAACGATACCCGATAATAAATGCTTATTCATGTCTAAGTTACTATCGAATGATAAATACTCAGCTTGATTAGAACATTAACATGAAAACTAAACGATGAATTTAATCTATTGGTTGAATCAATGATCTGTATGAAACAAAAATATGTGATGAAATTAATTATAAAAATCTAAAAGAAATAACAGAATATGATTTCAAACGAATTAAATTAGCAAAGAAGAGTTTTAAGCGTCAGCGCAACAATACGTTGCTACAAAATCTCAAATAAACTCATCTTCGAAAAGTACTGCAAAGAAAGTTTTTAATTAGTCGATGAGGCATTCTCAATATAGACTTATCGATTGCTGTATAATAGCAAGATATTGCGCAATTTTTGCATATATCATGCATATAGTGTGTTGTTCACACTTCAGATATGTATGGCGAATAACATTCATTGTATTCGAATACTTGGATCGCTAACGCAATTGAAATAGCAAAGTAATATTCGAAACCATACAGTTGAAACATCAATTATGTAATAATTCGCATATATATTTTTCGGTATTTTTAATGTGAAAGATTCCTCCTATTTTCTATTTTCAAATTATGATGAGGATATTCATGAATGCGAAATATCTGGGACCAATCGTATGTTCATTTCTGCTTCTGTTACCGCAAAATCGCGTCCTTCGATTAAGTATAAAAAAGAATATATTAACCAGAGGGCGCTCTCAGGCGACATAATAATCATGAAGTAGTGCATGTTGTTTTTGTGTTTCATTCTAAAAATACAGAATTTTCGTTTGACGGATTGTTTTTGACTTGTTGATTTAATTATCTACTATAATATTGTATTGAGTAGAAAACAAAATGATTATTAGTGTGAAAATACATTTCATATGAAGATATAATTATAATGATAGGTATTCTCGCGATCATCGTATAAAGTATTTTTGCTGTGACTTTCATAGCACGCACGAATTCACAACTTGAGAAAATTCATCTTATGCATACTTCGTTTACGATGCACTGTTGCACATGATTCTTTTGGCCGAATAATTCGTACGTAATATTTCTAATCGACTGACAATAAAGAACTCCTGATACAGTATCTCTATTCATATATTCGTTGGAACTTAATATTACATTTATGAACGAAAGCTAAAAGTGACTATATTGCCTTTTTAGATGAGCTAAGTAACCTTCTATAAACTTAAATAATAAAACCACGACAAAAGCATTTATAGCAACATAATTTACATGGTTAATTTGATACTATCATAACTTCTCTTTCTAAAAGAATTTTAATAGAAGAAAACGGTTAATTATACAACTTTTCTTATTAATACAAACTCATGACTAAAATTAGGAATTACTCGAAAAAGAAAAGTTTAACCTACTCTTTTTAAAAGCTAAGCAAAGATTAATTTTGGATATTTTCGTAACTGTAATTATTTATTGAGGCCTATTTATCTTACGCTCTGGCTGTATAAAGGCATACGTCCAAGAAAAGTGTACAGTTACGTGTGAAGTTAACATTTTTTCGAAAAAATCGCATTAATTTCTTCAACCTGTCGTTACTCCAATCTAGATGGCAATTTTCTGGTCGCTTATAAGTTGTAAAATATTATCATTTGGTAACCATCATAAAGAGAGATTTCATGAAAATGATGATACGTTAAAGCTTTTTCTATGGAAGAACAAAAACAACTTCCTAGCAATGAGGCTTCTTCGATGCACTATAGCGAAGATATATCCACTTATACGAAGTGGAAAAAATCAATGTCTCATTCTCTTAATGTATTAGTTAATTACCTTTGTCAGACTCCGTTTGTCCTGATGAGATGTTCCGTCGCACATAGCGTGCCAGTCTTTTAACAAGATAATAAAAGGCAAATAAAAACAAAATATTGATTCTAGTAACAGTTTTCTTTGTCAAATGTTCTCGTGTATTGAAGCAAACAAATACTTTGCGCAAAGAACCAGACTCATCGATAACCCATCGAAGTGTATAGATCTTCTAAATGTCAATTTGCAATCCGATTATTGGAATTTGTGTAAATGACAATAGTAGAACACTATTGAATATTCATTACATTATATAGATACCAAATTAGAAGACAATTAACAGAGTCTTCATGGGTTCCGACAGTTGAATATTCTCGGATGTTCACAGGAATTCAATTCACAGTTCTGATATAGATTCGACGACCCGGAATCCCATAAGATTGTGCCGGCTTACAAAATACTCTCAAATTCATGTCGAGTTTGTTATCAAATTCATCGACGTGTTCAAGTAGGAATCCAATTTCGGGACCTACGTTGGTTCCAATATTAGAATATTATCGGAAATTCATCGGATCCAATAGATACCCAATGAAAATCCAATAAACGGAATCTTCATCGGTTCCGACAGTTGGATATCCTCGGAAGTTCCATGGAATCCGACTGACGGATCCGGCATCGATTCCTCGACCCGGAATCCAATAGAATTGTATTGGATGGTAGGATATTATCAAGTTCCTATAGGATTCGTTGTCGGATTAGTCGACCTGGGCACCTTTATTAGATTGTGTGGAAATTGGAGAAAAGCTATCATCTTTCACGATGGACATTTTTATTTGATTCATGTAGGTTTAACTTCGTCACTTTAAATGTTTTTCTTGTACAATACATGCTTATAAAATGACCTGGATGACATGTGACGAACAACACTAGGCTAGCTCAAAACAGTTGATATTATTCAATACAGCTATTTACATGAATCATCTTAAAATATCAATTTTCGTTTGATTCCATAATGCGGACATTTTCCACTCTGCGCCTATTTTTGTCTTTCCTCCCTGGTTCTACTTTGCGGACATTTTTTTCCAGCAATTAAGAAAAAACGTCCGCAACCAAGAAGGCGCGAAAAAGAGACATCAATATATCCGACGTTGAATAAAATAAATTGTTTTGAAAATCTGTCAAGATTTCAATAGAAATTACCTTCACGATTATTTAATCATAGTAGAAAATGATAAAATACTAACATTTCATGAAAATTCTTTTTAATTGAATTTTTTATGATCCGTTATATTATAAAAAATTCTGAAACTATTTGAATGTCGAACAGCATAATCGCTATACGACGGTTTACTTGAAAACTTCTTAAATATCCAAATGTAGCTCGCATGTATCATAGACGACTAACGAATTCGAAGTACCTCGAAAAGTTTTTTAAAGGCTTTTCAATGGAACAGGAATCGTAATATATACTTGATCGGTATAAAAGAACTGAACTCTATAGACAGACGGGTAAAAATATAAAAAATGTCGAATGATTATATCGAGCAATGCTTCATTAGCAAAATTTTAAAAATATTTACTTAACTAATGTGAATCTGTTTCATATCCCAGACTGTCCTATTCAGTATTTATTTACGAAATGCTTTATTAATCCTTCGTTCTAACTGATCCTTAGTAGGAATAGAGAAACAAAAAATAAAAGAAGGAGTACGAAAGAATATTTTTGAAAAAAAATGATATTTGATCTTGAAGAATCAAATAAGAATGACGACTTGAAAATATATAAAAGTAATTTTATCTTTTTAGTTCGATAGATAATGTTTGTTTCTCTGTTTTCTATTTTATTTTATCTTGCTTATTTATTCAATAGAGTAAATGGGTTACCTATAATAAGTAATAATCTACATACATGGTGGCATAATAATATCGAATACAATGACAATTCTCCAGTTCGAGATAGTTCTGTTCGCGCTTCAAATATTTATAGTGTTCAAGTAGCAACAACTGATTTACATCAGAATAATCTATACGATTCATTTACTTATATGAGTATACCGCGAGGTGGTCGTCAAAAATGGGAATATGACTCTTCAGATGGAGCTGAATTTGCTGAAAAAACTAAATTAACAATGAGTTGGTCAACATTTCAATACTTAACAGATGTTTGGGTTATTGTAAAATTAAATAATTCAATGAGTACGATTGATTCCATTGATCATGTTACTATCAGACCAATAACTTTAAATTTCAAAAAGGAATTAGTCGATAGTCGAACTATTCGTATTTCAGTGCCATATCGTGCAGCTGGATATAGGTCTGTCATAAAACAAATTTTACTTGTATAAATAAATAAATAAATAATTTCGATAGATTTTCGGTTGAATTTAAGAAACAATTATTTACAACTTATCATACAAACTATGGTCCTTCAGAAAACACTGGCGGTCAGGCAATTCATACCGAGCCACGTCATGCATTATTGATCTTTGCCGAATCGATAGTGACTGGCGATCAGATTGACGAATACATTCCGAATCCTCATATTCATTATAATAACATTTACTATGTTCCGCAAGGAGAAGTGAAAAATTTGAATATAATTAAAGAGACTGTCGCTTATTTTGAGCCAGGGATTTATTATATGCCTTGGAATTATCATGCTATTTTCCCAACTAATGTTCATTGGATTTATTTAGCTCCAGGAGCGTATGTCAAAGGTGCTTTTCAATTTCAATCTACTGATAATATAAAAGTAACAGGATTTGGTGTCCTATCAGGAGAAAAATATGTATACGAAGCTGATGTTGCTAACAATTATCACCATAGTATAAATAATCAATGTTGGGCAACATGTGTTAAAATGCTTCGCTTTACTTCTGACTACGGAAAAGAACAATATCTTCAACTTCACGGTATCACTATATCGGAACCGCCTTATCATTCGTTTGTTGTCTATGGTGATGATCAGACATTCCACATGTCTGTTTCATCCTATCATCAGGTTGGCAGCTGGTATTGGCAAACTGACGGCTTAGAGATCTACCGAGGTAGTTCACTTGCGAACACATTCTTCCATTCAAATGACGATGTGTTAAAGATCTATCATTCTGATGTTATTGTTAGAAATATTGTCGTATGGAAAAATGAAAACGGACCTGTTATACAATGGGGCTGGTCGCCGCGAACCATTAATAATGTGACAGTGGATCAAATTGATATTATTCACAATAGAATATGGTGGTCTGATATAAAACATAATACGTGTATTATTAATTCAGCAACACATTATGACGATACGGAATCAACTAATACGGCAGATCCGAATCAATTGATTGAGGACTTGATCATTTCAAATATTCGATCTGAAGGAATGAATTCTTGTGCCATGCGTATTTATGCTCTTTCGAGTATTCAATCTATTACAATAAAAAATCTTTGGATTGAGCAATGGAATCAATTGGACAAATCATCACAGATCAGTATTTTCAAAGCTTATGAAGATAAAAATGGTAATCAAGTCACGATTGGAAATCAATCCAACGATAAAAAAGGTTTAGCACTTATCAACTATACAGTAGGAACTACAAAGATTACTAAAGTGGCAAATAATTGGCAAGATACTAGCGTCGGACGTTTATATTTTGATGCTAATCTATGGGACAGTTGGGATGCATATTAACTAATATCAGTCTTTATTTTGATATCTCAAATGAATATCAAAAATAGAAATAAAACACAAGCAATCTATCGAATATATCCTATTTTGTTTTGGATATCATTAAGACAGATTGTTATTAACTTATGAAATGAAAATTCTATCGAAAAGGAAACACTAATTCAAATTTGATATATGCTGAATTTTAATTGAATTCACTTATTTAGATAAATATTTGAATTATCAAAATAACATTAATTAGAAAGTTTCTTTTCACAAATCGATGATGAGATAGATCAAAAAATACTGCTATCCATCTAGAAATAAATGAAAGCTACTTGCAGAATCCACCAGCCGACCTTTAGATCAACCCCGGAGGTCATGACAAAGTCAGTATAGAATTGCACATTTTCTCGTCTTAAAATGTCAAATGTTTATAATCAATGCTTCTTTATTTCACACCTATTCTTATGTTGAATAATACACGTTAGTTGATAGGAATAAATGCACTGATATATATATATATGTTGTGGTCAAAATTCAAATCCAGTCGAATTTTAAATTTGCCCAGACAGAATTCAAATTAGAAGTTTGCCCAATATAATCTCCGTCAAAATTCTAATTTCGCGGGTGTGGGTGAGTGGTTGCGGGTGCGGGTGTTGATGGAGAGATTAACACCCACGCCCTTGAAATTAGAATTTTTTAGTAAAAATCGAAATTAGAATTTTGACTGGGATTTTGTTGGACATAATTCTAATTTGAATTCTGTCTGGACCAAATTCAAATTAGAATTTTGACGGAGATTATATTGGGCAAACTTCTAATTTGAATTCTGCCCGGGCAAATTTAAAATTTGACTGGATTTGAATTTTGACCACAACATATATATATGTCGGAGTTGACTCTAAAATTCAGTTGCCTTTAAAAGGCAACTAGTTGTGTTTAAAATTGTAAAGTCAACTAGGATGGAGCTAGTTGACTCTTCAATTTTAAAGGCAACTAAATTTTAGAGTCAACTCCGACATACATATAAGTATATATATATATTAAGATCAGTACAAAGGATAATTTGAAATATTTAGAGATATATGTGGTGCATATCAATGAGAATATGGATTTTACAGTTATACTTAATATTCAGATAAAACATGCTCGAAACTAAAAAATTGATCTGTTTTCCACAGTCTAAGATTTTGATTGCAAAAATTTGAGTCATGCCAAACACTGATAACCAATAATCTTGTCACTCGTGTTTATGGTAGATTGAATCGTTCAACGAAGAGTAGACTCCTTCATAGTGTGAGCAAGTGCAATCGTTGTTTCTTACATTGAGTGAAACTCAAATTTAGCTACTAATTAAATAATTTAGAATCCTAGCATGAGGTTTATTTTCATAGTTGGCAATTTTTCTTGATGTAGTAAGCGCCAACTATCTAACCACATAATAGCGCGTAATTAGATTATCTTTGTTTGTTTTATATCCCATTCTTTCACATATATATCATAGATTGAAGATACGCTTTACTTACTCATGTGCTCATTCCATCTATGAGCCGGCAGAACGAATCAATTGTAGACTACTCCTCTTTACGTATAATCTATATATCGCATCAGTTTTCATCAAAGTATTCTGCATATCCATCTGTTTGATGTGCTGTTATATTCGGAATCACATGATCTGATGCCTGTTTGACCCGATCATATATTTCGAATGTTTGCCCGTTGTAAACTGTTCAAACAGCGAAAATACTTGATCACAACGTTGTTTTTTTTATAAATGTTCCTGTTGGATATTGTGTAACATTCCATAGGTACAATCGTTGGAGACTAGGTGAATTACATTCTCAACAGTGATATTACTGTGTTGAAGTTTGCAATGAACATAAATAGTATGAGTATAATATCACATGGTAAACGGATGCAAAAATTCGCTACTATGTTTTCGATGGAAATCGTTTCATAAACGCAAGGATAGATAAAAATAGAAAATATATCGAACGAAATCATTATTAGCTAAATTAGTCTCAATTTAGCTAATAAATTTCGTTGGTGACACCATAGACCAATAATGATATTTTTTTAAGAGCTTTAACCTATCCAACATCATCCAAAGGAATTTGTTTTAATTATCATTCTAGATGGTTCATGAGAATTAAACACTTGCAACATTAGCGTAATTCATAACATATGAAATTACCGTCGAAAAGAAATTGTCCATTCCGCATGGACCTATCATTACAAGATTATTCAAATCTATGATGCATACATTTGTATGATGTAAAAGAAATTCGGCAGCTAGCTGAGGCAATCAATCATTAACCACGCCCAAAAATATTATCCAACCATAGTAACGGACAGCTGTACAGATTTCCTTTGAACATTAAAACAGACATGTAAAGATAGCAAGTAAGCAGTAGTAATGCATTTCTTTCTGCAAAAGTTCACAGTAGTAATAGCTTGATATCATACAGAAACATCATTACATATCATCTAGACACAATCATGGTATACATTAGCTTCCATTGTATCGAAAGGATTTCTTTTTGCAAAACTTTCAAACTTAATATTGACTGAAATAAAACTAAAGTAAGACAACAACTAATATTTGATTCTTTTTTATATTGAAAACTAATCTATAGTACGGGTTATTCAGATAGAAATTGACCTTACTGATATGAAAATATGAAGCGATGTGTATTTTTTTCAAAACTGTATCGTTGATCCTACTTCTAAAGAGAATAAGAGTGCTTTCAATCAATAAGCAAAAAAAAAGAAAAGATTAAAACAGTGTTCTCATTCTTTCATATACCATCATAATATTTGATTTTCTTCATGTCAAATGGCAACTACGTCGTAAAGGTGAATAAAAGTAAAATCTATTATACATATATTTACATTCTATCAAAAACTTTGTCTTCTCGCCCTTATGATATATCACCATATCTGATTTGATTCATGCGTCATGTTTACACGGAGGACAATTCGATATCTATGTCTATCTGCACAGAGACAATTGCCGTCATCGATAAGTTAATGCAGCAATAGGGGAGAGAAGATTGCATATACATAAAGTAGTAAACGTTATTTGTTTCTTCAAGGCAATCCCCTTATATAAATGTGGCAATAGATAGATAATAGATCAGCACCAGCGCCGTCAACAATCAACTAAGCAAAAAAAGGAGAGAAATATTTATATCTAAGGAGAAATAAAGGACAAAATATCTTTTCTTTTTTCGTTATTGCCATCTGAAGGTGATAGTAATATAACTTATATATAGGGTCGAGAATTACAAATACGCTGAATATTGTCCTCTCATCAAGTCTAACTAAGTTTTCTCAACGATCCTACATCTCACAGCAACAAAAGAGTAACAAGAAATGAAAAGTAATACCATGATACAACTGTCATCTATCGATAAACTAGTATGTTTCGTTATTGATTTTAATTATCAATATATATGTCAAGCTGATAATATTCTTTTTTTCTTTTGTACGAATGAAGATTTAAACAATGACTAGCCTTCGTAATGTACCAGCCGATGTTGCATCGACGCGAATATTAAATTATCTTCGAGCACATAATTATGATGATTGCGCTCTATATATGAATCGTCTTAATCCGACTACATTCCGTAAAATACTAATTACTGATTTATCCGTTGATGCTCTACTCACTCAATTACCTTTTTCAATTGAAATAATTGAAGTAATCTATTCAAAATTATTTATTACTGATCCCGACACATTTCCTTTTCAAATACTTAAACCAGAACGATTTATATCAAAGATGATAAGTATATATGCATCATTATCATTATCAATACATGATAGTGCAGCATCATTAAAATCGAGAGAACAAATTATTGATGATGAACATATATTAAGTAATTTTGCTAGTATACTTCGTATTATATCTTATATTCAACCGATATTATTCAAACGTCTTTTACGACAAAAAGAAACCATTGATGAATGCGTACTTCATTTTGAACAACATCATTCAGCTATAACAAATATTTCAACATTAACACGATCTACATCATTAACACACATTAATCTTAAAGAAACACTGTGCGAAGAATTAGAGTCAACAATAGCTGGTTGTCAACAAGCATTACATAAACTTGTAACAAAAACAATAATAATACCTGAAGCTCCATCATCGACTCATTCTACGCCAGCCTTAAGGAAAAAGAATAATACGATGCATCCATCAACATCAGCAATATCCTCAATAACAATGGCTGCTATAACCAGCAATTCATTATATGATATACAAAATCGTCTCTATCAACATAAAGCTATATTAAATTTAATTGAACCATATTTAGCACGTTCGAAACTTTTTACAATTATGAATAATCTTACTAGTAAAGTTTCAATCGACAAAAAATTTCTATTAGCTTATTCACATATTAAAACACATGAAAGACAAATGCCATTGAGTGAACCATTATTACCACTATTTAAACGATTTGCTTTTGCTTATGAGCGTAGGAAGAAAATATCTAGAGCATTTGGAAACAGTCCGAGCCGATGTCTATTCAATTATTCTAGGTATAATTCAATTGTGGAGACACGTCACCGACAGTACTCTGATCGACGAATGCGCAGATGATATGGTGATTGACGACACAACTGTCCACGGTGGTGTTAGTAGTTTGGGTGGAATATGTTTCGAACGAACATTATCTCGTAAGTAGATTCAAACCATATGAATAAATAAAAATAGCTATTGGTAGAGTTTGTCATCGTTATGAGATTAATAGACGTCTCGCTTTAGTTTTTGTCTGTCTAATCAACATGATATGATGATAGTGCGCGCGCATACAGCGAAGAAATATCGGAGCTTTCTTTTTTTTTTGCTGTGTTGTTACTTATAAATGATTGGACGGGATGTTAGATTAACGCAATCACGTGTTCGTTTATTGATACATATTATAGTTATCGAACAGTAGTAGTCTATCGAACAAGAAAACGATTTTCATTCCTCTTATATTCTTGTAACCATCAGTTCAAATAAAATAAAAATAGAGAAAAAAAAATAGTAAGTACTATTTCAATGCTATAAATAAAGTATGAAAAAGAATATATAACGACGTATAATTAAATAGGTTGGACACATTCGATATTTTTCGAAGTACGATCACACATACAATTGAAGAAAAAAAAAAGTTTACCTATGTTTTTTTTTTCTATCGGTTATAAAAATATGTTGTATAGTTTACAAGAGTCAGAAGGCCAGACATATATTTGTATGCATCGATAATTCGCATTTTTTTTATCGACAGATCGACTATACTATTGAATATTTTCTTTGATATATTAACCGTTGAGAGATAGATAGATAGACAGAGAGCGAGAGCGAGAGAGAATAAGATGTTCAACTAAACGAGTAAAAGCAGTTGTTGTAAGAAGAGAGAGTAAGTAGCAAGATTCGTGCACCTTTTGTATATAGACATTCGCCTTCTTCCCCTTCTCGTTCTTCTCTTCTCATCCATCATCATTCTCCTCTTTCACATACACACCATATGCCACATCATTGTCACGACTTTAAGACGAGGCAATATTGTTGTTGAATTCTCATCATTTCTGGAGCAGACATTCTCAAAAATTGCGACAATCATGCTTAGAGAAAAGAAGCCTGGCGTGCGCAGTAATGCTCATAACAATCACAACAATAGTGATCGCAAATATGCACGCTACTCAGTTCTTGAAGAACTTCATGCATATCGTAAATTATATGGTAAGTTAAAACAGTAGTTATATTTGTTTTGTTCGTTATCCAATCTTTATTGTGCTGCTTTTTTTTATGTCGTTATTATCGAAATACGTCTGAGTTTTCTTCTTTTTGCAATCGATTAGACTGTTATTAAATTGCACATCTTGTGTTTACGCATTCCTGACGAATTGGCCAGTTGATTAAATCAATCGACGAATAGATACGATATGATTAGCTGTTGATATATCGTAGTAAATATTCATGAAACAAAAATCATACCATAATATGCCATCAGCGCAAAATCGATAGAGCTGGTTTAGCTAACGGCCTGATGACATGCGTGCCGAGTTCTAGGAGGATATTAATAACCTAGTATTATCTTTCCTTTTGTGACATAAACGTATTTCAAGGGGCCTGTTATGTGTCGCTCGTTTGTTCATATTGAGTAGGTTATCGTACACGGAGAAAAGAAGGAAAACTACTTATGAGAAACATAATCGACACAAGATGATGAGAAATATCATCGTTGACATTCTGTTTGTTTTGCTTATAACTGCCGATCGCGTTTCGTCGAATATAAATCTTTCAACGACTACTGTTCGATGGTACCATATTCAGTTTTACTAATCGTAAATTCAATATTCTCATAGAATAAAGAAAAGGATTATTCGACCTACGTTTGTAAAGCTTTATCTTCCTCGTTGTTTCTTTTTTGTCTTCATCTAAAATGAGTCAAACCTCGAACGACGATCATTTGACGCTCTATTTTACTCCTCTACCTTGTTCACCTTATTTATGTTCGTCTATATCCTCATCATCTTCTTACATGATGTCGAACAGATCAGTTAAATTACCGGTGAAGAAGTTTCTATGCGTAGGTAAGTTGAAATTCTGAAATGGATAATAACAATTCTCCTGTTTTGACACATCGATCTTTCGTGCTCGATTCATCTATTTGTATTGATGTTTTTTATTTAGAAAACGATGCTCCAACCTGTAAAGATGACATGGCTCTTAAAAATGGAGTAGTAGGTAAGATGATTTTCGATCAAATACTACCTGGATAAATTGAAGAAAAACAAATATTTTGACACTAATATCGAAGTGAACCTTTACTTAATAAATATGAATATCGGGATTAAGTAATATGAAACTTTTCGATTATTTTTTTATGTGAAATCGAAGCAAAATATTAAGTTTTTATTAGTCAACGAATAGATCAATACATTTATTTGAATAAGTTTCTAAGCATTTTTTCTTCTATAGATAATCAATCATTAAATATCAGGAAATCTGTTCAGAAAAGATGTGGCTAGTTTTTTCTTTTTCTCTTGCTTGGAACCGACTAACCTATTAGATTACTTCGATCTTTGAATAGAATGAGTTGTGCAGTTTTATATATGCAGAGCAGCACTCAATTTATTATAATTATTAACTATTGAACTAACGAAAAGTAAACCTTGCAAGATAAGAATCTTTATCTTTATACGGTCATAAACGTAATTCAATCTATCGATATAGTCGATCGAATTTTCTCGATGCCTTTCGCTTAGAAGTGAAGTTAGATTTAAAAAGACTTTATTTCTATCATAACTGAGTAAAACATAACATTTTTGTCAATGTTACTTTCTGTTCGGTCGCATATATGTTATGGTAATCAACAAACAGCTACTAGAAAACTTGCTTCAGATCATAATGGCATTGACATGTAGGCGCTATCGTTGACGTACACATATGTATGTCTCCTTGAGGAGAAGAACAATACTAGATGACAAGTTTTTATTTTATGTATTAATAGATATGATTCTTTCTTTGTCCACGTTTATCTCTACAAAACTATGATTATTGTTCTTGACGATTAAACGTAGAACAATGAAGAGCACCGTCTTCGCTTGATTACTCAAATAATAGCGAATAACAGCAGGAAGGCATCGGCTGATTGGGTTCACAGTTATTCTAATGCTCAGTGGGGCAATGTTTACCTCATTTTATAGTGCATAAGGACAATAAAGAGTTATAGAAGATGACTGAAGCATAAAATAATGATGATGTATTTTCTTTTTCTTAATATTGCCATATAAACAATTTATATACAAATAAAACAAATACCAATGATCAGAAGAAACAAATCGGCAACGATTCATATACATGTGTTTCTGTTAATTAAATCGAAATTAATGATATATGACACTTAATTTAGATAGTTCTTTTTTTCTGGGTGTGGCTTTATCATCATCATAATGGAAAAGAACAAACATACACGCAATTTTTATTAAGTAATCGCCCTATGTGAGCGCATCTGCTAGCCTTAGTGGAGCGTTTGGCAGTGGTAAACGAGCATGATTACAGTTATCATTCATCCATTAACATAATAATCGTACTCTATGTGTTTGGCGAAAGAAGAGAAGGAAAGTAGGAGTAGTACGGCACACAGAAGAAGAGAGAGAGAGAAAGAGATGGTTCTTAATATACACACATAGTAGTACACACACACACTCTCTCTCTATAGAGTCGACAATATATCGAACTTTATCATAGAATAACATTTATGTTCTTTCCCTGTTGATCGTCGTTCAGTGCTATAATCACCTTCTCACTTGCAATATCTAATATATATATATAGATATATAGATAGATAGATCTTACTCCTACGTCTGCATATAATTTATTGTCAATAATATTAAACCAAGTTATTCAATCGAACTTTTATCCTTATTTAAGAAACGAGTAAATCTCATTATCGATATGTCAGATGCTGTTAATTTTCATTGTATTTACTCACCGCACGCCTCACATACTATGAATAATCATATTCGAAAGCAACAACCTACTATTAAATTGATCAACACCTGCCTTTCAACAGCTGCTCAATATCTCAATCGAACTAAAAGCTTTCACGTTTCACCGAGTACGACGATTATCAACAATAAACATAGTATACCGATGACTAAGAGCTCTCATCAACACAATTTACTAGTAAATAATGTTGATTTAGCAAGATCCGTACCTTCAAATATTAACAATGTTAATCCTCGATCCACAATTCATAGTCTTCCAATAACACCCATAGCCTATCATGAAAATCGTGTTCAACCGGTTCCATCAGAAATAGGTTCAAATGAAAATAATAAAGCTCAAGGCATTGTATATACTTTACGTCGCTCAATAAAAAGAAATAAAGATCGATTTTATAATAAACGATCAGCAACAATGAAATCTTGCAATTCGTTAATAAATTATCAACAATCAACAAATTCTCAACCGTCAGCATCGATGACGCCAGCATTATTTTTTCGTCGTAAATATTCAGAAAATAATGTTGGCTCATGTACAACAATTAACAATTATAGTTCGACTATGTTAACCAATGATGACGAGTCGGAGCAGCATGATCAAATGCGTAAGAACTTCATAGACGAAGAAGAATTTTAGTCTTCGCACATATATGTATATATATATACTTAAAAAAATATCGTTACGAATGCGTATTCAGAAGAATTAATCAATATCGATCATTATCTCTATTTGTTTTATTTTATAGAAAGTATGCAGTAAAAATTGATATTAGATAAATAGTACAGTGTAAATCCCTTGTTGGTTTCTTTTGTATACAAAATCAATTCGATATCACTTGATACTTTCCATACAAATTTTGTCTTTTTTTTTCATAATGTTATTAGGAAAGGTCAACAACTATAAACAAATACAGATGCTACGTTATTCTCTTATTTGTTTATTATTGACCTCACAGATAATAGGAATATCTTTTATTGAGAAACAAAGAAAGGACATAACTAGATTTTCCTTGTCAATGGCATTTCGATTGACAATAGACACATTCTCTTGGAATGTAAAAAGCAATGCGGTTAACTTTTCCACATGCGCATACATGACAGCGGCCATTATACTGTAACAGATCCGATTGCTTCTCTATTTAAACACGGCTATCATTAGTATCTTTTCTCGCTTCGTTTCTATTGTAAAATAAACACAACAACAAATTGAATCTGATGGCTGTCTCTTTTGTTTTTACTTCGTACCAACTGAGAAAAAGAGAAAGAATAGTTATGTCGACAGCTTTATCTTGCATGCACCTTGATAAATCAAAGTGTATGTAACATTATCTTCTTCGACTTTATTTACGATACCTTCCTTCTTTCAATTTTAGCTCCACTACAACCATTAGGTTTCAATGGACGAAATCGTATGCTTCCGAAGAGCCCTCTATCAACACCATCACCTATTGTTCACCATCCACAACAAGCAATTGTTCCACCTTCAACTGTATCATTACAATCAAGTTCTCCAATAACAATAAACACTACCGATTCAAATCCAATCGACGATGTACAACAACCAGTAACAGATCATGATTCTGGCGAGCAAGAACGATTGAAAAACGAGTTAATTCAATTAAAAACTGAATTACAAAAGTCAAAAGAAACAATTGTACGTTTACAAAAAAGCGAAGAACAAATGCGTGAAAGGTAAAATGAATCTAAACATTTAATGAACTAGTATCACTTGAGAGTACAATTCTTTGTTCGTGAATCCTATTTAAACAGCAAAATCATAGAGTATACAAACTAAGCATAAGAAAACAGAGATAATTTCCAATTAATGTCAACAGTATTAAATAATTAACGATTGTTTAACATAGACATGATCACAAAACAAAACAAAGACAAGATTCAATAGATGGAGCAATTAACCAATATATATATATACTGGTCAATAAAAGCAAAACTTCTATTTGAGATTCACATGAATAAATAATTCTCTTATTAATTATTAATAGAATTACATTCTAATTAAGCATAGACATCTGGAATATTATCGTAAATTTATTGAGGTTAAGAAATCTAACCTTGCCAATAAGCATAGATATCACAATAAAAGTATTATGCATTGAAATGCAGCTACTGTTGATTCGTACAAGGATAATTGAATAATTATCACTCGTGATCAATGACATATACTAAATATTCTAATCTATCACTCTGTTCTTACTTCTTCCAAGAATAAATTTTAGCCATTGCTATTATCATCAGAGAATAAGGTCAAGGAAAAAGAAAACGATAGTTTATATCTATAGTATAATAAACTAATTGCCAATATTATTACTAAAACGTGATATAAAACTTTTTATTATATGACATTATACGGAGAATAATTGATTCTACTTTTTCACAAGTATTCTATTCCAAGGAAATATCAGAAATTAATTTTTACATTTGCAGCAGAAAGTTGTGTATGTTTAGTATGTTTTCATTGGTTTCTTTTGTTCTAAATAATAAAAAAAGAATCTAGATGAAAACTGGCGAAATAAGAATCGTCCGTTTATTGTCCTACGCCCGTAAGGTTCTCAGTCCATTATTCAAGTCAAGGCTTTGAAAACTAAAAACCATTGGCTTATCCTTGGATTCAATAGATCATGATCTAAAACTAATAGACAATTATGACATCTCTATTATAAGAAGATCATCGTTAAGGTTGTCTATGATAATCTGTAGACGAATGACAATTAGTCATAAGCAGTACTTCGTACATATGTGGAACAAATTTAAAAATGCTGTTAGCGCAATTCCTGTGGGATTAAAGTGTGAAACACGATGGAACTCCTTTGCTGTAACCTGTCTACCACGGTCTGTGAGTTTTTGTAGCGTTTCTGCCATTGTCTATAATCATATATGTAGCCTTTCGGTCACAGTCTGTATTTTGATCTATAGAGTCAGTAGAGATCATCACAGACCGTGACAGAGAATTTAATTAATTAATTAATTAATTAACCAATTAGCTAATTAATTAATTTCTCCGCGGGGGGCGGGTCCAATATATACCTCAACACTCCTTTCAGATCGTGTTTCACAAAAGGATTAAGAAGCCAATAGACTCGACATAGATCAAATCTGAATTATTTTGTTTCGTCTCTTTTATTCAGACTGGCAGAACAGGCTCAACGACAATTAGAAAGAGGTGGTAAATTTGAAGATCTAAATCAAGTGTCTCGTCCAACAGAGTTGATTCGTGGATATAGTTCATTATACTCGCAAGCTCGTATTGATGCTCTTGATGCATTAGATAATATTGCTGAAATGTCTGATGCCGATGATCTAAAATCAAAATTATTATTTTCCGTTGTTGTCGTATGTAGCAAAATGTTATTTTGAAATAAAATAATAGCTAAACTCTGTTGTTTGATAGCTTGCTTTTCGTTATGCACAAAATCAAGCAAGAGATATACGAAATAAAATTAAACAAATTCTTCAATTATCTGATGATAAAAGTTCAATTGTATTGGAAGAAACAATTGAAAAATATTTACGAACTACGATACAAAAATATGACGTGGGGAAAATTAATTTTGTAAGTAAAATTTCTTAAAAAATTTTATTATTCAATTTTTTGTTTTGTTTTAGGAAGTCGAAAATCAGCTATGGACAACTCTGTATGATTATCCAAGACTAAAATCTTGTCAGGAATTACTCAAATATATTAATTCAGCCTGTCGAACTGCGTATGAATTGAAAATAGTGTTTCTTATATAATTTAACTTTGTTTCGTCATTTTTTCTTCCATAGATGGGGCCTTGCCAATCAAACACCTCCATATTATATTGAATTTCAAACAACGAAATATGATAAACAAATTCATGAACGTTTTCATACGTCGGACAACGAAAGTGAAACCATTATTGAATACATATGGCCTTGTTTAATCGATGGGCGCGATCGAGCATGTGTAGCTAAAGGCGTTGTTATAACTGATGAACGATATTTATTAGTATCAAAACCTCAATCATCTTAATGTTGATGTCGAAAGAAAGACGAGAAAGAGAGAGCCTGTGCTTTTTTTTGATTGTTCTAGTCAATCGGTCGGTTATCGTCGAGTTAAAACGACATTCCAAACCAACAGGCAGGCTAATTTGTACACAATAAGACATTATATCCCTTGAATTTTTTGTTTTTTGTTTGATTTCGCGTGTGCGCGTGTGTGTGTGTGTGCGATGAATCTTTTTCGGAAGATCAAAGAAATAGAGGTTACTATCAGCAGGTGTGATTCATATGATTTTTTTTATTATATTATTGTTGAAAATTTTTCTACAAATTAAAAATCTATTACTAAATCAATAAGAAATAAAAGTCATTTTCATTTTCTCCCTGTATCAATAAGAAAAACTTGCAAAGAACTATTATTTATACAATAATTTCATTGCAAACAAAACATGTATCGATTGTTCTACACTTAGCCATGATAAGGTGAAGTAGACAAAACAAAAACAAAATGAGAAGACTCCATGTGATATATAAGTGTACTGATCGGTTCGCTTAATTCGTTTTAGTTTTGACGAATAATCCTTTGTTCTTAATTAGACATTGAAATTCTGGATATTAATCCATATAGAATATCCGATGAAATAAATCTTAACAGAATTCGACACTATTGATATCGCGAAGCATTACGTGTTAAGAAATCAGAGATTGAATTCTATTCAAATGTGTGCAATGAAACGTATTGAACCTATTTGATACGAGAAAAGAAATGATTCTTTAGAATGTAAACTACGAAAGCTTATTTCTATTGGGCAAATCATTCGAGTAAAATATTGAACTGTAAATGTATGTGTATATCTGACCGAATGCTATAGGCTATTGAACATAAACGAAAAAAAAACACAAATAGGTGATGCCTGAAGATTTCGTCTTTTTTTTTGTAATGCTGATGATAGAAAGTACTCATAGTTCTGTCGTCACTATTTTACGATAGTTTAATTTCATCTCAATTTCTTGATTAGTTCTTCTCTATATAGCTCACTTGACAATTGATCGTTTTGCTTTTCTTTACTTATGTCTATTTCTCGTGTAGCAACTACTCGAATTTCATCAATTGTAGATCTGTTTTGCTGTTAGTATGTCTATTTCATATAAGTGTGAAGTGGCTCATTTGTTTGATGAACACCTATCGACGAAAAGAAAGAAAGGATATAATATAAAAAGTAATTGAATTGCTTCTTTCGTCGTCTTGTATCCTCTCGGTACCATATGCATGCAAAGAGCTGATCATAACGGTACAAAGCAATTGAACGGAGCTTTTTTTTCTTCTTTAATGTATGCAAGCTGTGGTGTATGGGTTTGTCATCCGTGAGATATACACACATTAGAAACAATAGGCAGAGTGAGAGAATGACTGTTTAAGCTGATGCAAAGTAACCATCGATTACTTGTCTTTTAGTGCGACATAAAAAAAGATCGCATTCATCGATGTTTTTTATTAAATGGTATGAGTGTGGATTTATTTCTCTGGATTCAGTTGTTGTATTTGTATATTATGAAAGATTGTTCTATTTAAGATTGAAGATCAGTTGACCGACAACAAGTCATACAAACGAAACAATAATAAGCTCCCTCGTTCTATTTCTCTTCTTCTCCTCGTCTATTGTTCTGTTCTTTAATAATCAATGCTCTCTCTCTCTCTCTCTCTCTGTCTCTCAGACTATATACCCCAATGCAAGGCCAGTATATTGTATATTTATGTATACTCGCGTGCACTGTTCGATTCAAGTGGCTAGAACTAGCAGCATGATCGCTGGAACATTGTGTGTGCATACATGCATACAATACATATATAAACATTGATTAAATATATGGGCTCATTATTATTATACTCTATCAGTAGCACTGTACAAGTTTTTTTCCCTCGTGAATCGATTAACTATCTCTTCTATTCTATTTTAGACCGATATGAACTCTCTACATTGGTATCTACTTATAACTGCCTTTACGCTTAATCAAGCATCTGCTACTATAATCTATCTTGAAAATTGTACATACTCATTAAATCTCTATAAACAATACTTAAATCTACTTTGGTCATCGAATGATTCTCGTACGCTACATATTCAAGCTGTTTATTCCCTATCATCGAATGCTTCTCTAATACCTGGCCATATCTATACAAATTTATTTCCGTCGGCTGCTTTGGTACCATTTTTTGTTCAATGTAAATATCCTGAATATTTTTCTTCAAAATCATACTTATCATTTACACAATGTGCATCAACGATAACAAATTTTTTAACGAGAAAAAATCATGAATCAACAAGAACTAATCTTTATTTAAAAACAATTCTATTCATGCCAAACGTTTCATTACTTTATATAGGCGAATATAATATTTTATTATCGAATTGTTCGTTTAAATTGAATTCAAAAACTTATCGATTAAAACCTTCTGATATATTTAAATTTCATATTGAATACGAAAATTCAATAAATAATAATAATAATAATACAACAATAACAACAACTTGTAGTAAATGTAATAAACGTACGTCTATTTGTTATGAAAAACGATGTATTTGTCGTCCGGGCACAACACCGTTTAAACTCTATAAAAATAATGATTATTGTATTGATACAACATCTAATTGTTCTTATGATTCGCAACGTTGTTTACCGTCTAAATCCATTCCTCTATTCAATAAACGTTCAAATCAATATTTTTTAATACTAATTCTATTAATAAGTTTACTTTTTATGTTATTTCTTTTTCTACTATGGTGTTTATTACGTAATGCACGTACACATACGTTTACCGATGAAAAAGATCTCTCGTCAAATCCACCTATATTTACAATACATAGACATGAACGTACGCCATCAACTATTTCAACGACGGACTCAGTAAAATTAAATGATTACAATTGTATTGATCAACATATTCTTGCGAACGAATATGTCAGTACAATTTATGAAGATTATCCAAAGATTATTTCGAATAAAAATAATGCCGAAGTTGTTTTAATTTTAGTTTAATAAATAAATTTATTTTGACTTCTGTTTTTCTCTCTCCTCTGTGTCACTAGTCATTCATTTTATTCCAATAAACAATGGTTATTAACATAGCTGCAATGCTCTTTCGTCTCTCATCGTGATAAAACAGAAAAAGCGATAAAATATAAGTCATTGCATGACCGACTAGGCTTCAGCTGTTGTTCGTTGTTTTTCTTCTGCGCCACGAAGAAAAAAAACTGCTAACCAAAGAACGAAGTAAAGTATATAAATGATAAGAGGTAGCTGAAGGCGCACAGCTAATCTCCACTACTCGAGCAAATTGATATCAACCGAGCACGCACTTAGTACTCGTTTTTTTTTTGCGTGTCACAAAAATAAGAAATAAGAAAAGCCTCGATAGAAAACTAGTTATTGTACTTTCTACTATTGTTTTCTATTGAAAATTTAGATAAGTCTTTGGCTGTAAACTAATCATGATGGAATCAACAGAGCAATTGGCAGCAAATTCTTCACAACTTCCAACTCATCCGGATGAGAAAGCGATGGTTCCACCATCAAATATTATTCCCGATGGAGTTTCATCACCAATAAAACATCCATTGGATCCATTAAATGCTGGTAAATATACATATAGGTAGAAGAAGAAAACTGGCTCATATTTTTGCATTTTCATTAGATGAAATGAATTTAACAACACGATTGCTTGCAACATCAGAAAGTTTCCAAAGTTATATGCGTATTATTAACATTATTCTAAATGAACCAACAGATAAAGAATATGTCCGTAACTATAAACCAAATGACCTATTAGAAAGGTCGGTAACTGCAGTAGTGCGTGATCCTAAAGGTCGAACAACTTATGAATTTGTTGTTGATTTAATTAAAAAAACTGTTGAAAATTGTACTGAATTTAAAGGTGTTCAGCCTAGTTTAACATTTGATGAAATGATCGAAGCTGATATTACTCTACGCTCAAGTGAAGCTATGCTAGCTGCATTAGCTAAACGAAATATTAAAATAGAAGATGTCGTTTTCTATCCATTTTCATCTGGCTATCGGGATGAACGAGATTCACCAGCGAAACGACGAATCTTTCGGCCCTATGCTGCCGTGAGAAAATCGGAAGCCGATAATTATTATGCTCATCATATCGACGGTCTTGTTATCACTGTTGATTTAGATTCATTTACTGTTGAGGTTGAAGATCATCAAGTTATACCATTACCTCCGAAATCTGGTAATTACGATCCAGAAGGTATCAAAGCACCAGATAATGTACCTTATTTTCCGGATGGTGTTCGTAAAGATCTTAAACCTTTTGTTATTACTCAACCAGAAGGTCCATCATTTCAAGTAAATGATAATGTCATTTCATGGCAAAAATGGCGTTTTCGAGTTGGATTTAATGTTCGAGAAGGTTAGAACTACTGATTATGTTTTCTTCGTTTGCTTTATAAAATAGAACTTTGTTTAGCACTTACAATAAATATGATTGAATATTTTGATCAAAATCGTTGGAGACCTATTCTCTATCGAGCAGCTATCAGTGAAATGTGGGTACCGTATGGTGATACAAGTGCTGGACATAGTTATAAAAATGCATTTGATGTTGGCGAAGCTGGTATGGGTCTATTAACAAATAGTTTAGTATTGGGATGTGATTGTCTGGGAGAAATTCGATATCTGGATGCTATTCTCAATAATAATCGAGGTCAAGCTTTATTAGTAAAGAATGCTATTTGTATACATGAAGAAGATACTGGAATACTTTGGAAGCATTCTGAGTAACAGCGTGACACTTTTCTTCTAAATCTATTTTTATAAGAATCCTATTTCATTCTAGATTTGTTTATCAACGTTCTCAATGTCGCCGTGCAAGACGTCTTGTTGTTTCGTGTATAATTACAGTAGGAAATTATGAATATGGTTTATTTTGGTATTTTATGCTTGATGGTACTATTCAGTTTGAAGCCAAACTTACTGGTATTATCGCGCCAGGTAAGCCAATAAAAAGAAAAAAGTTATTTTGCATGAGAAAAGAAAATTATAAAAACAAAACGCATTTTAGGTGCCATTGAAAATGGAAAAACGCCTCTTTCCGGTGGACTGGTTGCTGAAGGTGTATATGGTCCACATCATCAACATTTTTTCAATATGCGTCTTGATTGGATGCTTGATGGAGTAAAAAATTCGCTTGTTGAAGTCAATTGTGAAACGATGCCACTTGGACCCGATAATCCAGCTGGTAATGGTTGGATAGCAAAAGAAACTGTTTTGAAAACTGTTGGTGAAGCACGTCGATTACATGATGCCACTAAAGGACGTTTTTGGAAAATCATTAACCCTCAAGTTAAAAATCATGTTAATCAACCAGTTGCCTATAAACTAACTGCATCAGGACCAGCATGTTATCCTTTGTGTGATATAAATTCAACACAAGGTGGCCGAAGTGCACTTACACGTTATCATTTATGGGGAACACAATATCATCCAGACGAATTATATGCAGCTGGCCGATTTCCTAATCAATGTAAAGGTGATGAAGATGGTGTTGCTATTTATAGTGAAAAACATAAAAATGATTCACTAGTCGAATGTGATCTTGTTACATGGTATACGTTCGGTGTTAATCATGTTGTTCGTCCTGAAGACTGGCCTGTAATGCCCGTTGAAACTGTTGGATTCCGTTTACAGCCATGTGGATTTTTTGCTGGTAGTGCAGCTATGGATGTACCACCATCAATTCCAAAATGTCATCAAGGTGCATGTGCAAAACATTAATAAACGAGGAATGATTGAAGATGATGACACTAATAATTTTTATCTTTTTTCTAATTTTGCACGTGTTAATGTTAATTGTCATAATGAAAAAATGTCTTATGTAGTTAGATGTAGATTTTACATATGATGCCATCGATTACTAGCGACCTCACTTTTTTTTCACTAACGTTTTTTTTATCTGCTGACAGAACTATGAATCATTTAGTATTCTGCTTTTTTCTCACGAGTTTTTTTCTTATTTAATAGAAGAATATTTTTATTGAATAATAAATAATGCCAATCTAAATCCTTATTGAACTCGTATATTTTTCATAATCCTGGTATTTACATGCTGTTAACCTTTGTTCTATTGTTTATATTCATTGTTATTTGTTATAAATTTCGTTTATTTTCGTATTTTTACTCTCTCCTTCGAGAGTGCTATTTTTATGCACAAATTTATGGTTATCGCTACAGATTCTTGCAAACTATGAATAGTGCAGGTGAGATAAAACATCGAACAAAAATTGAATTCTTTTGAAAATTCGTCTTTTTTTTCTAGCGCTTAGCTTCGCTGCGTCTATGTTCGAAAGAAATGACACAGACAATAATACTCTGTCTGATATAGATGCGGAAATATGTATTCTTGGTGTTACATATAAAACTCCAAATGGTGATTAATTAAAATAGAAATTCATTTATTTTATCTACATTTTATTTTCAATTATTATTATTAGATATGCATGCCATCACTGATGATGCTCTAAGTCGATTTTGGTTTACCTATCGAAATGGATTTGCTCCGATTGGTTAGACAAAAGATAAAATAAACACCTTTGCAAATAGGAAATTTATATTTTTAGGTGGTCCATCGGGTCCTACACGTGATACAGGCTGGGGCTGTATGATGCGTTGTGGTCAAATGATGTTTGCTGAAGCTTATCTTCGATTTTTTTTGCCAGCGGGCAGATGTATGTAAATTTGTTTTCAAGAAAAAACATGAAACTAAACATTGAATTGAATTAGATTTTCGATGGCGCTCAAAGATAACTGATCCAATCTATTGGGAAATTCTAAATATGTTTATTGATAAACGCCATTCATCATATTCTATTCATCAAATCGGTTTGTAGAGTTAGTGAATAGATTTATTGAAAGTGTTGTTTTTGTATCTATCTATTCTAGTTCAAATGGGTGATTCCGAGGGGAAAAGTGTTGGACAATGGTTTGGTCCGAATACAATTGCACAAGTACTTCGGTAGATCAAGTTTTAATTAGTGACACGCAGAGAAAAAGAACTCGACTAATTTGTTTCTTTAGTCGAATAGCTTCAAATGAATTTGAAAAACAAATTCATGTACATGTTGCCATGGATAATACATTGATACTTGATGAAATACGTACGTTAACTTTTGAAAAAAAGAAAATTAATCTTATTTTTATTTTCTAGGAAAACTATGTCAAATCAGTTCGAACATACCTAATTTAATAAAAAAATCAAATGATACACAAACACTTTGGAAACCATTAGTGATTATTATTCCTTTGAGATTAGGCTTAAATGATGTTAATGTTGAATATCTTGATCAAATAAAATTATGTTTTCGATTGCCACAAACGCTTGGATTTATTGGTGGAAAACCAAATCATGCACATTATTTTATTGGCTATTTAGAGAGCGATGAACTTTTGTATTTGGATCCACATGTCACACAACCACATATCGATGCAATGAATAGTTTTGATGATTCATCATATCATTGTGATAAAGTTAATAGGATGAAATTTTCTGGACTTGATCCGTCGCTTGCTCTAGTAAGAAAATGATGAACTATAATCGTAGTGTTGATTTACTTCTATTCTAGGCATTTGCTTGTAAAACTGAAAATGAATTTGATGATTTGATATCAAAATTAAGACAAGTAAATTAAGAAGAAAATATTTTGATTTAAATTAAAATGAGAAAAATATTTTTAGTATCTTCCCGTAAGACCTATGTTTGAAATATGTGAAACGAATCCGTTTGATGTCCTAGCACAAAAAACGGGCGATCATGAAGGTAAATATATACATTCTATCTAGTTTATTACGAAAATCTGTTGTTTCTCTCTCTCTCTCTCTTTCTAGTGCTTTCCTTAAATTCGGATGATGATTTTGAACTTGTTTAATGCAGTTTATTTTTAATATTTATAATATCCAACATTTGTGAAATTATTGTAAAGAAAATTTTCAATCTTCATTAAAACTATAAGCAATAAAATTGTATTTTTTTTATATATCGTCGTGCGTGTTTAATTATTCCCTGATATGGTGATATTTCATCATGAAAATGTTAAATAGATAAGAAATAATGCCATTGGTTTTGCATGGCTTAGGAAAAAAAGAAAGAAGTTATTTAAAATATAATTCTATTTATGATGATTTATTAATAATGCTTTTAAAACTGTAAATACTGATCTGGAGAATTCTCGATTGAGGTTCCGTATCGTCCATGCATTTACGGCGTTAAAGAAGGATGCATCACTGATCTGAGTTTTTTGTAAAATAAAGACTGTCTCTTAGGGCCAATTATAATTTGGTTTCTAATCGATTGTTTTACATCTATATATTTTCTAGAAATGAAACTCGAAGATTTGCCCGGTGAAATATGGTTTCTTATTCTATCCTATGTATCACCGTTGGAAGCCTTTTATGCATTTAAAAAAATCAAAAATACACGTATAAATTCGATAATGACTGAAATGTATTTGATTCGACAAGTCGGAGATAATTATTCATCAATTTTGAATCTATCTCTTGCACACGCTTCATTGTCTATGTATAATTTTGCTATGTCAGATATTATTCCATACTATTCACATATGATTCATGAATTAATATTATCCAATAGACAAACACCTGGTGAAATAAATGATTTTTTGCAGAAATATTCATTGACACATGATTTTACTTATCTAAGTTGTTTACGTTTAATTGAACCATCACCAATTGAATTAAATATCATTGTTAATGATATACAAAATGTAAAAATGATTGATATCCAATCGAAATATATGCATTCATATGATGTAAATACAATACAAACAATTCTCTATTCGAAACCAACAATAGATTATTGTTGTTTAAGTCAATTTCATCAGAATTTCATTTCGAAAGATTCATATTCGTTTATACAAAGTTTAAAAATTGATTCATGTGATTATTTATGTTTTTTAAGTATTCTTAATCATTTTTGTCTATTGGAAAAACTTTCAATTAATACACTTTCAATGCCACGTAATGTTATTTTATCATCAAATAATTTAATCGAAAATCCATTATTGATTAAAGATTTAAAATTACGAGCATTTAGTATTCGGTTTGATTATCTTCTTGTATTATTTCCTTTCTTTGAAAATATTCAGAGATTTTCATTATCACTTGTTTGTGACGAAGGTTTGTAGAAATTCATAGTAGATTAACTAGATCAATATGTTAGAGAAAACGTTAAATAAATATATTTGTTTCGAATAGGTTTCGATTATGTTAATAGTGATAAATGGCAAATGATTATAAGTAACTATTGGCCATTATTAACAAAATTTCAATTCTACAGTGAATTATGGTATTTAACATCAGTAGATCTTGACGAACTCTATCCTCATTTATTATCATTTAAAAATGATTCTTTTTGGATTGAACGTCAAATAGGATTTGTAGCAGATTTTTATCAAGATAAAAATGATCTTCACTTAATCTTCTATTCAAATCCGTATCCTGATGAAAAATTTTCCAATCAGTAAGTAAGCAGATTTTTATATTCTCAGTGCTTGATTTTTGTCTTTTCAAGATGGGGTCATTCCATTGATATTGTTTCGACTTCAAAAGATAACATAAATTCGTCATTAGTAATAGAAAATACCTATGAACATGTTAGTCGTTTACTCTTAACGGTTTATGACAATAAACAAATGCGATATGAATTAGATAAAATTTCACGTTATTTTCCTAATGTTGATACATTAACAGTACGATTTGAACAACATGCATCAAGTGCTCTATTTCGATTGTACATCGAAAAAATAATTAATCTTGATCATATTAAACATTTAGTATTGGATGGTAAATGTCACACTATGGCAACATTATATGAACTTATCTTATGTAAGTTTATTGCAAATTCGTATAAAGACGAGAAAAAAGCAGACTGAATATGGATTTGTAGTGCTTCCCGTGAATTGAAATACAAAGAATACGTATCGATTGATTGGTTTGCGTTTCGATCATTAGTTTGTCCTACAAGGAAAAGTTACTATGAGGTCCTAGCTAGATTTGCCGGCTCGAATTGCACACATGCAAAAAAATGGAACTCTTTTGTTTAGTACTTCAGTCATTTCTAAAATATTCACACAAGTTATATTAACAATCGTTCATAGTGAAATAGCTCGAATATCGAAAAAAGAAAATTCTCTGCTATATTCAGGTCTGTCAAATATGAATAAATTGACTATAACAAATAATCAACGTATATTAGTAAAACAACTAATTCAAGGACGAAACGAACGCTTATTATTATTGTTACGTCAACGTCTTCAATATTTCAATTTATTGTATGATGGTGTTATGTCTTATGACACAGTCGAAGCCATACGTTATAATTTTCCTCATTTGAAAACATTTTCCGCTTGTTTACCACATTTTGAAGATTTTCGTGATGCCATTCCAGCATTCATGCAACATATGAAATTGCTTCAATACCTTCATATTGGTCTCGAATGTGATAATGATAAAAAAAATTTTACTACCCAAGATATGTATGACTGGTTTCGGCGACATAATATTTTACATGAAATTAAATTGTCGATTGATACATATACGAATTCAATTCATATATGGTTATAAATAACGATCTAAGTTTTGTTCAACTCATTGTTATGGTTGTTGTTCTTGTCTTTTTTTAAAGTTATATTTATTAAATAAAATTTCGAACGCAGTGAACAAAACGGTTTTGCTTTACAAAAAATGAATTAATAATAGATAAAACATAATCAATGACGTAGCTAAATTTGTTGAAGCAGCTGACAGAGGTGAGATCTGTTTTTCGCAGAACTCAGTGGCAAGAGCTATTTGTGTTTTATTCGCAGCTAAAGGTGCTCCAGAGTTTTGAAATGAACAAAAACGAGGCCATTTGCGTACAATACCAAACATATTATCACCAGGACTAAATCGAAAATAGAAACAAAACCTTCATTTAGAGAAACGGAAAAAAAACAAACATTACCAATCCGTATAATGTGGTCGTTGGGATTGCCGATGAGTAATAATATAATGATCTTCTTTGATATGGCCAAGTTTAATACCACACTCAATCCATAAACGTACTGCATTTAATGCTTTTTCATTTGGAGGTGCTCTTGTAAAATCCCCGATAATGCAAACACCTGAACGATAGAAACTAAGTATTTCACATAATATCTAGATAAAATTATTTTGTTACCGTAAGCGCCATTATTCCATCCGGTTGAATGGGCAGCTTGTCGATTCCATCCTCGACCTTCATAAACTTTTCCGTTTTCACCAACTAAAAAATGAAAGCCAATATCGTCCCAATTTTGAGTGTTTTGATGAAAATCTTGAATATCTTTTACTCGTTCAATACATGAGTCATCATCATAACAACTATAAATATAGTCAATTTAGTCTAATTATTTTTCTATAGGATATATATATATATGTTGTAGGCAAAATTGGAATTAATTCCAATTTTGTCTACAACATATATATATATATATACCTACCTTAGAGGATAATACGAATGATGCATGACAACAAATGAAAGAGGTTTGCTTGTTAGATTGGTTATTGCCGATGGTTCTTGTGCACCCCATTCAGCTCGATCAACTAATGATAGTTCATCACACGGTGATTGAGAATTAACCATGGCAAGCAGCAAAGGATATATGAATAATATACTTGTCATGTTTTCTTGTTGCAGCCTTCAGATAATAAATGATCGAATATTGAGTATACTCGTCGTGCGTTATTTCTTTTATTCTTATCAATATTTAAATCAATAATATAAACGCCATTTGCAGCTTTTTCGTGTAGCTGTCACAGTTTTATCGTGTCTAAAAACGAAATATGAAGAATATGTATGTAAGAGATATTATCAGATTCAATGAGTTATCTTCAAAAACGCGTACGACGTAGAAATTAACAGCTGATGACATTATCTTTCAGTTTACATGATGAGTTATGTAGCTAATTTATGTGAAGTATGTAAATATTTTTTTAGATAAAAACGACAGAAATCATCGGGGAAGATTGTAATTGACTAAAAGTTGGTTGAATTCAATACGTAGCTTGAGAAAAATCAGAACGATTAAATAAAATCTCTGAAATTTTGGGCTAGTGCCAATCTCTTCTTGTCGGCAACTTTTTAAATTCAAGTATCCTATAATTCATATTCATCGTTGCCTGAAGAAAAACTCGACTACTGAATCCTAAACGAAACGTCAGAGTTTTATTCATTTTCACTAAAAAAAAAAGAAAGAAGTTAATTCTGATAATCTTAATATACCGCTTCCTTAAGCCTAAACTGATATTCGAAGCATGCACTTTTATTGATACGAATCAGAGCAAGATACTTATTGGCAGCTAGGAGTGTTATTGAAAAGAGACATAGTTAAATAAGCAATTTGTAGAGTATTAAAACTGAAATACAGCGCAGCGTGCAAATGACACATCTCGTGCGAAGAGGTTCTTTGAGTGCGCAAAGTATGAGTCGTGAGAATGACTTCAATGAAGTTAGCACCGCAATTGAATAACTATCTTGTGAGTGTGAATATGAGTATTTTTAAGAACGAATATTTAAAGAAACACTACACGCACACCAGCCCATTCCCAACATTGTAAAACAATTACTTTGATTTGGCTATTTTCTCAACAGTCAACACGGCTAAATTTCTATCATTGTCGATAAATAAAATTCACTGCAAGTGTTAAAGCAATCTTAGTGCCAAGCACGAATAGATAGTGTCGAGATCTAAAACAGGCAAGACAGTTTGTTGATGAGACTATCGAACATACTGCACTGCCTTCTGTTTCGAGACACTTCTGAAATCGATCTTTATTATTCGCATTATTTAAGTAACACACAGGCGTGGTGCATTATTCGATAAGCAGACTAACTTATTCGTCTAGAATACAAATCAATCAGTTGTTATCAATTTTTATTCTATTTTGCAATCGGTTAAGTTGAAATGCAATAAATGATTTAAAAAAATAAAATTTATGTGTTTCATGTATGTACCAAAAAAGTCCATATTCATAGCACATCTACGAGAAGAGAACCATCGATTCACACTGAAACTGATGTAGAACTAGAAAATATTCAATTCGCCAATGATCATTAAAGTGGGTGGGATAGTCATTTGAGTTAAAACCAATGAAGCTTAGATTTTTTTCCTAAATAAAAGTCGCATTATCTCGATATGAATAATTATTGCGTAAGACCAAGGTTCTCACATATCTGCAGGATCAGCTTTAAAAACTCGACGCATTTCAAAGTAATCTTTAAGAGCCTCTCAGTAAATTCATGCGACTTGAAACAAATCCGAGCCCAAATTTCGCTTTCTTCGCTTCGTACACAACACATACACACAGCCTACATAAGATTTATTGAATTATAAAAGAAAATACAAGCAAAAATATTTTATTTATGCTTTTGTTTCTTTCAAGAAAAGGTTTATACTGTAGGAGAAAATATTAATGAGCAAATGTAGAAGACGACAACCATACACTGCTTTTAATGAAAGAAAAAGTATAAATAAATGAAACCAATGAGAGGATTATTGTTATTTGAATCAACCGCAGTTTTTTTCTGAATTTCTATGGCTTTTCTGCTGACGATTGGGTTACTTGATGCCTTTTTTTATTTTGGGTGAGGGATCGATGCATCAAGACTCACACACGTTTTCTATGTTTTGAGCTCGTTTCACTATTTTACGTTTTTTCCTCCGAATACTTTATTCGAACTGAAAAACAATGTCAGATTTGTAATCAGCATCACATCAATGATCCGAACCTATGTGTTTAAACGAAAAATAAAACTTGTGGAAACTTTGAATAACTGGATTCTTAACTATGCGTATAGGAGTGAATCGTAACTTTTTTTGTACAATTAGCAAAAAAGAATGAAAGTGCTTCTAGAGAAGTTTTTTCGTACATTTTGTTCCTCATCCTTCACTGAGTCTGTGGTAAAAATCTTCAAACTGCCTGATTCGTCTTGGCTGAGATATTGGAGTCTCAACTTCTGTTTTTCGGTAAAACACCTCATTAAGAGAAATTGTGGCAAATATGAGACTAAAGCTCATGTGTGACATATCATTAGATATATCTCAACTCGGGTAAGCTAATGACACTCACAGGAATCGAACTACGTGAAAAATAATCGGCAAAATATGCATATCTCTTCGAAAAACCTAAAAGTCGATTTCTCTGAGAGGGTGTGGGGCGTGGGCACCCACACTTATGTGGTAGTAATGCTTTCCCTCGAAATCAGCTTGAAAATCGATAAGCAGAAACTGAGCCTACCAAAAAAACTGGGTCTATAAAGAAAGCTGGGCCTACATTTTGAGGTATAATGTAAAATTTTCCCTAAAAATAAGGGAAAAAAAGATACAACGGATGATATTCCTATTTAGTTTTTCGAAAAGTGTGTTCCTTATCCGCTCTACGATCGTTTTAAACTGGGTCTACACTTTGACTGTATATCTTATTTCGTCAAAATCGAACCGAAACAAATAAACAAAAGCAAAAGTGAATCGCATGGGTGGTTAGAGAATCAAATTCTGCACAAAATTTACTATTCACACTTTGCTTTCTCTTCTTTCATTCCTTTAGAAATTTCATTTTATATCGATAACGGATCGAAAAGAAATGGTTTTTGGAACTTCCCACTCTCATATCTCAGCCGAGTGATGATCCATTGAGCTGTATTTTTTTTGTGGTAGTAAGAAAGGCACTACGGAGTGTGAGGAGAAACATAATTTGATATCGGATCATAGGAACTGAAGATACAGAAAAAAAGGTTGAAAAATTGAATTGTACAAAATAGTTACGATTCACTCATAGGTTACATTTACAATCACATGATAGGGAAACAATACAGTGTTGCAGTGACGTCCTAGAACATTGATGTCTCTGTATTGTCTGTGAAAAATCAATGGAAAAGCTAACAGATTGAAAAGAGTTTGTGTAATATGCATTATGGTTATTTTCTAATTCTGAATAAAAGGATCACATGACCACCATGAGACAGCTGAATAAAGCGATCTTCGTCATGCGTCAAACTTGTACCAAATCTTTCTCCAACGATACATATCCACAATCCACGATACTTTGCTTCGAACGTTTGCCGAATACAATCAGCGATGTCTCTTTGGACTGTATAGTTTCGAAACGCTTGTTTCGTAACATCAATAGCGTCATTTCTCATTTGTTCAGGCATGTCGTCCATTTCTACAGCCACCATATTGTTCTGTATATGCCAAATCGTTGTTACAATGCCCACGCTGGTTTAAATCTCGAACTGTTCTGCGAATGAGCCAGCTTTTATGCAAATGACTGCGATGTTTTCTTAGATCATTTCATAGTCACTTTTTCCTTCAATGCCTTTACTTTTTTTTCTTGATGGTTGTGCATTTCATCCATTGAGTGTAGTATAAAACAAATAGAGATGAAGAAAGACGCAGAATGAACATCAGACTGACGACCTGTTCGCCTGCTGTTTTCATCTCGTTATTTTTGGCAACATGCTCAGTTTACGACATGCTCTTCGTTCTAATCATTCTCGAACATAACATCAGACATTTGGCGAGTCGGAAGCTATTCGATACTCTGGTAAGTCTTGTACTTCGCAGTTCTCTTGGCGATGTTCACTAAATAAAATTTATTTACAGCCTTTTTTTTAAACAGGAAATTCCAATAAACCGATCGCTTGCTAATATGATTTTTCTGCAACATTTTTCATTTCAGAACGTGAAAAATGCCTAGTAAAGTGTACGTAACCGTTCATCAAACTCAGGTACCTACTGTTATTTTTTTGTGATTTGAACACCAAGGTGTTGCTTCCATCAATGGTCGTAATCTATTTTGTCCAATTCAAAAGAATTGAATGCAACAAATTTTCAATCACATATATTTCATCTCGTTTTCCTCGATGATGCTACCAGATAAGACACATATGTCTCACTCTCTACTTCTACACACGCCAGATTCTCTCACTCGAGTCGCTCTAACCTCTTCCATTGGAGTATGGCGAAAACCAAAGATCATTATTGTGTATTTGTCACAGCCAATGTATTGAAATAAATGAATAGAATAACGTTGCCTTCGAAACAATATATATGTCAAACTTGACATTGAATTTAACATATTCAACAATCAAATATGCTCTGAGATTTTCTGCAATTAATCGTAATATTCAATATCCTAGTTCCAGTTTCTGATCACTGAAACAACACCCAGTTGAGTTAGGATCGGTTCGGCTTTATTTGCTGGAAACCTTTCCTGTTAGAGTGCATATGAAAAAAAGATAGAAAAGAATCAATCAATTACATCATGTGCAAGCAATCGATCCTCATAGAAATATTACTTTATAGAAATTCATGTCAAGTATATCTAAAACAAACGATCCAGAAGTTTTTGATCATCACCTTACAGTATGATAAATTAATACATAGGGTGTGGGTGTCGTATTCTATTCGCCCACGACCACACCAAAATTTTATTTTCTACGATAATTCTACAAATAAATTGAATACGAAAGCTTTTCATCACATTCTATTATTGATGGAATCGTATTGGCATGATCAAAATTAGCCAGGGATGGGGTAGTGTTTCTATGCATCTGATTTAGTCAGATAGCAGAAGGTTCGATTCCTTCCCGTGGCACGGTGTTTTGGTTTCAATGATATTCGACAATGGAAGAATAGTCAAGAAAGAAAAAACAATTCAATACACGTGGATTCGTCATCACTGTCTCTCTAGTTTGTTTGTTTCTGTTCTCTGCATGTTATCGTTATCGTTCTCTCTCGTAAGCGTCCGACAAAAACTGTACTAAAAATCATAAAAAAAAACACTACTTATCTAATTAATTCGACTATTATTGTTCAGTTTCTGCATAGATCTAGATTAGAAGTCATTTAATAGCTAAAATATTATTTCTTCCATCAAAGTGATAACATAGATAGATTTTGAATAGTCACAAAAAAAAGCGAAACCGTACTTGCTCTTTGTACGATTCGCTCACACTGAAAGTAATAGACCGTTCATTTTCTTTTTATCGTTCTCTTTACCATTTTTCTATCTCAATGCGCACGCACCAGTTGCCACTCGACAACTACTCGTTTACTCTCGACCCAATCCTTGATTTTACTACATATTACATTTTTACTCAAAAAAAGTAACGGCATACTTGTATCAAATATAATAATTATTCTATTGATTTTTAAAGCAAAACTATCAATCCGATTGTTAAACCTGAGTAAATATGATTCAATATTATTTGCGTTCATTTTATCGTCGGTCACCGCTCAAACCTTCCCGGTGGCGTTCACTCTATCGTTCATACATTCGTATTTCGTTTATTCTTACTGTTTCATCGTTTCTTTTTGTAATATTTCATGCAATATCAATCATTCAATTGAATGATGCTGAATCCGATCTATCCGATATCATTATTTCATTAACGAGTACTCATGCACGATTTCACTGTGAACTGCCATTGGCCATACATTCATTATTATGTCAAAAACAATTACCAAAACAAATTCGTATTTATTTATCACCTACTTTTGAAATTACAAAACACAAAAATTTAACATTATCACATTTAAAATTGTCTGTACAACGTCTCGATCCATCAAAACCGATTGCTAGACTATTCGATAGATTAGTACAGATTCGATTAGAAGAAGAAGATTATGGTCCAGGAACGAAATTTCTTTCAATCATTAAAGAATTTTCTTCTAAATCACAAATTATCATGATTTGTGATGATGATTATTACTATCATCCATTTACAGTAAGTACATTAATGGAATATTCACATCAATTTCCAAATAGTATTATTGGCTTAAGAGGTTGGCGAAGTAAGTGTTTCCAGTTTGTTCATTGGAAATAAATCTTAGCTTTACAATTCGAGATGTATCTATTAAAAACGAATGTTTTTTTTTCAATCTTTTAGTTCGTGAAGATCTAACGTGGGGTGTAGCTGGTAAATATGAAATGGCCTATCATATTATCGAATCGTATTTTATTTCTGACGTTTATCGTGTTGGTGTCATTACAGCTAATGCTGCTTATTTAATTCGTCCATCGTTTTTCAATGCTGATATCTACGCTGCTTTCAATCAAGCTCCTAACGATATTCGTCATGTCGATGATATTTGGTTAAGTGGTCAAGCAGCAAAACAAAATATAGCACGCTATGTGGTTCCATCATGTTGTTCACATATTGATATTACTCGTACTCATGTACTAGAAGAATATTTAGTAAAGAATAGCATGAGTCGACGGTCAGCTAATAATCGTGCATTGCAGTGGTTTAATCAAAGTTGGGAGAACTATTTATGGTATAGATTTAACGGAGAAAATGCACCAAAATATCGCAGTTGGCGAGTTTTATTCTATCGAGAATGGGTTAGTTTATTGTTACAATTTAAATTTAATGTGTATTTCGGTTCTATATGAGAAAGAAAAAAAACAACATTTGAAATAATATCCTAATCATTTGAACTGAAAAATATCTCTTGCATAAAAAAGAGAAGAGTTACAGGCGAATAGGATTTGGAGTAGAATTCGTTTGGTATTGTATTGGCAGACGATCAAAGGAGGATGTTATAAACGTATGTAGACTTGGTCTTGTTCTTGGTATACAAATAGCATAATTGTGATTCAGAACAGGACGAAACCAAAAGAAAGGCGTAGTCAGATAACGTACAGATGCTTGTTCATTGTCTATTTGTGATATTCTTTCTGGGTAGAAATAATATTGATCCATAGGATTATAAGTATTTCTTGAATAGGGAATCGATTTCGGATGATCATTGAATCGAACATTTTTTATTGGATTTGCACGTTCATATTGATATTGATTCGACCAAGCCGATGTCAAATCATAATCACGAGAAAAATCAACTGATACAGCAAGTTCATCAAGTCTTTCAACATGACAACGTGGATAAGTTGACTGATTGTTTGATATCGATGGTTGATCATGAATCCAATTATTATAGTATTTTGTTGTTTGTTTAGCTATTGGATAGAAAACTAAATATGAAAAACAAAAATATGAAATTTACAGATTCAACGAACCAGCATGAGAAAAATTCTTGAACAAATGTCAGATTGAATAGAAATTTGAGTATGAACTGTCTGAAAAAATTTCTCACTTACTGTGTTCGCTTACTAAAGATAGCGAGTAACATTTGTTCGAGAATTTCTACAACACTTGTTATATTTACTTACTATCGTAATCCGTAACTGTATCAATAACAACATCATAATACATCGGAATAATATTTGTGTTTGTTGGAACGCCAAATTGATCCTTTGGATGATATTGAGATAAAATATCATCGATTCTAGGATCATTTTGAATCACAGATTGAGATGGCGCCATTATTATGTGATTTTGATCGTTGACCATTTCCATTGGTAGATACGAAATACTATCGGATGGTGCATTCAAAAATGAATACGCAATATCTCGATCAAGTTTAGACATCGTTGAAACAAATATCGATAGTGAGCGTTTTCTGTGTCGCATGATTTATTTATAGGTGGACAGATTTGATGTCAAAATGTTAACGGTGTCATCTTTTTCCTGGATAATCTTTTTATTCAAAAAAACAAAATTATGTAAATCGACTATCGGATGATAAAGCTAAAAATAGTTCATTGCTTGTATCCATTAAAATCGCGCCGGCAGCATTTGCTGAATCAATATCTTCGGTTAAACTAGTTTCATGATCCGAAGTAGATGATACAGCTGGAAAAGGAAAGTTCGCTGGTTTTTTCGGTAATGGAGGCGGTGGTGGAGATGATGAGTGTTTGTTTTTGACAGCAGTATGTGAACTGCTGCCGATATTCTATGAAAACAAAAGAACAACACTAAAGAATTTTTTGGTTCTCATGAAAAATACTTACAGCGCTAGTTGCTCTTTGGTTTCGATAATTATTGCGTTTATGAAATGCTGATGTGTTTGAACGATAACCTTCGTCAGTTACCGTTGTTGATTGATCTCTGTTTACAGTTCCACTTCGATCAACACTATTTGATCGTTCCATTTTTTCTGATGCCTCTTCGAACGATGATTGTGCTTTAGCGTATCGTGAACGAGAACGATGTGATGAATTGTTATAATTCGATGACGCAATAATACGACGAATTTGCATATCGAATGATTTTGTGAAAATATGGCAGCTCGATAGAGCATTACGAATTTGAGACGCTGATGATGGCGATAATGGTGAAACAACAAATTTCAGCGGAGTATTTTTTGGAATAAGAGCAATATTAGATGTTGTTAGTGACGCACATACAGCTAAATCTTCAGAACGTGAACCAAGTAATTGTAAACAACCGAGGAAATCTGTATATGCATATGCGCCTATATTGAGACGAAGAAAAAACTGAATTTTAAAACTTTTATGTAAGATAAAAACTTAACCTGGCAGCTGAGCTAATTTAATATCAATCGGAATGGGAAATCTGTCAACCAGATTTTTAATTGTTTGTAATTTATTTACATTACTCGAGCCCTGCTGACCAACAGGTATTAAATTAAATTCATCTGTTGACGAACAGGAAATATAACATGTTTGTTGTGGATTTATCACACATTGCAATGCATCTTCAGTCCGATTTAAAACTTGTTTACTAAAACAAAACCACCATGATAATTCATAATCATCATCTGTTAAATCATCGTTTTCTGTTGGAGTATATTCAATTGAAACAATTTTCTCGATTAATATTATTTGATAAGGTTCAATTTGATGCCATACACGATTCGTCAGACCGTCAACATTAGGCTCAAGTGTATAAACACGCATTGCGGATGCAATATAAAATGCTTGAGACCGATGATCAACTTGCATTCGTTCGACAATTGAATCGACATTTGTGTCAGGAACAACACCCGTCTGTTGTTGTCCTGAAAGAGAAAAAAAAATATGTATATAATTTTAAATAATAGAAAAATCGATTAAAATAATCAGAATCTTACCGTTGTGAGATGATGATAAACATTCGAAATATCCTAATTTTAAACAGTGAGAACATATAGCGAATTGATAAAGTACTCACCGGGATATTTCATAGGTATGGCAATGATTTCGGAATCAAGAGGAGTATATTTCGTATAGCCATTTGTTGTTGATTGACTCGTTCTCAATGCACGTCCGAAAGCAAATGTGATACGTGAGATAGAATAAAGTATAACTGGACGATTCGAACCACGAAAACCTGGCGCTGATCGAATAGCCACTGGTAACGTATATTGACTGGCAATCGATTGTATGGATAACGGTTGTGATGTCCACTCGAAGGACATTTTTATTAAAATAAATACGTCGAAAAATTAACTAAAATACATCATTAAAACCTTGTGCGTTTACAGTGTACTTTTCTTTCGTAATAAAAGCGAAAAGCAAAACACCGAATAAAACGAAAGGAAAATATAAGCATGCAATGAAAGCTATCTAAAACTATTTATTACACTCACTAATGAAAAGAAAGGAAGAAACGATTAATATGGCGTGACAACGAATGAAAATATTTGACTTTTATTCGTTATATCATGCACACTATCGTTTCTACTGCACATTTTTTGTTCTAATACACAAAACACAAAAACTAACTTTTATCGAACCGTTGAACATTTTGAATATCGAGAGATCTAAACAGGCCAATACAAAAAATTTTCTTTCTCATTTATCTACAGTTGATCAATTTAATTCGAATGGCAAGAAGAGAATTCTGTATTTCGCAAAACAAGCACACAGGCGTATCACTCATTTTAGCGCTGCGTCCATGATTCATTATCACTATTTGCGTTATATATATACGTACATATCGGAATGGGAAGTAACGATGGTTGTAATATTCAGTTCGTTCCTCGGCAGTAACGAATAGAGATAAATTAACGAGTCAAAAACATCGATATATATATATATATATATACATTTGATTGACATGACATACTTTACCTCTAGCCTAAACACAATAACAAGACCATAGATGAATGATTGTAAATATTGTTAACGCTATCGGAACTTCTAAAAAAAACTAATCATATGTTTATTTGCTTCGGAGAGAAAATAATGGAATTTCGTTTATAGGCATTTAATCTGTAAAATAGAATGCAGGAACAACAGTACCAATAGATATTCATTATAATCATGCTTTAAAGAGAAAGTAATGCTCCTGTTGCGTAAATCATACATTAAAAAAAGAATGAAGCAATCCTTCGCTCAAGTTTATACAATTTTCTCAATTTTAGTTCCGTAAAAAATACGCTTGTACAATCAAGAACGTAACTTAATCTATTTTGATATGTTAATAACGTCGAAATCTATGAGTACAAAGGTATTTATTATCTATCTCATATCAGATAAAGTTACATTTTTAATTACAACAAAAAAAGAACATCAATGCAATTGATTTAGAACGTTTTTCAATTGATCATCGATTTTTATTAGATCCTCATGTCCATCTGGCAATATAACATGATAAATATCGGCTGCCTTTCTGTAATGTATTGCTGCTCGTCTGAAATCAGATTGAATTTCGTATACAGAACCAATGTTACTGTAAACATTAGCAATTGAATAGTGTTGCGGATCAAGCGTTTGCACTTTGATTGCAAGCGATAATCTATAATGATTTAATGCAAGATCATACCGGCTTAGGTAATAATAAATAATAGCAATATTATTATGAGTTTTAGCTATATTAGGATGATTCGAAGATAAATGCTTACCATCTATCACTAACGTTCTTTTATAGAATTCTAATGCGTCTGCATACTTCTTGTCTCTTCTATGAATTGAACCCATATTGTTGTAGAAATCAGCCATTTTTTCATGATCTTCTGCATGCGCTTTTTGATACTGTGCGACAGCTTTCTCATAATAGTCCAATGATTTCCGGTCGTTGTGAGTAAGTAAATAAATTTCAGCTATAGAACCATATAAATTACCGAGCTCTATAAAATTCGATGAAGATCTTCTTAAACACTCTTTTAATGCTTCGTTGTAACATTTCATACTGCGAGAGTAGTCTTTTTTTTCCCTATATACTCTGCCAAGTGAACAATGTAAATCAGAGCGTACCGGATCATTCTTTGGCGCTTCATCCAGCTGACGATCATACATCTTTCGTGCTACATCAGATTCACCGATCCGATGTGCTATATCGCCAAAAGCTCGACGATCGATTGTGCTGTCTCTATTTTCATTCCCGTGTATTCTATTCATATATTCAAATACCTGCTCGAGATTATGTTCGTTCTCGCCACATAATTCCATTTGAACCGTCCATATGTTTCCGTCTCGGTTAACATCCTTCAAACGAAAGATACTTCCAAGCATAAACATTATTATTGTTTCCGACATGAAACTATGAAATCGACTTATGTCAATAAATGGGTTCGCAGTTGCAACGCTTGGATTAGCATCAATGACAAATAAGATTTTGCATTTATCTGAAGTAGTTTGCGTATTTATCAATGATTCGAGTACCTTATTCTGATTGGTATTTGCAAAAAGAAACGTTTTGATAGATATATATCCATTTTTCGACTTCTCAAGATCATGGCGTTCTTCAAATGACATCATTTGACTATGATAAACACGAATTTGTGATCCATATTGATTTTGTTTTAATTGTTCATACATGTCCTGAAGATACAAACGAAATAAAAGCATTTGTTCAATGCTCTGCTCATTCAAAGCTTTGTTTAACGTTGTATACAAAAATGATTCATGAATATACCATAGTAAAGCTGTTTCGTTCGAATATTCTTGCTTGAATTCTTCAATTATTCGTAATTGCCTCTTGTTACCATGGAACTGTTTCTTTAAGCAAGATATGAGTTCTTCCCTATCTTTTGGATCGAATCGTAATCGAATAATGGAGTTGAGTAGAATAAGTGAGCGAACAAAGCTTTCGTTTTCTCTGATTATGGATGGATTCGGGTCATCAGTGATAGTATAAATATTGAACGAAATTCCTTGGTCGATATTCACGAGAGTTTTTTTGTCGAATTTTATTCGATCAATTAAATTTTGTTCGCAAACAATCACATCTTTGACCTGCAAAGAAGAAAATAACGACGAAAAATCATTAGAAATCACTATCGTACCTTTCTATATTGCCGTGCCCATTCTTCATTCAATTTTTTATCCATGCAATATACATAAACAGAAGAAAGTTGCGGTAGGTCATGAACTGTTTGTAGTATATCCCTTCCTAAACTGCCACTGACAATAAGAATAAGTCGATCTTGTTCAGTAAGAGATTCAACTGATGTTCTGCATTCGTGTGGATCATGAAATGTTTTAAGATTATTATGGATGGAACGAATACGTTGTTGAGTTTGCCGGTTATCACCATTTTCATTGACTTCTCTATCGAGCCAATAAATTAAACGAATTGATGAATCGCTATCTGCGATTGGGCAGACTTTAGCGTTTCCAAATGCCATAAGTGATTTGCTTCCAATTAAATAAGCAACATCTACGACGACGAAAACAAAATTGTTTTCTTTCGAACAATAGAATTACACAACATGTTCGCTTTCATTTTTATAGTTATTTTACCTCAAAGAAATGTTGCGTTTTGTTGACCGACTGCAAACATAAATAACAAGAACGACAAAAAACGTACTTCCCCATTCATCCGCCAATGATTTTTACAGAATATTTCGATAAGAATATATTTCGCATAGTCCAATTATTCTACTAGCAAAGAATTTTTCTCGCTGTCAATTGAAGAAAAATAACCATGTGGGGTCCATGCCGATTGGAAGTTAGTTTTTAAGTACTACAATGAGCCATATGTAAACAATGCTGTCGAATGCCTAAACCTATTGAATTCGGAACCATCTTAAATATTACTATTCCTTCGGAAATATCGAAATTAAAATTAAAATAACAAACAAATGCGATAGTTAGACCGTACGAATGAGCATCAGCTCTATTTTCAAAAGTAAACATTTGATTCGTATGTTTACTTCTCAAGAAAGTATTAAGAAGCTTTGCCGCTTAAGTTTGTCGCCCTTCACCCGATGAGGAGAGACGCCGAAGCTTCAAAACAAATTTCCAACTGGCAGCGGTTAAAATGTTATTTACATGCTGACAAATTGCGTGTTTCGTTTCCATAGTGATTTATTAGAACGATTCAAAGCGATTATGGTTATTTTCGTTTTTGAAAATTACATCAAATTAAAAGCTTGCCAATAATTAATTAGAATGCAACGTAACAACATATTTGAAACAGTGAAGATTTCTCTGATGATGCATTTGTTGAAAGTAAGTATTGAGCACGGCAAAAGTGTACTCAAGAGGTTTCTCGGCTTGAGGCAAAGAAGATTGTTTCAGTGGTTAACTTTAAGAAATGTCATTTCGCTCAGAAAACGTTCTTGTTTCTAACTTAATTTTATTGTAATACTTCAAAAAAATTTGAATCAAACTTTGACACAAATGAATAATTGACGCTGCTTTGCTAAAAGCAATACATAACTGCAAATAAATCCCTGAAATTTCATTAGCTGTTCCGGGAATGACCAAAAACTCTGATGGGGTTTATTTTCTATGCGTTGCTTTTGTCATTCGTGACAATTATGATGGAATTGCTTTTATTTTAATGATAATCGTAAGTGATCCCTATTACTACATGCATGAAACCTCAGAGATTTTATTCAATTAAAAATACAACATTGGCCTTTGATTCGAAAAATGTCGATTTAATGCGTTCTATTTAACAACACCAAAATCCTTTCCTATACTCTCATTAGTGATAATGCTCAAAAATTTTCTATCGTCTCATGCATTGAGCAGATAATGTTACTTGCTCAAAATCATTTACTCAATCAGAACCTCTTTTTTTCTCTATCATTGACAGGTTTGTAAATACTAGAATATTTTCTCTATGGTATACTTTTCATGTTTTTGGTGAAATCTCCAACCATTATCTTCTTTTAGTTCATACTACTAGTAACAGTTGACAGAGTATAATATAAGGAAAAGAAATATTTTGATTAAAAGTGATTCATTGTTTCGCATGGCGGGCCATTAGAGTCATTATTAATACACTTCGTTATTGTCAAAGAAATATCTGCTTGGCCGACACTCTATTGGCTAAATGACAAAACAATGTAAACAACGACTAACAATTCCTATCGGTGTTTTATGAGTTTTTGAATAGCACCAACAATCGATCATTTTCTTAACAAAAGAAACACCATTCTATTTGACAAAGGTTCATAAAAAAAGGACCGAAACATTATGATAAATCACAATTTATAATTAGTTAGCTTTTCATCGAACAGTTAAATATTCTATCCGCTCTACAGACATTTTCTAACGCAGCGTTGCTCTCCGATTGTTGACCATCGACGACATAAACACCGACTTGAACAACATTGTTCATCATGTGAACATATGACTGCTGATAATCGACAAGACTCTCCTAAATATAGTTCATTCTTATTTTAATAATTGAATTAAAAACGAATCTTCACAGTTACCAGAATAGAGCCCGGCATTATCGTGTTGTGATGACTGGCTATAACGAAATACTTCGGAATCATAAGATGACTGACCAAATATAAAACGATTTAAATTACGTTTAAATGCTACACGAACGAGATCAGCAATGCCTGTCACTGCAAACAAACAAATTTTTTCATTTTGTTTTGCTTTTTAAAGTTCTCACTATGCGATCTTTTATTAAACCCTTCAATGGGTACCCATACTACGGCCATGAAGATAAAAAAGAGCATAAAATGTTTTATAAATACTTAACAATCGACGCATCTTGTTGTAAATCAACAGTTAACCTTTAAATTCATACAAAAAATGCTGTTCTCAATGACAGTTAAAAGATGTATATGATGTCTATGTGGCAATTGGTTGCGTCAATACGAATATCTGAAGTAGAAAAGAAACAGTACGAATGATGCAGCAGTATTCACATTTATTATTTTTGACACTAGTTGAATTGAACATTCGGACTAACGTTCGAATTTTCGCACGCAAAACAAGAAAGCGATATATAGGGCTTACAACTTTTTTCTTGCTCTCCCTGTTCTGTTACGAACAGAAAGAAAAACAATAATGACAAGCTCATTCTATGAGAATATTTATAAGTGGCACTCCTTATCCTAAGCCTTATCTACACAGTCGTCATCACAGCAATAAAATTAGTTTCGAATGAATACAATGAATAAACGAACGAGTTCAGAATTGAACGACCAATACTACTACGACTATTGGAAAAGAAAGAATAGGACGCTAATGATTCTTTTTTCTGTTTGATGCATCGATTGTAGAGAAATGTCAGGATTCTATATTCGTTCCATCAATATATAAAATCACCGGTTGTAAATTCAAAACAACGTTTTGACTAATGCATAAAATTTCAGTTTGATCGGCAGAGATGAAAAAATCATGCAGAATATGAAATCGTAACGACGTCACACATTACTTTTATCCTGATAAATAGGCAGAGAGAGAGAGAGTCGATGATACAATGAGTGTATGATATTTGAAAAAACGCAAGTATAGACCAATAAAAAATGATGTTATTTATGGCGAATGCTTCGAGGTTAGGTCTTCTATGATCAATTATCGGCCGAATTGTTGAACGAGATCAAAAACTATATAAGAGCGTGCCGTAGTATCAGCGCAAACAACGATTAGAAAGAGTATAGAAGTCATGATAGTTCGTCGCATAAATAAACTTTTGTTTTCTCTATTGTATTCGAAGAAAAATTCTTTTGCTTCGGTTAATAATAAAGAAGTTCTATGTCAGTTACGTCTAAAATTATCAAAGTAATTTTCTCGTCAAAACCATGATAACAGTCATAAACAGACAAGAGGTAGATTTGTGTTTGATTGTGTCTCTAGAAAGAAAGAAAGAAAGAAAGACAACTTTGCTACTGAAAGCAAACTTTATTTTACTCTAAACCACAATTATTAATTATAAATAACAAAGACAAGACCCGTCCGATTCGATCTCATCGAATCATTGGTCCGATTTTTCATTCTCTATGAACAATCAAGTGGTTCGTTACTTTTCTATCGTTTCGATTAAGTCTTAAGTCGATAGAAGATTCTTTATCTGAATGATTCATATCAAATTTCTAAAGAGGAAAAATAAATCGTGCCGCTCATTTAACATCATCAATCAAATAGATAGTTCTTCGTATCTATTGATCATTTTATGTAAATGAAAAATTCATGTTATCAATTGCTACCTCTAATAGTTTAATATTTCACTATTGTTTTACGGAAAAGAAAACAAACAGACAAGATTTCCACCAATTATACTTAATGTTTCCTGTATGCAGCTTAGTTTTATTTATCACTTTGATTGTTTGTCATATCTCATATGTAATTGCATAATTTCAATGAATAAAGCGCACGACAACTTCCGCATCGCAAAGCGTGAATATAGGTTGTTTGATCACGAGATAAATGATGTTTATATATATATATATATATATATATTTCTTAAGATAATAAAAATAACAGTAAGTACGGAAATAAAAGATTTTTAATACTATGACAGATGCGTCAACAGCAATCATAGAATTCAATGTAATTATAGGATAACAGCAATGAAAACTAATTCTATTTTTTACAAGACTATTAAAAGATTTGTATTTTTATTACTTCCTATAGAATAATGAGTTTTAAATGTATGGCATCGACGGTTGTTAATACGAGTCTATCTTAATGAGATTTAGCCATAAAAAAGAAATTCACTGATTATTTCTCTCTCTATATAAGTGCCTGTCTCTGAATCTTGAAGTCACAGAAATGCAATTAGAAAAGTATTTTCTTGCATGCAACTGGTGAACTACTCAGTACATTCTTAAGTCTTCTCAATCGTTTTTATATTTAAACTTGTTGCGAATCCCTTCGATTTCTTTCTCTATCAGCTACAATATTTCTTTTTATCTTACGTGCGACCTGAGAGAACTGAACAGTCGAGAAAGTATTTCAAGATGTTGTTTTTGTGTTTTCATCAATTAGAAACTTTTTATTTCACACATGGATGTAGTTGATGATGAAGCAAAATGATTGCAACAGTCTGTTAAAGGTATGCTGGTAGTTTTCAGGAAAGTATTCTTTTACTTATTTGACTAACATCAATACTCCTCAGCTTTCCAAGTTTCGTTGTTTATTGTATTTGATTATGAAAAGTTTTTATAGCAACTTGCGTTCATTAATATTGATAGTAATATCAAGAGATTTAGTCCCTTGTTAATTCATACATAAAAATAGAATATTGACATAGATGAAAACTCGAACGTTTGATTATAATCGAGAAGAAAAAACATAATTTCATATTTTATTGAAAAAGAATGCAAATTTATTTTTATCTATAAAATATTTAAACAATAAATCAATCACGAACGATTACAATGGTCGGCCTTTTTACAAGTCCTAATAGTTAGTTCAACATGCTACATTGTTTTTGTCTATAAACCTATTGTCTATGAGTATTAGTAGCGAAAAGCAATTGGCGTTCTTCCTCTTCTTCAGTATTTTTCTCTGGATTGTTCTTTTAAATAAAAATAATTTTTACTTAAAAGTTAAGTAAACCTTCTTTATAATGTCAAATATTTCAGTCAGAAATAATAACCTTTTGCAAACTATCATTAAATTAACCCTTTGCATTCATTGATGATTGCACTGACTTGAGACAAAGCTAGATATAAATAATATAATAGTCTTTTTTTTTAGTTCTAGGGACGACGAAAACAATTCTCTATATTATAAAGAGAAAAAGAACCGATAATAATTAATACTTGTTAAATAACGACTAGATTCATTTGGATTTTGTTTATTGCATGCAAACTATACGCATTGACAATAACGCGTCTGAATAACAATTCGAGACTCATAATATGCATAAATAGAAATAGCAATTCGACTATACTGAAGAATATTAATAAGGTCACATTGTTATGACTAAAATATGTATAGTTGATATTTTGATTAATATATATTTCTTTTCTTTTTAATAAAATGTAAGCCATTTCTTGTTTGTTTCTCTCTCTCTCTCTCTCTCTCTCTCTCTCTCTCTCTCGCTTCTAACGAGCGTGTGACGATCGGTCCTCGTAACAGAAAAGTTAAAACGGAAGTCAATAATCAATCTACCATTCGTGCATATCCTAATTATATGCTTGTTATACTAGTCATCATTAAATTGCTTGTCACTGGTGTTGTTACTGTTTATTGACATTTTTTCCTTTTTTTTCCTTTGATTGATTCTGTTGATTCAGCTATTGTCGTTCATTTTACAGTAAAAAGAAAACAAATATTGTTCGAAAAAACAAAACAATCATATCTTGATCACACTCGACACACTTATATAACTACCGTTCCAGTTCAATTCAGAATAAGTCTTCAATGAAAAGTAGACAGCTGTTGGCATAACGGTAAATTTTGCCATTATCTTCCTGTTTTATCATCATGCAATTCTCTTTAGCTAAAGCACAAATAATAAATCTTGCGTATGTTCGCTCCGCTAGTTAACTATGAAGCAAAGAAAAGAGAGTATAAATGTGTGTGCTAGCTAGTTTTTCATCACGAACAAACAGAAGAAAGAGTATGCAGCGTACGCCATGGAAAAATATCGGATGACAATAGATGAAAAAGAGTCGAGCTCTATTCGACGTGTATTGTGCGCTCAAAGTAATAAGCGACGAAATAGCGGAGTGGGCTAGGAAAAGAGATAAGAATAAGAAGTCGAAGAAGAACAAGAAGAAGAAAGCGAACAAGCGGTTGAATAACCGTTTGGAAAATTGATTTTTTTTACAAATAATTGAGCAAAGAGGAAGTATGAAAAGAAAGAAAGCACGAGAGCGATGCTCTTTGTGTTGTGAATGACTTTTCAAGATCAGTATTTGACACAAAATATTTTTCTGCTACGTTAATGCTCTGAAAATAGACGCATTGGTGCATTTCAATGATGCTACGTACACGAAATAGGATGTCTATTCGAGCGTTTCGTTCATTATCGTAATTGGATTTGTACATATGACACTTATAGTGATGACGATGAATGCCCATACATATTACAACTGTTGATGTTCTAATACGAGGGTCATATACCCTAGAGAGGAAAACGACATAAAGAGCAACAGAGACTTAGCTAGAAAGAAGGCACAAGAGATGCGCGAACGAATATGCCTCTGGTGCGTCAATGGTGATACATTGATTAGATAAAAAAAAATTGTTAAATGTAAACGAGAGCAGCAGTTCTCTATTATTTTATCATTGTTCCCTTCTTCTTCTTCTTCTTCGTCTGTTTTGTTTTTGTTATGCGAAACATATTGGCTTTGAAAACATCTATTCGAGCAAAGGAAATATATTAACGTTCATTATATTATATTATTCCTTTATATATATATATATATATATATATGTAAAGTCAAATGCATTACACCTGATTGAAATCAACTAACGTTTGATGTAGTACACATGTGGATGTATGAATAACGTTGCCGATAGGCCTATAAACGCCTTCGATAAACCTGTTTCATAAAGCAGACTACTTTCAATCTCGCTATCTCTGCGTCTCTCGCTCTCTATTTCTCTATCTCTTGGCTTCTCCTCTGTCTCCAGTTGTCGTTATACAGCTGATAAGGGAAAAAATGCGACATGAAAATACAATATTCCCTCTTGTTGCTATTTGACTAAGGCTCTTTGGCGTTCCATCTCTTCTCCTCCTATTTTCTCTTTCTCTCTTTCTTTTCTCTTTGCCCTGATCGACTATTTCAGAATAATAACTACCGCACTGACGTGCATCATCATTTTCATCGAAAATGAAGACGCTCATCTAACAATTTTCTCGTTCGTCATCATTCTATTTGCGACTTATCATCATTCCAAGATTGATTTGCAAACTCTATCGCTATTACTATTCGACCTCGATTTATTTCCGTACACATAAAGACCAAAAATAACGTAAAAGAATAACAAAGATAGGTTCATTGTCATAATTCATTATACTATGGGTCAACGAATGACGCGCCGACAAGTTGCTGAAGGTCTTGAATTATATGCACAGAAAAATTATGATGCTGCCATAAAAAAATGGACGACAGCATTACCAAAAATGAAAGATAATCGACTACGATTTTCTACACTTGGCTATCTAGCATTAGCTTCACGTGATCGTGGCCGAAATAAAGATTATCTTGTTCATGCTGTACAACAGATTGACATCGCTCATGAACTTGATGATAATGTACTTCGTGCTCAGGCATATTTAAATCTATCACGTGCAAACGAAATGCTTGCTGACTATTTTAAAGCGGTTAGTTATTCACGTTTAGCTATGCAATTTTCACCTGCAACAGATGTGGTACAAGGCTATGCATTACTTGTTATGGCCGACTCTTATATAGGTTTATGTAATTTTCCAAAAGTACTTGAATATCTTGATAAAGCATTGAGTATTTCACATGAAAATGAAGATCATTTAATGGAAGTTCAAGTGCTTAATACAATGGGAAAAGTATTTCTTGTATTAAAAGATTTTCCAAAGGCACTCGCCTTTCAACAACGTGCACACGAATTAGCTTTATCAAATGCAGTTTATGCCGGCGAACAAAATGCTAACAGTAGTGCTAAATTTGTACGTTTAACAAAACTAAAGTTAGCAACATCATTAAGAATAATGGGTGATTTTCAGGGTGCCACTAAATGTGTCGAGGTTGGTTGTATAGAATCCTTCTTCTTCTTCTTCTTCCTTTTGCTTTAGTTTTTCGTCAAGAAAACATTTATTTAATTAAATATAGGAAGCAATGCGTTCAGCGTCTAGCGTTGGTGATCGACCTGTTCAAGCGAAATGTCTTGTGTGCGTGGGAGACATTCAACGTTCTCAAAATAATAACGAGGTAGGTAGAAAATCATATAGTCCTGATCGTGCATCTCTTCGTGTATGATTAGTGTAATTACTGAATAAATATTCGTGTGCACTCAGGAAACGACATTTTTCCGTTTTAACAATTTTTATTGTCTAAAACGAAAATCGCTTATCACGTTGAAAGACTTTTTTTCAAATGAAAAATTGACTTAAAATATATGTGAGACGCTTTCGACGGCAAAAATGCTGTTTCCTCAACTGATTAGTATGCATAGTCTAAACTATTTTGTATCTCTCTTTCTTTTCCTTTTATGCATATTATCAAGGTCGCTTGCAAAAAATATGAAGCAGCTATTCAAATGTTACAAGATATGAACGATCGATACAGTTCTACGCTTGCCATGCTTGGTCTTGTTAAGACTCTACTGGCGCTCGATACACAAAAACAAATGGTAAGCGATATTAAATCTTGAATCGATCGCTTTCTTATTTCACTTATGGTCACAGACAATTGTCGTTGTCATTTTCCTCATCAATGAAAACTTATGATAATAAGAATGGCAAACAAATATTCATAGATATGTGTGCCTAAGAAAAGAAGAAAACGAGAATAAGAATGTTTCTCAAATTATCATATTAATAAGATTCTTTTGGTGAATAACTTTGTGATGTATTCTTTGCTCTCACATTATTAAACTCAGTTATAAGCGAGACAGCAACGGGATGGTATGACAACAGAACGGAACAAAAGGATGATCTCCATCCGATGAAATCGAACTAACGTCTTCTGCTTTCTGGGCAGCTCTACTGCCACTATACTAGAAAGGAGCCTGGATTACTCGTTTGTTCCGTCTTATGATCGAAGGGGAACACTTCGGTCATAACAAACTTATTCATGCCATCATTGCTATTACAATCATAACAATTACATTCGATGAGAGTATCGGGTTGTTTTATGTCACGGACATTCTTATACTACTATATATTTCATGTGTTGTCTTTCAATAGACGAGAGAGAGAGAGCACGGGTGGGGGGGGCGGCAGACACATAGATAGAGAAGATTGCCTTTTATGATACTTCTATAGCCAGCAAATGAGTTAGGCGTGCTATTAACAATGATAGTTTAGTAAAAACAATAGGAAATATTCGTAGGCACGTCTTTAATTGATATATAAATGAACAGCTAATTCTTTCTTTTTTTTAACATTTAAAGGCATCTGAAATCCTTGTTACAGCATTATCAACTGCAACAGCGATGGGAAATAAATTAATGCAAGCTCGATGTCATCTATTAAATGAACGTATGCTTGCATCTGAGAATCAAATAAATGAGGCACGACAAGCATTTGAAATAGCACACCGTCTTTATAGAGAAGTTGATCTCATGTGTACAATTTGTAAGAATCCCATAGGTATGTATCGAGATCAAATTCAAATATTGACATGCACGCATATCTTTCATGAAAGGTAAATAGAAGAAAAAAAAATATTGTTGGTTTTTTTATTTTATTTTAATTATATAATTATAGGTGTATTTTAAATCTATTGCAAAAATGGACGTATGAAGCACAAACGTGCCCAAAATGTAATAAAAGTGTGTTATATAGTAGAAGTTACATTGCATTATCGGTATCCTGATATGATGGGAAAAAATGTTCGTTTTTTTTTTGATTTTTGGAAAATTTGTTTTCTCGGTGAATTTTTGTAAAAAATTAATCATATGATAATACATGCATAGGGATTGCAATTATTCATTTGGAATATTTATAAAAACCAGCACCTGTTTTTCGACCGAATTTTCCTTCGGATACAAGTTTGTTTATTAAATCAGTTGTTCGAAATGTTGGTTCGTCTGGATAACGTTTTTGCCATCCATCGCTAATAAATTTTGATGTATCTAAACCTACATAATCCATTAATTCAATCGGCCCCATGGGATAACCAGCGCCTAATTTCATTGCAGTATCAATATCTAATAATAGAGAGAGAGAGAGAGAGAAACAATCAATCGCAACAATATCCTCACTGCGAATACGATTACCTTCCGGTGTAGCATCACCACGTTCAATCATTCGTACTGCTTCAGCATGATAAGGTATCAATAATCGATTAACAATAAAACCTGGTGTATCCTATAATACAACGGTCAAATAACAAGACTTGCAATACTCTAATAAAAACCTTGCAAGAAACAGTTGTTTTTCCTAGTGCTTTGCCAAAATTTAACATTGCTTGATATGTTTCGTCACTAGTTGATGATGTACGAATCACTTCCAGTAATTTCATTACCGGTCTACCAAAAAATATAGTAAATAAATAACGGATGCGCCATAAACAATAATATTCTCCGTAGTTTCTTTTTACGCCTATCAGGTATGTAGATATTCAACGGAAAATTATGTTATCTCGTTGGCTGTCTAGCAAAAAATCAGTTGCATTCGAATTTCCATTCACTAGATTATAATAGCATTGGTTGTTAGTTGCACTTGCGAATTTCTAACAACTAGTAATTCCATTATAGACTAATAGTAGAAGAGTCGAATGCTTTTATGAAAGTTTGCGATCACTATCACTTTTAGTCAATACTCTTAAGGATTGGGAAAATTTGATTAAGTACTATCAAAGTGGAATAGTGCAATATTCAATCTCGGTCAATTTTACAACAAAGTCTATGGAAGAGAAAATGAAAATACTCATAATGAAAATTGAAGTTTGCACTCAGTGCAAATGAGTATTTTCACTCTATATAGATAATATTTTTCACTCATCATAAAGAAGCTCGTTTTGTGGTGCCACTATATTTTCTCTTGAAAATTCCTTTCATTATTTTTCATAAGAAAAAACTATGACTATTCCCATAATAGGATTTCCATAGAGTGTCACGGCAGCTCAAAACAACTTATTAACTACTGAAAATTGTTTTGAAAATATCCTCTAGACAGCGATAAATATAAAACACGCAATGAAATCGTTTTAGTTCTTCCAGCGACTTCGAAGATTAGATCTAACGTAATTATGTGATTCTATAGAGAATTGAAAAACAGATTGCGATTGAAACCAAGCGTAATAGTCTCACTCCAAATCTGCATAGGATAAATCGTTGCTTTAGGTATTGCATTCATGAAAAAAAAACTTTTTTTCTATTTACACTGGATTGAAAAAATGTAAACCGCCAAATTTATCTTGTCGATGAACGTCTCTTGCAATTTCCGTTATTGGTAATGATGATGTATTACTTGTAAAAATTGTATGTCTAAAAATTTGAAGATGTTCGAAACAGAAAATCTGAAGAAGAAAAACAAACTTCGGTGCAATTTGATCGATTTGTTTAAATAATGCTTGTTTTATTTCAAGATTTTCAATAATAGCTTCAATGACGATATCTGTTGATTTAACAGCATCCTTGACATCTAAACTTGTTTTAATCCGACTGCGAATATCATTCAAATATGTTTCGCCATTTGCTTGATCTTTATCAAACTTTTTCTTAACTATACGCTTTAAACTTGTTTCGATTATATTTAAACTTTTATCAAGGAATTCTTGTTTTTGATCAACAAGTATAACTTGATGATTTGTTGCAGCCGCAATCTATCGAATAATTCATAACAACCGTAAAGTATTTCAATAGAAACTTGCCTGCGCTATTCCTGAACCCATCAGACCACCTCCAATCACAGTCACTGTTTTGATAGCTCCTAGAACTGAATTTGCCATCTGAAAAAAGCAAATACTCTTTCGTGATATCGATTTGTTTGTTTTTTATTTGTGAAGTTTCTATTTAACATTAGAATACTATCTATCGAAAAGCAACTATATTGGTACATGAGAGTTTATTGTTGCTGATCTACGACAAACAATGCATTCTTCATGCTGCTGTTCAGTTAGTTTTGCAAAACATTCGCCACACATTGGGCAATGATGACACGGATCGTATTCGTAGACGGCTGCATTGGCACAGCATAATTGACAACTCTCTTCCGTTCCGTCTGAACTACTTGCTGTTGAGCGTGGCACAGTTTGACTTTTCGTCGTTGATAATCGTGATTTTATTCTGGTTGCTGGTGGACGAATATTTTTACTTGCTGTTGGACCTTAAGTCAATAGAATAGATGTTAAAAAACTTCTGAGTTAAAAAGAAATCATCTATTGGCAGACACGGAAATCCTCTAATTGATGGATCGATTTGGAGTCGAGATCATGAGTATTATGTAAATCCAGACGAATCAGTATTATCCTAGAAATAATTCGTGCTCGTTGCTTATTGCCTTCAAGATAATTCATCGTTTCTGTCATCGTTGAAATGAATATCATGATTCTTCTCGGAAGCAATAGAAAAACTAATTTCATCTTCCATCATACAATAACATGAGGAAAGGTGTCGGAAAAACCACTCTTCTAGCACAACTGAACATTCTCCACGTAAAGAGTATTCACTATGACTATGAGATTTCGCATAATAATATTATATCTTCAACAAGAGTTTCTTTAAGAGAAACAAATTTCATTGGTACTCGTAAAAAAGACACACAGTTTTCAATACAGCAATCTCGTCCGGCACGTAACGTCTTGTAATTCATAAAAATCGTGTGTCATTGGTGGTTTCTCATCATTGAATTCGTGTAAAATTACAGGAGACTCTTTTCACCAACGATTTTCTTAAAAATGTTTCCCAACGCGTACGTGCTTTGAAGAAAATATCTTTTCAGATCGGCATCTATTAGGTACCTTGCTCCTTTCAATAAGACAATGAATGAACCACCACAACGGATAAACTAAAACTGCCAGAGTAGCTGTCTAATTCGAGTTCGAATATAAATGTAGACAAGAAAAAGTTAAACGAAAAACTAAATCTAAGAATAGATTTAGTTTTTCGTTTAACTTTTCGATATATGCTACATATGAATGCATATATATATACCCTTCACCCCCACTCACATCTGAGCACTCCTCGATGGTATGCATCACTAACAACCGTATTTAAAGTACACTGGGTACTCCCATCACCGCACCTTTTCCGGGTACCCCTCCTACCCACCCCCTCACTTTCACCGCCATCCACAGTTACCCCTTGGTCCCTCTCAACCCACACCCACTCCATTTTAAGCGAAAACTAAATCTATTTCTCTCACTCATTTTCGAATTGATACCACGCAGTGAGATGCCCATTTATATTCGAATTTGAACTAGGTATCTCATGAACTGCCATACCTGTTTTAGGAAAAATAACATATTTAATTGTTTGTGTACCATTAATTTCGTATCTTTGTCGTGCATATTGTTCTACAGCAAACAATACGAATAAAAGATTCGATTATTTTCGTAAATGAATCAAAAATTTACCTCGTGGACATTCTTTCACAACTCGTTCAACATAAGATACACCACGCTTTTCTATTATATAATCACATAATGGATTAAATGCAGCATGTTCTTCAAATGGACAATCTCTATAAATGAAATTCAATAAAAGTCAGAAACCATTGCAAACATGAACATTATTCTACCGTGGTTCAAAATCACACATTCTATTACCACAATAATAACAAATTACTTTTCCGTCACCCATATTAATAAAACCAGCATTAGCCATTGATACATTAGATAGATGACTACCGGCTGGATAGTTCCAATCAGATTGAAACGATTCAGTACGCTTTTCTATTATTGAATACGATGGATATTCTGGAAAACGCATTTTACTTGTAGCCTATGAGAAGATATTGTGTTAGAATGAAAAGAAAAAGACTATCAAAAATTAAACTACCAGCATAATATTAGGATTCAATCCACCAAGTTCACGTCGAACCCAAAGACACCATGAATGATTTCTATCTAAATATTGGCCGTTCTCATGTCTATGCACGCGCATTGCCGTCCATGGTTGATCATTTAATGGTGAACCAGGAAGAATAGGTCGCAGTTTTAGAATATTCTCAACTCTGTGTTCGGTTAACTCGACAGCACACCATGGACATTTAACAGTATTACCTTCAGCATTTAAAAAAAATCCTGCATAGGCAAGTTCTTCGACGCTAATGCCAGCAAAACTTTCGCGATTACATCTTCTAAATGAATCTAAGCGATTAGATTCGTAGGCTAAAGATGCACGAGGATCAACTGGCGATGCATCAGGGCTTGTCATATAAACCGCTGATGATTGAGATTCTGGACTTGGTGGTTTGAATGGATTTGTTCGATTCTCAAGAATCGGCGATGTAAACTGACCATGAATATCATTGTGCATAGAGTCGACACAAGATTGTGCTGCCATTGTTTGTGATGGCTCTGGCGATGTTGTCAAGGGGGATATTGGTGTTGACGGTACCGATGGAATACGATCCATATAATGTGCTCGAAACGGTGTAGCAACCGTTTCGTAACCTTCATTATCAGATTCACCGGAATAATCAGATATATTGAAATCAATTGGCGGTGTATGCTCACTATTACTTGACGTCGTGGTAACAGATGAAAACGAACTTAGAGAAGTTCCATGTGATGCTGCCGATAATTGAGCAGCATATACTCGTTGATATTCAGCCTCATCTTGTGATAAAAAAAACGCAATGTAAAATTTGATTTTAAATAACGAAAAAGTAAATTACTTAGTTTAGAGCGATCAAGAAGAACTTGTCTGACATATTTAGCACCTAATATTTCTTTTACCCATTCACATGTTGGATAGAAATGTGCATGTAACTTTTCAATATTATATTGAGGATATTTTTTCTGCATGATTGATAGTGAATTTCCACATTGAAAACATCTCATAAGCTTTGGTGCTATAAAATACGCAAATATAAAATAAATAATTCGAAATTTTTTCATATTTACTATCAAGAAAAAAGCCAGCTTCAGCTCTTTCACGTATAAAATTATCCGCAACTGTATGTCGTGCTTTGTACGGTTCAAATGTTTTAATTCGTTCAAAAACCGATTTATATCCGGGATATTCCGGAAAAGCCTCTCGATCTGGAATAGCAACATTCGTCGGACATTGCGCTCGAACAATAACACAATCAATGTGTGATAATCGTTTTAATTGTTTTGCTAAAGCTCGATGTTGAGACATAATCGATGAATCTGTTTTTGGTTCAATTATAACCGGACAATATGCACAACGAATATTGTTTGTATTTCTATAACGATAAAAACCGCACGCAGCTAACTCTCGCCATAAATATTGATCATTATCAGTTTTAAGTGATAAACCATCAAGTGTTTGCAGACGCCACTTTTCATTAACACATTGAAAATCACCCGTGATAGAACTAGCAATTGCTTGGATTATTTCACAGTCAGCTTTTCGCCGTTTATGTGTACCGTATGCGGTCATACCGTAACCCCAATCATCGACTTCAAGATCACACATATAACATTTAACTCGTAAGTCTTCACCTAAATAATAGAAGCCAGTTTGAGCTAAATCTTTTGCTGATATTGGAGCATCACTAGGCCATTTGTCAAATGTGGATAAACATTCATCAACAGTTTGAGGTTTACTTGAACTCATGATTGTTTCTGATGTCATGGGATTACGAGAACGTCGTTCTAAAAGTAGACAAAAAGAAAAACTTTCAAGATTATAAATCGTCTTGTTGACAGTTTCTTGTGAACCTTCATCAGAAACAATATGAAAATAACCAGCATCAGCAATGAATTTTACACCGGCTTTAAATGTAATAAAACGACATGGAAAAAATCGAGCATGCTCAAGTCGAACAATATGCTCATTCGTATCACGAATAGCTGCTGACCAATTCACTAATGTATTACCACAATAGAAACAAGTAACACCATCGTTAGAACCTAAAGTTTTGATTCGCATCAACAATATGAAAGTCAAAAAAGTAATCTTTACCAGAAAAATAAAATCCATGTATAGCCATTGATGATGGCGTGACAAATGTTTTTTCTTCTCGCTGTAAATAAGGCCATGCATTGAACGTTTCCATACGTTTAGCGTAATCACGAAACTCAGGTTGTTCAGCATCGTCCCATTGCATTGTTTCTTCTACTTGATAAGAAAATGGCGGATGGAGATCATCAATATTTGTGCCCGATTCGCATAGTAGAAACGCGCAACGTTTGCCAAGATGAGAAAGTTTCTTTCGATGTGATAATCGAAAATAATTCGAAGGATATGTATGATTATCATTCAAAGATTTCAGATCAATACTGACACCACATTGTGGACATAAACATTGCGGTTCTCGATAAATAAAACCAGCAAGAGCCAATTGACGACGTGTTATTAGTGGAAAATTTAATAAACTAAATAACTATTGTAGACACTATTCAACTAATTAGAGAATCTAATTACCTTGAAAATGTTTCAAGACGATATTTTTCCGATGCAATAATGTGATCAATTGCAGATGTTTCCAATACCGTTGTCGTCATTATCAGTATATCCAATCAAACGATGATATGATCCATGGATGTGTCGTTAACTTTCAAAGCATTTTGATAGTCTAAAAGTATAGCAACTATTGGCTCTAGTAAATTTTGTCGATGATTTCTTGTGTCGCAGTAGAGAGTGAGAGAAAAACATATGCGTCAAAAGAGAAGATTTAAAAAGTTTTTTTTTCGTTCTTTTATTTATTCGTGTCACTCATATTAAAATTCCTTGACTAACGTGCCTTAAATTTCATGTTCTTTCTAATTCGCTGTTTTAATCTGTTTTCTTTCCATAAATTACATCAATATTCTGTTAGATTTAAATATCACTTATTCCAAATTAGTCTTGGTTGTTTCCTCCTCTGTTCTCTAGGTTCGAACTTGGCAAATGCTATAGTCAACAAACGCTACAAAATCATGCATTAATGCAAATCAGTAGTATTTATGTTGTAAAGCAAATATTTTAATTCTTCCAATTTATCACGCTTAGTTTATTTCAGGAACCAATTTCATAAGTGTAGGCTTTCTCTAATGCAAATTTGAGCTGATTTGAGGAATTTCGCTTGAAAATATTATCGGGGCGATCCCTAGAATTAACGGAAGCTCAGAGCGAGATAAATTTGACTTAGATATTAGTAATTCTTTCTCTCAGTAGATTTAAAAATAGAAATGTTATCTTCAAAAGGTAATAAGTTCAAACAACAAAACACATTTCCCTAACGGAAACCGTGAAAGTCGCCCAGAATTTTTTCTGTTCTTTTGCAGCCAACATTCTAGTAGATAACGACTGAAGAAATGCCTCGATTTTCTCGATCTAGATAACACACCCCTCGTGTACAATGTTGGAAGCAAGTATTTTATGTTAATTAGAAAAATATCGTTCGGATGGTTTGTCGTGGCTCTTAGAAAAATATACATTTCTTGGTTACTTCCCAATCTGTTACCTTTTTTTTCATTACAAGAAGAAAAAGTAAAATGCCTTCACTCCTAAGTCTGTGCGATACTTATAATAAATGTTTCAACCCAATCCGAAGATAACATTTCGACGAAAAACAGACCTAGAAAAGAGGTGTTTTTGCACTGCGATAACAATATCTTATAAGAAACACTACCAATCAGCATAGAATCTATCGTAGTGCTTTTATTTGTCTTATAAAAATTTATTTTATCTCGTAATTTCAAAATTTTTCTTGAAAATTCGAAGGAACAGTACTGTTAATCTTTATCAAGAGCCTCTCTTCTGCAAATAGAAATATTGACATTGATACCAGTAGATATTTATATCCGACTAATAATAGCCCTTCAATAAATACTACGTTTTTTTTCATTTATTTCGCTGATAACGAAGATTTTCTTCGAGCTAATTCTCCACTAAATTACATTCTTGTGTATATAATTTGTGGAGCAATACGATTCAAACCATATAGTATTTTATTATAATCTTTGGTTCCATTAGGGATACTTTTTTTCTCGTACTCTCGATCTAGGTCTAATCCGTGCATATCTACACAGAATTACTCTGTATATCTTTAATCGGAAGATTCCATAGTACGAAAAAGGACAATGATAATAATAATAATGACAAGCGCATGCTAATACAAAAATACATACACCCTATCAATGCAGAGTAAACGAAATATTCTTAGAAATAAGAATCTTTATAAATAAAAAAAAACTTAATGAGATAAACTACAGGCCTGCTCGAAAGATTCTTTAACCGGAAGTATAGCCCACTTCTTTAGAAATTACATTGAGATAAAAATAAAATTCACGTTCTTCAAGGACATTTCAATCTTTTGATAATTAAAAATAAAGCAGCAATTTCTGTTATTAATAGTTATTCTTTTGCTTTATTATTATTATTATTATTATTAAAGCTATAGCATAAACCTTCCTACTTTTTATAATCCACTGACAGAATTAAATCTAAAATAAATTTCTCATTTAATCTCTTTCTCTATTTGCAAGTATGAAATGAAAACTCGATGTGTTCATTTAAAATATTCTTGGCTTCCTTTTATTTGTTTTTTTTTTAGTTATACATATTTATAAATAGAACCGCCACAGTTGAACAGACTTCACAAAGCAGATGTACAACATAAAAATGAAAACAACAATTATTATAAATAAATGATATACATTTCACAATACAATAAGACACATTGACTAAAATATAAAACAAAACTGATTTGGCATTTTCTTATTTGGATTGGCTGATTGGTATATGGCAGTTATGGCGGGTAAATAAAATAAAGAAGAAGAAGACGACGACGAAGAAAAATAGGACCATTATTATACAAATCGAAATCGAGAAAACAAATCAACGTTACAAAAGTTTATTCTCGTTGTTGTTGTTGTAATAGTTCATGAATGATTTCGGTTTCTTCAAAAATAAGTTGTTTTAGTTGTTGTAATGGTAAATCATCGAGTTCCATATCAAATGTAAATAGATGTGGAGCAACAGGTTCATCCAATGGATCATAATATTGAGCCAGATATGGATGTTTAAGTGCGTCTTCAACTGAAACGCGACGATTAGGATTAAAAGTTAAAAGATAATCAAGCATGTTCAGTGATAAATCCGATGCATTTGGATACAATTGTTTCCACGGTGTTCTCTTACGAATAGGTAATAAACTCACATAATTTCGAGCACGTTCATTAACTGCAACGAAATTAAATGAAATCAAAATTTTCGTTTTTTTTCTTTCTTACCGATTGATACTAAATCAGCTTCATCTGGCGAACCGACGACATTTAAGATTAAATTTATTTGCTCAATATAATGTTTACCAGGAAATAAGGGTCTTAAACGAAGAACCACGTTACATTTACTCTTGATTAATCATTACTATTTAAATAACTTACTTTCCACCGATCATTTCAGCAAGAATACAACCAACAGACCATATGTCAATTGGCTTATAATAGCCACGTGCATTGAGCATGATCTCAGGAGCTCGATACCATCGTGTAGCAACCTAGATATTATAATATTAAGAAAACATCACACCAATATTAATATAGACGTATTTACATATTCTGTCAAGAGACCAGAATGATCTCTAGTTGGATCTGCTATTCTTGCAAGACCAAAATCACATATTTTTAAGTCACAATTTGTATTTAACAATAAATTGCTTGGTTTAAGGTCGCGATGTAAACTAAAAAATAAATTGTTGCTGTCGTTTTTAAATTTCAATGTACTGATGAAACATACACATTTGCTGAATGAATGTATTTCAATCCTCGCAAAATTTGATATAGAAAATAGCAAATGTGTTCATCGGTTAAACGTTGATGACGCAATAGTTTATATAAATCACATTCCATAAGACATTGCACTATATAAATGTCTTTCATTTGATCGATAGTTTGTGCACGCATAACTTCTTGTATGTTAATTATATTTTCATGACGAAACCGAGATAAAATTTTTATTTCACGTAATGTTCGCTGACAGAAACATTGATGTTCGAATGGAGTTATCTTTTTAATTGCGACACGTTGTTGAGTTGTATGATCAAATGCTGATACAACCATACCTTGTTGGGAAAAACAAATATTTAAAAAAATCATTGGTTTATTGAATCAAGATCAAATTGTGACTTACCATAAGCACCTTCGCCGATAAATTTTAGATCAGTATAACGTGGGCCGACTTCGAAACGTTGCTGTCGAACTATTTCAACATTGGGTCCTAATGCTGAAGGCGGAGGTTTTGAAGAGGCATTCGTACTATCGGTTATCATATCAGCATACGAATTTGACTCATGATTACTCATTTCGGCTTGTTCACCGTCTTTTCCAGTAATGCTCATCGGTAATGAAGTATGAGATAATATTCTATTAGAAATAGAAACACGGAAGCGTGCGAACTATTCGGATAGGCAAAATTCCTAGACACGATTGATAATTAAACGACGTTGAATCGCAATGATAATATATATGACGACCCTGAAAAAAAGCGAAGCAAAACAAATATGTCTTTGTTTTCATCAGTCAGCAAGGTGCAATAGAGAATCAGAAAAAAGAGAGACAGAGAGAGAGAGAGAGAGAGAAACGTCGCTACCTCGATGTACTATTACACGTGCAAGTGAAACACTAGCAAAATAAAGAGAAAAAGACTCTCCAGGGAGCGATGATTCGTTGTGAGATCAAAATCTGACTTTTCTTTTTCTCTGTAGCATCTCTTTTTTTATGAATGGTCAAATGACAACTTTTTTGCGTGTCGTCGTATTCTCTTGTCAATTCAATCTGAGATGAATAATAGATTTCTGTTTTTTTTCTCGAGCAATTATGCGTAGGAGTAACTTATTGTACTGTACGTCCTTTTTGCCTTCGAATTCATTCAAGATGGCAGTCTTCTATTTAGCTAGAAATAAAATAACAGAATATGTATAAAAACAAAAAGGTTCCGACGTCGCAAGAATTATTTTTTATATTAAAAAAATAACATCGTGTCAATATTTAATGCTTTTCATTCCCTCCTAGTATCAATTACATGTTGTTTATATGCCAATGACGACGTACATCTGAGTAGCAGTAGCACAGGACAAGAAAAAAAAAAGAACTAAATTCACCTAATGCAATAGGTTGCCTATCAATATCCAGGGTTTCGCAAATGTATAGAATATCTCTAACAAAAAAAGAAAAGAGAATGAATCATTATTGACACATCGTCTCATTAATCTTATATTCTATCCGATAGAATAGACATCAGATGTGTTTGCCAGTACGATAAAGAACAACAATGATTAAGTTTTTTTTTCAACAAAAAACAATGTATATATATATATATGAAAGTCTTTCTCTATAAAACGTAAACTTACGAAATTTTCGATGATTGAAAGAAATGTCCGTAAGTTTCTTTTTTTCTACAAAAAATTAAATGAGAAGGAAACTCTTCGCCGACAAACTATATATTAACGATAAATTTTTCATATAGATACGACAGATTCGAATAAATTTTAATCGTTCGCTTCTTTATTTTCATATCGGGTTATTCGTCGTTTTTTCTTTTCTTCTTTTTCACATATTATTTTATTGCCCTTGATATTTTGTCTTTAACTAATGTCACTAGTGATGACCCTGAGAGATTTATATTCGGCAGTCGTTTTCATTATAACTTTTATTTTTTTTTAAGGTTGTCCCAGCTGATATACATAATAAATTATCAAGAAAGACATATCATACCTTCAGAAAATAATTCAATGGATAATGATTGATCAAATAAGAATGTTTACTTCGCTCTTTTCAATATTTCAAATTTCTCTATTAATAAAGCATCTAAAAATAGAGAAGACATAAATTAGACACTAAATAAGCGCATTATTTACAGAACAACATTAACTCCGGAATATCTTTCTTCCGAATAAGAGTGATGTTTTGCCTTGTTTTTGCTCGTTTGTTTTTATGTCACATATACATAAATACAAAAGAAAAAAATCTAGAGCACCAATTAGCAGAGTCGTTTTCTCTTCTTCTTCCTGTACTGCTCTTCTCCTCTATCTTTCGGTCGTACGCTTGCTCCTTCCTTCCTATTCCGTTTTTTTTCAACGAGTATTATTTACTTGGTTGCACAAACTGTGTTTTTTCCCTGGCACTAGATTTTGTCAAGCTAGAAAGCATACCGTATAAGAAAAAGCAACGCAGAGATAGTAGGATTATGTCGGAGTGTGCGAGCGAACACAACTGCTATTCACAGCTGCGCATATGAAAAGACAATAGAAAGATATTGTGTGATTTAGAGATTTGTTTTTCTTTTCAAGGTGAACGTTCTCAGTATCGAATCAAGAAGAAAAAGCAACATTAAGAGAAGTGAGCATTGCAAATTCATGAGGATGCTTATACGAAACCATACACAAAAAATGTATATCTGACACCACTGTTCATGGATAGCGGAATGAAGAGAATGACAATGAAAAGAACACACAAAGATATTTTGTTAATCGAGTTCGCATCTACTCATCACTGTATGTGAATGAAACGAATAGGAACATTAGAATTCACTGAAGCAATAACACAAACACATTGAATAATAACGATATTGTCATGCAAGATCACTTTTACGTCATTAGTTATTCATTCATTCATTCGAACTCATATTGATAATACAGTTAGAAGGAAAACATAGTTTTATACACAAATACTAAATATTTATATGTATAATTGTGGACGGAACATAGAATAAAGGTTTTCAACCTGAGAAGACAAACACACACACGTGGAAGAAAGATCATATATAAAAAAGAAGAAAAAAGAACGATGTTACGATTACATTTGTTTTTCCGAAGAGTAAGCTGAAGCAAGAGGAGTTGTATTTACGGAGTGTTGACGAACAGGTCGATTCTGCTGAGATGATATTGATTTATTAATGACTGAAGAATTTGTTGCTGATGCCGCAATAGCACGTGTTGGGTTTTGAACATTGCCCGCTGACATTGACGATCGAAGTGGTTGAATGCCGGCTGATGTTGCTGTTCCACTTGCTGAGCTGAATTGAAAATATTTAGGATCAATCTTTGAGCTCACTGGTGGATTCAATGAACTAAAAAGAAATTTAATTTATTAGATGCATTTATTTGCATAAAAAACATACTTCTGTTCAACATTATCTTTTAAATCACCACTACTTGCTGAATAATGTCTAACAGCAGCGGCTGATGACGACGTATTTAATGTTGATACTGGTACTTGAGTACTGCTCATGATTTGTTGATGATGGCCTGACGTTGAACTATTCCATGTTGTTCCCTTTTAAAGCACAGCAATTGTTGAATGAAAAAAAAATCTATCCAATTCGTAAAATTATATAAACAGAGATCACACTGTTCTGAGCGGACCACAACGAACTCATTATTGTATCGAGTCAATCAATCTGTAATATTTACCTATGCGCTTTATTGATTCGTTCTCGTGGCCAAAAGCTTCGACCTTCTCATTCAAATATTTTTTATTTTGATAGGCTTCGATAAGTACATGTGTTACTTGTATTTTTATTATTATTATTATATTCACAGGAGATTCTGTCGATAACCTTGGATTAGAGAGCCACCTCATTTCTATTGATGTACGCAATGCAGAATTAGCAATGGGTCATTGCAAAGCATGATATTATTTTTAAAGCGACATGTGCATTCTCTACTCATAATTATTGGACTTTAATCGATCATTGTTGTTTTTTATCGTGTCACTAGTAAGTATGATTAATGTCGAAAGGACGAAGTTGATATTGTTAATAAAAAGAAAATCGGTGAAACATAGTTCCCGCCCCCCCGCTTACTTGAGATTTATTTATGGGCTCATAATGTGTTTGAAGACTAGGAAATTGTGCAACATGCCGCATGGAATGCAATTCACCATTTGTTTGCGAAGCCGTCTAAAGCAGTAGAAAACGGATTTTTTCTTTTCGAGAAAAATAAATTGTTTCGAAATAAAATACTAAAAATGATGTTGGGCGAAAATGATTTGTTGTTGTTGACGACGATGAATCAAGTGTCATATTGCCATTTAATATACGTGGTTGTTGAGGTTGCATATTTTGTAATTCAGTTAATTTGTGATTCAGATAATTAATGAGAGCTTCGTTCTTTTTCAAGAGGTCTTTTGCTTCATTATGTTGCTCAGTTAACTTTTGAAATGAATCACTCGACTTTTCTAATTTACTGTTTATTTCAGCATTTTCCTTTTGTAAATTTGCTAATTCACGTTCTTTTTCTTGTAGAATACGTTCTTGTTTTGTTGCTATTTGATCTTTTGTTTTCATCTGGAACAAAAATGTATCTATAGAGAAATGAAGTCATTGTTTTGAAAAATTACTTTTTCTCGACTTTTTGCTAATTCTTGTTGATATTTTTGTAAATCACTTTTGCATTTTTCTAAATCATTACCAAATCGAATGATGATTTCATTGCCTTTGGCTAAATCTCGTTTTAATTCCAACATTTTCTCCATTTTTAATTGAACTGTTTCTTCATATTTTTTCTAGAGAAATATTTAATGAACAGTAAATAATTGTGGCACAAATGAAATTTATTGTCAAAGCATATTTGTGAAAGCATAGGAGAGTTTCTTTTTAAGAAATTCGAATATTCTAGTCGTTGGATAAATAAAATTGTTGTAGAAGTAAAATTAAAGTTGGATTATCGCAGAGTTCTATCGTTCCCTGTAGACATTTCAAAAATAGAAGCGAATGTCTTTGTCAAAATGAAGTCAACCTACTATTGTCATGCTACTACCATATGAAATAATCCTGAGGGAAACACCGTGGGCTACTCTACGGATGATTATTCATTTATCATGGTTTATTATTGATGTGAAGTCGGTTGTTGGCGGGCGCTCAAAAAGATCGTTTAAGGGCAATTGATAAGACTAGGCTTCAATATTTCTCGTTCTTTTCACCGTACCTTAAGCTGACTAAAATAGGAAAAACAGAAGTTCTTTTTTTGTGCATTTACTATCAACTGCGTATATTTGATCGTGGTATCTTTGTTTTTCTTTATTTTTGCAAGAAAAAAGAACAACGTATTTAAATAAACACGTAGGTCAATAGTATTCCTGTTTGCATAGTCATCGTAGTTTATCGAATAAATAAATCGGTAGTTTTAATTTAGACCGATGGCATGTCTTTTTTTAGGTCGCCTTGATTTTGTGGCACTCACATATATTTTCGAAGGAAATAGCCAGTGTAAGTTGAATTGTTAGGTTTCTGCGGCTCCCCTGTACTCCACACACACACACACCCTCCCTCCCCATTATAGACATAAAACATAAAAAAACTAACACTTATATGCACTAATTAGTAACTTTTTTTGGTAGAAGTCGATTGCCTGCGTTCACCACTACTGACATCAGTAATAAAAATCTAATTTCATTAATTAGAAATCATTATAATTAGGATTTAGTCTCTTATTAATTATCAAGATCTGTCGGCTTTATTATTATAGCCCATATTTACGACAGTATTATATTTTTTTATTATTACAGACGTTAACAACGAGCGTATGCTACCGCTACAGAAGCTAGCAACTAGTTTAAGCTACTATTACACTCGTTATTTCTACTACCTACAATAAACAGATGAAGATTTTGATGTTTTTTTTTCTCACGCAAATACCTTATTCTAGAGCTTGAATCCACTTTAGTGTATATTTACAATTCGTAACTTTTCCATCCGCCGGGAAGCTTTTATCAAATTTTCGTTTATGAAAAGGTGTATCAATTTCTCACCTGATAATACGAAAAAATATAAATTTCTGAACAATGTTGATAGCGATATCCTAAATACTGTTTAAACTATTACCATTCGCAATATTTCTCAATGAAACACTTCAGCATACTGACATATTCTAAACAAAAAGTTTTTCTACGTTCTCTCCAGTAATATTTTCTATTGATAGATCCAATAAATTTCAAATGTTAAAAAGGTTTTATTATCTTATTTTTGAACAAAATATGATCTCATTACACTGAAAAAATAAAACTTCTATTTGATCAGTATCTAACTGACCGAAATATGTGAGTTCCACACTTTAGTCCCAACGGGGCTGCGCTGAAAAGCTTTTCTATTCTACTAAGTCTTTCCTAGAAATGTAGATTTCGAATGAAACATTATTAAAAAAATGTATAATGCTAATTAAATATCTTTGAAAAGAATCTGTTAGCATGATTCGCGTGGGAACAAGAAATTTCAAAGACGACGTCAGCAGTTGTTGCTAAGCATAAGAAAAATTGCTTTATTACATCTATTTTGGGATGTCATTATATTTCTTAATCTCGCACAAATCTGATAAGTGCGTCATTGATATAGAAGATCTTGGATAATAAATCAACTTTGTTTATGGCACGGAGAAGGAAATATTGATAGGGTGTATGACACGTTTTTGTCTAGGCGCAACCCAAATTTCTAACTCAACAAGTCAACAGTTCGTTTAGATCGTAGAATTTACTTTTGATTCTTGTTCGCTAGCAATGCGATCGTTTGTTTGCTGAATAACTTCTTGTTTGCTTTTAACTTCTTGTTCGACGAGTGCAATTTTTGTTCTTAAATGATTAACAGTTTTTTCATATTGATGAATATCATTCTCAAGTGTTGTATTTGTTTTTCTATATTTAACTATTTCATCTTTGGATTGTTGATATTCTTCAGTTAATGTTTGTAGCTTTGAACTAAGTTCATTGACTGTTATTTCATTACGATATTTTAAACTAGTTAATTCCTTTGAATAGAAAATTTTTAATTTCTTTTTTACCTGTTCGTGTCAAAATAAATAAATACAAACTTTTGTCGTTTCTTCAAGTTCAGATAAACGCTTTTGCATATCACGAACATTGCGGGATTGTGTCTGTTCAAGTTCACGACGATCATTCTCCATTTTTTCTTGTAAACTGGTTCGTTCCTATCACACACAAAAAAAACAGCAGTTAGAACACCGATGAGTTGAAACAACATATAGACGTGGAGCTAATGAATTAAGCAGGTTAGGATGAGCTGAAATCCTATCAGATGGCATACGTTGTTGTCATGTTAGGATTTATTAAAACAACTCAATAATACTTCTTGTGTGATAATCAAGGTTTTTACAGACGTCATGATGTTGTGTAAAGTAGTGCTGGAATGTATGAGGAATAAATTTAATTATCTCAACAAAAGTACAAATGCATTGCAGTGAAAGGGAAGAGCATGTTCAAGATATAATGCTAGCATGATTAATGATCAAATGAGTACAATTGTTCATGAGCAAAATTCAAGACTGAAACCTGAATTAGTTTTGTTGTTTCTAAATGAGAAAAAACTTGTCTAATGAGACAATCACCTTTACTTAAAATCTTAAATGAATAGAATAATCAATACTCGAGATTTATCAAAGTGTAAAAGAAGAATTTTCAAATCTATGAAGATTTGAGAGTGCTAGTGTCGTCACTACATTTCTCAACGCGACGCTGTTCTAGAACTAATGGCTACCTTATGTTTCGAGTAGTACTATTGATCTTTTTTTTTCAAAAAAAAATGCAACCATTCAGTAAAAATCAACGTTTTGTTAAAATTTACCTAGAAAATTATGAATTCCGAGCGTACTTTGTTGGTACTGAAAAACCAGATAATTTTATGCTAATACTCCGAAATTATCGTTATTAGTTTTTCTATTCTAGATCGAGCCATATGGTTCCCAATAAACCCGAACGGTCTGTTTCTGTTTATACGGATAGTTGGCACGTGACGTACATGTTTCTTTTGAAGTCATAGAGGTTGCAACATTTTGTTTCTCTCTGGCAGGAAACTAAATTGGAACTGCAATCAACTCTAGGAGCCCGAGGGCTTTGTTTTAAGATAGCCGTATTATGTCACAAATGATTCTATCCCTATGAATGATATATTTCTATGGGCACAAAAGATTTATGCATGGAGAAATATGAAGCACAGCTGAGACCATAGAAAATTCTTTTATGTGATAACAATAAGCCAGCATTCTTTTATTCGTTTTCACAAATGATCATATTTCTGTGTCGACGACAAGATAGATAGTCCATCGGTTCTCTCGAAACATCACGGAAGACGTCACAGAAATCTACAGACATACTTGTAAAGCTTTTTCTTTTTCTTCAGCTAATTCTTGCATATGTTTTCCGACAATTTGATTATTATTAGAATCCCATTCGAGTTTCAATTTTTGAAAATTGGTTGTTTTTTCTTTCAAGTCCTAAAAATAAGAAATTTTCATTATCAAAAATATCCAAGTTCCATAAAAATCGAATCTACCAATTGTGTCGATTCAAGTTCTCGTTTTAATTTTTCAAAATCATTACTTAATTGATTGTAGTCCGTCTATCGAAAATAAAAACAATAGAGAAAATAAAAATAACTTTTTTATCTTACTGTTTTCGATTGTAAACGTCTGGCAAGATAATTTTTAATTTCATGATCATTTGCTGATGTTACTAATAGAGATAAATGTGTCAAATGCTTAAATGAACTTATTTCAACAACACGTAAATGTGTTTGATTTGTAAATTGTTGTTCATCATTTACAAGTTGTAATTGAAAACGAGAACCACTTTAAAAGCAAAAGAAATAATGTTTATAATATTTATAATTTCTATTTACTTTGACGGCGTTGTCTCATTATGTTGATCACGTATACATAATTTTAAATAATCAATAACATGTTGAGGAAATGCATTAAAATCAACTAATACGCCTTGGTCTCGTTTTAAACTAAAAGCAGATGAATAAAGGAATGATTAATTACGTGGCTTATCTTTCTACTTTTTAAAATCGTCGACATTTAAATGAAGTTCATAAAGAAAGAATGGATCATCTTCATCGGTCAATTTAAGAATAAATTCCTAAAGAATAAATCATTTAAATAACATTTTTTTATAAGAAAAAAAAACTATTTACCGTTTGCATTGAACTTCCAGTCTGGAATTCAACAGTAACATAAACATTTCGAGACCTAGATCAAATCAATATTTATATACATTAATAATCAATGAATGTCAAATAAATTACTTGTCATCTGATTTTATATGTGATACAATTCTTAGATTAATACTTTTACTAAACAAAGCTGGTTGATTTGACGAAGATACAATCGTGTCCATAATCATAAAATAAAAAATAGTGAAAGAGCACAACAAGAAAAATTTTCAAAGTACATTCCTATTTGATGAATCATATTAACCAATAAAATCCTAAGCGACACTTAACGACCAGTGACATCGTTTAGAAACAAAAGAAATTTTTTTTTTATATTCCCGATTGCGTTGTCTTGAACATCAAGTGTCAAAATACCCAACAAACGAATAGACTATATTACATCATTGATTATTTCTTATCAAAACAATAGAGAAAATCTAAGCTCGCGGTTGTCATCGTTATGTCAAAGATAGGAGTATTTGATAATCAACATTCATAATAAAATAAAACTTAGATGAGACAATAAAAGAACAAACGTCATAAATAATCTTTGATTTATTGTAGAAGTTCATAAGTTTTAATAATATACACAAAAAATATTAATAAGAGTCAACATAAAATGGCCGTGACTTTGTTTAACTTAGGATGATTGGTACCGATCAAGGTTTTTTACACGGCAATTCAAAAAAAAAACTTCAGACGCGGTTACGTAGCTTGAAAATTGACGTGTCTACAAATGATTAATAGAACAGCTGAAATTATTGCTTTCGAGCGAGTATCTATTAAGAACATGCGATTATTAACAATATGACATTGGGTACAAGTTTGACAGAAATATAAAAGATATTACTTCGTTTATACGAGGTTAAGCCTAGATTTTCTTTTCTGGCAGAACGATTTTGAACAGTAACTGCATATTGTCAGCCGAATAATTAAATTTTTCTTGATTTAATGACTTGTGAATTTATGAGATGGCAAAGCTCATCTCAAAAGAAACATGATCGTTCCGGCTTTCACACTGAATTAAAAGCAAATCATCCGCCCTAAGAACGAAACCTTTTTCCAAGGCTATTTTTTGATGATAAAAGAAACAAATATTATTCTTAATATCGCGCGTATTGTTTTAACGTTAATTTTTATTCTCCATTCTATTTATATATTTTTGTTGTCTTCTTCGATGTCCTCTTGTCAATGTTGTCTAACGCCACATCCATTAAGTCTAGTCGAGCGTTTCAATCTATCGATTCAAACAATAAAGTTAATTCGTAGAAATTGTTCAATCTATGAAAATATTCTTCTAGATGAATATGAACATTTAGAACGATTATCATCAAATCTAAATAAATATCTTATGCTTTTTAGTACAAAATCAAATCAAATCCTATCATATTTACGTCAGGTTACTATACAATTAAATAATCGTTTTGAAACTTCAATGAAATTTTTAAATCGATTCGAATGTTTGACAATAAAATGTTCGACTTGGTTAAAGACAAATTCAACAAAATCTATCCATTCTCAATTAAAATACTATAGAAAAAAATTTGACTTTTTCAATAATTCAATGGAACAAAATTTCTATAAGAATTATTTAGGAAAAACATTTTCTCATGATTTTTCAATATTTCAAATAAATTATCAACAACTCTCTTTACAAATGGATTCGATTGAACGTGAACATATAAAATTATTTTTTGAGGGTATTCAATTATTTTCATTATTGATTTCATTAGAAAATAATGATAAAATTAGTTCTATCATAAATGTCGATCAAATTATCAGTGAATGGAAAGATAAAAATAAAGTTCACATAACTTGGTTACCCGATGAGCATCAACAAAATAAAAATAGACCTTTATTAGCATTAGAGAATAATGTGAAACAAACATCATCCGATATTAAAATTAAGGCAATAGATGATTGTTCAAATTCTAGTCAAGATAAGTATGCAATCGAATCGAATTTAAGTTGGTCATTTACAATAGCAAATAAACAAGAAGATTTATCAGTAAGTTAGCAAGAAAAGAATAGAGAGGTTACGATTGCTAGCGTACTATAGACAACATCATGTGTCTATATTTACTAATTGTTTGCAATGCTATTTAGGGTTTCTCTAATGATTTTACCACAACTTTCATACTATAACGGAAAAAATAGATCCAGTTCCCAAAGATAAGCAATCGCTAATATCCGATCTCCTACTAATATTTAAATAGACAATAAACCGATTTATGATGATTAAATGGCATTTAAAATGCCTCATTATAAATTCATTAAGAGTACGAAAATCGAATAGCTTATTCATATTATTTTCTCAATCAAATTATTCTATCAAGCATATAAACCTTGTCGGGTTGAATGATTATGGATTGTTGCCAGTAGAAAAATATTACGATTGCTGTACGTATATACAAAGTTTCTATTAACGTCATTTTCTCATCAAATGGATATGGCAATATTGTTTTGCAGGTCACATGAAATGAAAATCATTGGCAATAGCTAAGTTTTTCTAGTGATATTTCTTGTATTTACCTCTCTTTTTGGGCCTATCTTAATATTGCGAACATCTGTTATTACTTTAAGGTCTGTCAGATGTAATATCGTTTGTATCGAAATACTTATTTCTGTAGATCTCAATAGGTTAGAACAGAGAAAACTTATTTTTTATCTGCCAGACAACATAACCTACTGCTGTCACTACTCCAACACAACTATTAGTGTGCTGCATCTATTTTTAGACGCCATCATATATTGATCAATCAATTGAAAATTCAAAAACTTCTCAATCAATAATTCATCAAACAAAACCTCCATCGATAAATCGTGTTCGACTAGCCATTGAGGCAATAGAACGAAATAGTAAACAGTTTTTGCTAGAGAGGAAGTCATAAATCTTTTATTAGTTGTATAAAAAATTGATCTTTCCTGCTTTTTCTTTCCTCTCACGCAATATCGCTGGATCTTTCATCATCACCATCATAATTTTCTGAACACAAACAAGCCAAAACAAAAAAAAAAGAAAGAAGAAAAAGAACTTTTTCGACGCATACACACAAATCAGTCAACTTGAACAGACAAGAGAGAAAAAAACCAAAAGTTGGACAAAACAGACACAAGAATTTTTTGTTGTGTTGACGAACGAAAAGAAACAATTAAGATGGATATTTTTGAAACGAAACAAAAAAAAGAAGAAAAAGCACACACCGGGACAACTACAATGTTTTTTGTTTTCTTGTGTGCGAGTCCGAAATGGGTTGAGCGGATAAATCGAAAAAAAAAACAAGACAAAGACGAAACTTTTTTTTATCTCTGGAAGACAAACCGAAAAGAAGCAAAAGAGAAATCAAGAGCACCAAACACACACGCATACACACAGAGAAAGCTGAGGATGAAAACAAAAAGAAAAGAAAAAAAAATTTTTTTGGTTTTTTTAAATCGTTACAAAAAAGTAGACGATACAAGAAAGAGAAAGAGTGGAACAAACACACCCACGCATACACACAAAACGTTTTCTTTAATTTTTTTCTGACACTTTTATTTATTTTTTTTTATGTATTTTTCTTTTGTGTTGGGATCATTTTAACAGACACAGGAACTACAAATAAATAAGCAACGAAAGACGAACAACTCGAGAAGATATAAATCATGTCTAGTTTTTTTTAGTTAATTAGTTAGGTTCTTGTTTTTCCTATTCAGTATAGTGAACCTGTGATTCAACATTGCCGGGGTTGCTGGTGAAACGGTTCACCACCGGTTGATTACTATTGTGATAGTTACCACCTCCTCCTCGTGAACGATCAAAAACTCTTCCATTACCACGTCCACCACCACGAGATTGATAGGTTGGTGGACCATTAGAGCCAGCATTATTATTATTTACTGTACGACGTCCTCCACCACGATTACCAGTAACGCCACCGCCGCCGCCACCACGATTTAAACTGTTATTTGAACCAGAACGACGTTCATGTGTATAGCGATAATTTCCACCTCCGCGACCACCACCACGACCACGTTGATTATTATACTGTTGATGTGATGGTGATGTATGCTGTTGTTGTTGTTGTTGTTGTTGTTGCGGTTGCTGTTGCTGTTGCGGTTGCTGTTGCTGTTGCTGTTGCTGTTGTTGTTGAGGATGATCGGATGCAGAACTATTACGACGAGCAGAATTCACATCATTTATGGCTGATGACTGTGAAATAATTGTTGGTTCGATTTGATTTGAAGGCGATAAATCGGATGATGTTGGCGATAATTGGCCACTCGATTCGGCATTAACGGATACGGAATCAGTCCTAAGATTAGTGGTCGGTGATTGAGCGCGCGGCGAAGTTATATCGTTAGTTTCATTTGTTGGAGATCTTGTTGATTCTGATTGTTGTTGTTGGGGATTTTGTTTCAGTTTAAGCATATCAGCATAAGTACGAGGTCCATTATTATCAATAACTGATTGCTGCTGTTGTTGATTTCTATTTAATAGATAGAATATAGAATACGAAAAGAGATCGGTATTAATTTACTTTTGATTTGAATTAGGAGATTGTGGTGATGATGATGATGTTTGATTGTAATAAGTCGCTGATGATACTTTAGGTATTGTAACAGTTAATGGTGTTGCTGAATTTGAATTATTCCGTGATTGTTGTTGTTGTTGTTGTTGTTGAGATCGTCCTTGTTGTGACGATGACGATGGACGATTGGAATTTTGTGTTGGTCGGATTTCACGTGGCATTAATGGACGGATTGATGCCGGTTGTTGATTCGGTTTTTTATTTGATTGTTGTTGATTTTCATTGGCTTGAGGATGTGCTTGTTGATCTTGATTACTAGCAGGTTGTTTTCGTTGTTCTAATGGTTGGTAATTTAAATTGGAATTTTCGATTGTTGTTGACTAAAATGAAAGAATAAAATTAAAAACAGAAAGATTCTAATTTCTTACTGTCCGATAAGAGGATTGAAGTGAAAAATTGCCTAAATTTTGTGAATCATTAGTTTGTTCTTGGGATTGATTTGTATCAGATGACCCTTGTTGTTGGACATGACTGTTCGTATTATTATTATATAAACTAAAGTAATCCGACAGAAAAAAAAAACGATATACATATATTTTGCGTTCTATAGATTTTTATCTCGTTTCTTCTTACACATCATTATTTGATTGATGATGATAATGATCAATAGTTTCATTAGCTGAGGTATCAATTGAACTTGTAGAGTATGCTTGGACATGTTGTAATGATGTATTTGATACTGGCTGTGCAATTGGTTCATTAACACGATTAATGACTGCTTCGGCACGAGGGATTGGTGAACTACTATCTTCGGAACTAGGAAACAAAATCGATGAAATATTTCTCTAATAAAATTAAACTTGTACGTACTGTGGAGTACTGTGTTGACAATAATCAAGTAATTCATTTGAATGTTCATTATTCATTTGGGGTCCTTCATGACGAGAATTTCGAGTACCAAGTGGTTTAGTTGAATTACTTAAAATTGAAAATCAATTAGAATACTTGGTTTCTTTGTTCCGAAATCAAATCTTTACCGTGATTTAGATGTTTGTGGATATTCACGTGTCATTCGAGTTTTAGGTTTATTGCCACCGTTATAGGCCTGAAAAATCAACAGATGAAAATAGCATGATATATAAGACTGTATTTAAAAAAACGATTCTCGACGAGAACGCAAGGGAAACAAAAAATAACTGAAGCTTCATGCCAACATTATCGAATCTGTTTCTTATACTTTCTCACATTGACACTCTTAATGAAATTTTCAAAAAGAAAACAAAAGAGATCCTCGTGCTGACTAATAATTATGTATATTATTCATGCACATACATAGTGATATTTAAAAAAAACGACAAGTGGAATAGAGGATCTCTTTAATAATTGTTCAATATCTTTATTCTCAAGAACAAACTACAGCTGGACAAAAATAAAACATGGTTGGGTGTGCACGCACATCAAAGCATCCACAAGAGAAATAAAGAGAAAATAATAATAATAATAATAATGATAATAAAATGTTCCCTACTCTGATTAAAGAATTGAGAGGTACAATCTATAAGAAAAAGATGAGTACCTTTTCGTAATCAGTTTATTTTCGTTATCTCATAGCTTCGATTTTATTTTACGTAAACAAAAGAGTAGAATTCTAACATACCATAGTTGGATAACCGTCAGCTGTTTGATAACCAGGTTGCATATACCATAAGCCGCCTCCCGCTTGAAATACAGGATGCTAAAATAGAAATAAAAATTTGTTGTTGACAAGTAACAATGGAAATTACATTCATTATACAGTATAGCAATCTATATTTGAACTTACATTTCCAGCGAACAGTTGTGGTTGTTGATGAATTGAAGCTGGATACGAAGCCATATTAGCTTGTTGAGCTGCTGTTGCAAATTGAAGTGTTTGCTGTGCAGATTGCACACTTTGCGGATGTGTCGCAGCCCATGTAGCACGATCAAATGCTGTATTAGCACCATAATTTGGGTAACTTAGTCGTAAATGTTGTAATGCTTGTGCATGTTCCATCGAATGTTGTGTTTGATTTGTCGTTGAAAATTGAGCAGCAACATGTTGCGGAGGAGGTGGTGGTGGACCCGCTGATGAATGCATTGGAAGACGATAAGTATTTGTTTGTGATTGAATATTTCCAAGAATTGATGTTTGATTCGGATGAGTATTGGCTCCTGTTTGCATATAAACAGAAGCATGTTGTTGTTGCTGTTGTGGTGGAATTTGTTGTTGATTAAATTGTTGTTGCTGTTGTGGGTGAGCCGAGTACTGAAGTTGTGGAGGTAGAGTTTGTTGCTGTTGTGGAACAAATGTTGCGTTTTGATATGTTTGAATCAGTTGTTGTGACGATGGTGGTGGACTTGTTGCACCACTATTATTTGATGTCATTGGTGGTGACATAGGTGTTGATGCATTTGTACTTGGTACAGATGATGGTTTTTGCCATAGACGTGTTTTCATTCGACCCTTTAAATGACAAAAGTAGATTTTTTTGTTTAAGATTTAAAAGAAAGAAATTTACCAAAACTTTTTGACCACGTATTGAAACATTTTCACGTGTTAAATATAGAAAGGCATTTTGCGCATCATCCTCACTATTGAATGTCACATACCAGCAATCAGAAGTACCTGATTCTAAAACTCTTTCACATTCAACTGCTGGTACAGGACAATGTTCATTTAAAAATAATTCTGATACTTCGGCTTCAGTCGCATCCAATGGTACATCACGTAAAATAATAATACAACGTTTACGTGTTAGTCGATATTTTTTTTCTTCAGATGAACGAACTTTCTTTTCTTCGGCGTCAACTTCAACAGATGGTATTTCTATGGAGAGAAGAAAAAAACACCAAACAAATCAAATTATTTTTAGACTACAATTTTTTTAATAATAGTAATACCTTTAAGTACTTCTATAATTAATTGTAAATCATGTGTAAGACGTTTAACAAGTTTAAAATTTGCAATTATAGCTATAGAAACATAATCATCGGCATCCATTTGTGATTGTAAATATGCATCATGAATCATATTCTCTCTTGAGAAATAATATTCAAGTTGTTTTTTCAAAAGTTGTCGTAATTGTTCCGATGCTGGTTGTAATTGATGAACTTGTTCTTCATCTAAACAAAATAATTTAGATAAAGAATAAGATAATGAAATAGAAAAACCTGATAGTTGATTAACGACACGTCGTCGTTCATAGATCATCTTTATTGTTGTTATTTCTTATGTGCACATACACAAAAAAAAATAAAGACTTGCGTCAAGTGAAGGAAGACATGGTGCCGACGCTATCTCTCTCTCGCGCGCGCGCGATGTGTAATGTTCTCTTTCGATTGTTATACGCATATGTACATAGGCACGAGAGAAAGAAAAAGAACGACGAAGCAAAACAATTCGATATGTGTGTATGTATGTGCACGTAGCTTACAATTCAAACCCGACGGTGTATATGTTCTGTTCTTCTCTCTCATTCTCGTCCGCGCGAACACAAAACGACGACGGTTATCCTCTACGTATATAAGCCGTTCATCACATTTTGGCTCCCGTTCAACAACAATTAAAAGCTTTCTCTTTTCTCTTCTTTTTTGGTGTGTGCGTGCGTATTGAACTAAAGTGATAACGAAGAGGAGTATGCTGACAGGCTTATTACATATACACGCCTTAATATATATGAAGAGCGATGATCGATGACCTCTGTCGTTAAGATTGCATCACCTTTTTTTCTCCTTCTCTTAACTATTAGTTTATTGTTACCTGGCATTGTCTGATTTACATGTTGTCGAGGATGATGTATATGATTTGAATTTAACAATGGTGGTTGTTGATGATCGATTGTATCAAGCATGGCTACATGTTCATGTACGGCGAAGTTCGAGTCTGGTTGCTGTTGTTGTTGTTGTTGAAGTGAATCGATTGACGACGGATCGACTATGAAGCAACAATGAAAGACGAAAATAAGATATTTAGATAAATATACACCTCATAAATGCATTGAATGAAGGAGAGAGAGAGAGAGAGAGAGAGAGAGAGAAAGAGAAAGAGAAAGAGAGAGAATGTGTATATGTGTTGTTCAAAGCAAATAGTGTATGTGTTGGCAATCAGGAGGAGAAGAAGCTACATATTCTCGCGCGTTCGTGTGTGGAGAACGCGGGAGAGAGAGAGAGAGATTGAGAAATGAGTAGCGGGACGCATAACCGAGAAAAAGAATCATGGTAAAGAAGAAAAAAGTAACTGAATGACTACTCTCTTTTTCTTTTTATCCTCTTTCGCAATGTTTCCACACATACATACAGATGCGTATACTATCTCTTACCCTCATAATAAAAACCTGAATTATCAACATATATAAATATATATGTACATATAGGAAATAAATAGAAATAAAATAATTGAAATTTACGCGAATATAGCTGAGATTGATGTTGTCGAAGATACGGTCCCGTGCCATTATCAAGATATTCTGTATACGAATCATCTGCAAAGAAAAACAATTCAGACATTTTTATTCTTCATAAGTACAAAAACTAAGACTTACCACTGGGTGCCGTTGATCCGGCTAGTACTGTTCCATGGTTAAAATCGCGCGACGAAAAGTGTTGAGCATTGGGATTGAGATTTTTGCCGGCACTATTGCCGACATTTACCTTGAACAAAAGATTTATGTAAAACAAATAATTGTTTTTGTTGCTTTTGCCTCTTTTCCTTTTTCTACTTCGTCATTTTGCTGCCTCGTCGCTATTGAGTATTCTTGTCTTCTTTTTCTCTGACTATGCCTCCTTTACTAGCATCCATCCTCTTCTCTAACTATGCTCTGATTCGAAGGACAAAAGAGCTTTGTCTTCTCGTTTTCTGCTTCTCACATGATGATTATATGGATGGGAGACAACAGCATCCTGCTGATCAACTAGAAACAATGATGGGGGATAGATATCGTTGTTGTTAACAAGGTCATATTGGCCATAACTATTGATATCACCGATGATATTTGCGTTTTGTACACAAAATACTATTTCCTGTTTGTTCAAGTTCGATGTAACATATGCATTGTAACCATATAAAAGAACTTCGACCATCTCATTATCCATAGTTAATAGGAACTTATCATATAATGTTATATATATATATATATGTATTTAGTAAAAAAAAACGCGGAGAATACTTTTCTACAGAAGTATCAATAATACTTAGGAAAAGCATTCGTTGTCAACGATTTTCATGATAACACCAACTTCATTATTATCAACATCAATAAGTACATTGTGTTGACAAAAAAAATCTCTGTTCGTATCCGAAAAAGAGAACATAAAATGAGACAATGAATGTGTTGATATGTGGGACATACCAACAGAAGAGAAAACCATATTTTAAGCTCTGTCTTTTTTGTCTAACTTTTATCTACTTTTCGTTATTCTATTGATAATTGAAGAAGAAGAAGAAGAAAAAAAAATATATATATATAAATTTTACTCACTGTTGCTTGTGTCATTGTGATAAAAAGAAACAAAATTGAACTACTGTCTATATATATGTATGAATAATATGTATATACGATGATGATAACAAGATGAATTGTCTAGATGTGGTGAACAAATGCGATGAAAAAACGAACAAAAAAACAAAACACGTGAATTATTGAAATATTGTAATAGACGATAAACGAATCAATTTGAAGAATTTCAACTTTTGTTTTCTATGTATAAATTTAAAAAATATAGATACAATTATGATTTCCTTTTCTTTGTTTTACTAAAATACGTACATATATACGATGAAAAAGTACAACAGGAGTCGGTATCAAAAAGGAATGTCGACGACAGCACACATGATTAATTTTTCGAGCACGCTTTAAATGTTTTTAACTGTAGTAAGTGATAACGAATCTTAAAAGAAAATAAGATAAATCTTTATGATATAGACGTTTTTATAAATAAGAAAAGAAATAGCAAAACCTGTTAATAAACAACGAAAAGAACAATTGAACTCGATTGGTCAACGTCACACGAGCTGCCAAACATGCCCGACATACAAAACGACAGCACAATTGTGACCTATAATAGAAAATGAGAGGGAAAGAATGATGACTTTTTTTTGTCCTGTCTTCAGCCTTGAAGAATATATGATTCATCAAAAATAGAGACTACGTTTATTGAATGGATAGTTCTACGAATTGAGAAAAGAAGAGAACGAAAAATAAACTAACAGCGTTCGAAACGTTGTTGCTATAACTAGTATGTCTGTGTGTATGCAAGAACAAACAATAGAGAGAAGAAAAAAAAAGAAAAACGGTTAGATGGATGGATGTGTGTGTGTGTGTGTGTGTGTATATGATGAGTAATGCATGTGGTCGACATCGTATAGGGCACAGTACAATGTGCCGAACAGCGACAAGCAAGAAGGAAAGGGTTACAAATAAGAAGAAAAAGAAAAAGAACAAATGCAAATCGAACTTCCCTAAGGCATTTCTATTCCTTCTTGTACATTTTTTTCTCTGTCTCGTTTTTCTCACCCTCCAGCAACAGACTGCTTGTGCCTAGGCAACGGAGCTTGGATAGCGACGTTTAAAATATATATCTACGAATATATCAATACAGGGAAAAAACGATAATCGATGTATTTCTTTGATATAATCAACAAAACAAACAGGAAAACATCTTTTCTATTTAATTGATAATAATAACTCATCAATGCATTCGAAGGTTTTTCAAAAGCCTAAAATAAATAAAAATTCAACGGATCAACTAATATTTCGAGAGGATGGTTTAACTCAATTGAGAAAAAAAACTAAATCTGAAAACGAACCAGAGGTTTGTTTTGTATAGGGAATGAATAAATAAACTCTCATTTGTTACGATGACAAACCAATCATATATTTTGGCATTCCTGTTTTATTTTTTTAGTTTTTTAGGGGTTGTTATTCAATAATTAATATTGATTCATATTATCAATAATAGAAAAACAAGTTAATAATGCCTTGCTATGATGATGATCGGCCAACGCAGCAAGAAGAGCTTCTAATTCGAAAACTTGTTGATAATGTTGAACAACACGAACGAATTCAAGTTCTTACTGAAGTAAACCGAATTGATTTGGAATAATCTTTAAATATTCTTGTTTTTCTTTAAGCTTAAAAATTTAATAATCGGTTCAAGGCGATGTAAACTAGCTTTTTATCATGCTGGTATTCTTGAAATTCTCAATAATTTATTGAAAGAATATTCATGTTTAATAAGCATAGATATTCTCGTAGAAATTCTTGATTGTATATCATCATTTGCTAAAGTCAATAATAAAAATCTATTAAATCGTCTCATTGAACTTGGATTTATTGAACAAATATTAAGTTTATTAACGATACAAATCGATTCAAATCATTTTTATGAATCATGTCTTCGTTGTTTACGTTCATTTTTTCTATCAAAAATATTCTCAAATCCATATTTAACTCCGACACCATATATACTACTGAGTGATGACAATAAACATGACACAATCACAGTTTTATCGGAAACAGAAAGTTATCTATCAAATGATAAATATTTACCCGTGAATATATTATTAGAAAATTCTCAAAATCTTGATATTTTTCCTCGCCTATTATCAATATCGAAATCGACACAAATCTCAATCATAGAAATTTTATGTTGTGCATGTGTTAATAATGAACGACAAAATCAAATTGTAGAAACAGATTTTATTCAATCTATTATGCATCTACTTGTAGAAAATATTCTTTATCATAACAAAATTAATCTAGTCAGGTATGCGACTAGGAATGTCATAGTCTAACAAGAGAAGTCCTACAAATAGCTAATTACTTTTCAGTTCAGGGTAAAAAAAAACGAATGTGAACTAAAATGAGTTGCGAATACTTAGGAAAAAAAACGTCCATCTCTTGGATTATTTTTATCTCGATAGGATAATTTTAAAAAATTGAGTACCACAATCATTTTTAACAGAATTGATATTAGAAATTTTCGCATAGGAACAATTGATGAAGAAAGTTATAAGTCTCTGAAGTGACTTCTATCCTAAAATAAGAACAACGAGTGTATAGAAGTGACATGTTTTATTTTCATCATAGTTATATCTTAGAATAAGATCAAACATGAAACGTTAAAGTATTATTTTCGAAAAAGACTGTCTCTATATATTCTATATAATTTGTTTAGTGTGATTTAAAAGTTCAATATTTTTATGCTCAGCACATGTACTATTTGGAGATTTCATATTCCTGAAAATCAGTCGGAGAACTTTGCTCTTAGAAGGGAAAAGTCCAGAAAGTAGTGATTTCTGTGTTTCAGTGAAAAGATTTACGATACCCGGAAGGCTGACCATCAATAACGGGATATATATATATATATATATCATTTTCTTCCGATGAATAAAATATTACAGTTGAGACTATTGTTCTAAACTAATAGTATCAAATATTCAGTATGTTTAAATTTCCAATAAAATAAAAGCCTCGAATTTATTCACACGCTAGCTATAGACAATTTAATTCGAATTCTTTTTAGTGTGACCAATGAATATCTAGTAGGCGTTTGTTTGAAATTTTTTTGTTCAATATGTTACGAAAATGCTGCTGTTGCTCGACAATTGCACACAACAGTATTCACTCAAACCAACGAAACATTATGCGAGATTATATCAAGCCTATTAAATAAAACCAATCAGCCAGTAGTAATATCATATTATGCATCGAAATTTTTCATTAATCTTTGCAAAACAAAGGTGCTCTCATGTGATGATTCATTTGTATCTCATAAATCATTAACCACACTTGTTCATTTATGTACGAAATCAACTATAAATAAATCTATTCATTTGTATATTGCATGTTTTGATACACTTATTTATTTATTAAATGGCAACAATACATTACATCATACAGCAATGTATACCGAGCAATTTTTAAATAAATTATTTTGCTATTTATTCGCACCAACGAAAATTTTCAATGAAACTATTGACGAAGCAATGCTTATACAAATACGCACATCAACGTTAACATTACTTGCAGTTCTTTCATCGTATCATGAAGATATTAAAAAACGAATTGCAGATCAAGACAGTAAGAAAAATGTTCTATTCGATTTTTTTAAGCTGAAACGATTCTACAGTATGTCATGCTGCCCGAATATAATTTTGAAAGACCGGTATGTTTCTACAACTCTGGGCGCAAGGTCAACCGGCATTGGAATTTCTCTCGTTTAAGCTTCCTATACATACTGGCTAATAATCACAAGGACTTGTTGTGTACGCCATCACGTAGTCAGTATGTTATTGAGTGGGTAGTTCGAGACAAACAGCCGGTATTTTTTTATGAATTATGGCGTCGAGATTCGAACATGAGAATTTTCTGGATTTTGTCATTTTCAAAGCTATTGACATAAGTTAATCATGATATTACGGAGTACTGATTTTATTTTTAATTAGCCTCCCACACGATAAAATATTGACATTACTAAGCATACTGAAATCGATGCCTGTTAGCCATAATTTCTTCTGATGATATATGATTTATCATTGTTCTTTTGATTAATTAGAAAATTTTAATTTAGATTTAATTTCAACAGCCATCGAATGCTATCGTTCGAATCATCGGTCATTACAATTAGCAGCTCTTTGTTTATTTCATGGCTTATCTCGAAGCGTACATCAACTTCGTACAACATTTAACGATACTATTTGTGATGTTTTACTCGATGCTGTTAAATCCAGTGATTTATCTCTTGTTAAAATTGCATCATCTGTTATTAGTAATACTGTATTAGAATTTTCTACGTGCCGAGCAGTAAATTTTTTAAACGAATATTGTCTGTTTTGTTTATTTAAAAAGCTGTTTTATTTTATCTAGAGATTGCTGTCTGGTGGTATTCTTGATATACTTCTTGCATTTCTTACACATCCAGATCATGACCTATCTATCAATGGTATGTGGGCTTTACGCAATCTTTCTTATTTATCAACACTTAAAATTAAGCAAGATGTTATTCATGGTAATAAAGTAACATTCCTAACGAGAGATAATCGAAATTTTTATGGTTCTTTTAGGATTGACAATAGATCGTATTTATTCATTACTGGAGCAATGTACAGATGAACGATTTCTTATTTGTCTATTATCGTTGTTACGTAATATTTTCAATGAAAAAGATACACAGATAATATTACCAATGTTTAATTCAGTGAAATTGCTAACAGTACGTCAAATTGCTTTTAAATGTTTATAATGCCCCAATAAAAACAAAAAAAAAGGTTGAAGTTATCAGTTGAATCTACAGAACAGTCTGAATCCACAAACTCCCGCTGATACCTTCAGAGAAGTGAAGTTATATTATGAAACCCTCCAAATAGATCGTATGAAGAATCGTTCCGTCAATGAATAACAGACAAATAGTCCTCTTAGGATTCCGTATAGATCATATTTCATGCAATCAAGAACAGTCTCATAGTGTCTTCTGAAAAATTACGGTTATGCAAGACCGTGAATGCATGCGTTTCTTTTCTCTTGAATTCTTATTGAAAATAATTTGAGTTACGTGAGAGTGAAAAGCGAAACAAAATTTGTATGATAAATTTTCAGCGGAACCACTATAAATTGATTTGTTTACTCTAGACGTTGCAAAAGATGCGTGAAAAAAATTATTCAGTGGAAATTTCCCGTGAAATTCGTATACTAATTGATCATCTTAATTCAAGCAATGCTGCGGTATGAAAAAATTGCAATGATTTTTGATTTAAGAATAACTTTTGTTTATTTTTTTTTCTTCTTCCAATTTATAGCCTCGACAGCGATTACCTTCAGATCCGGTAAATCCAAGTTGTCGGACATCTCTATTTCCTGAATGTAATGAACAATAGTTTCTCTTCACTATTATGACACTAATGATTTTGTTTCAGATGCTTGCGATGAAATGGATGAATTAGATTGTTTGTAATGTCTAATGAACACTTCAACATCCGGCAGGCCATTCACGCCTCAACGATTTGTTTAAATAGAGAGTGCTTGTTTGTCTATTATATTTTTTTTTGCCGTTTGAGAATAAATCTAATAGCGTATATAAAAATAATTAATTTATCATTAGAAACGCATCAGAAATCAATTTTATTTATAATTAAGTTGCTAACCTTCATCCTTAGTTATTCTTTGGATACAAAATAGGGTTCCGCGAGCAATAGACATCACTGATCGTGACTAATTCTATTTCAATTATCTGTGTTGTTTCAAGAGTGTGCACCTTTTTTATTTAGTAAAATTATTGTAAGTAGATTTGTTTTCTTCGACATGTTACTTCGTTCACAGATTGATAAATCTATAGAGTATCGAATTTTTGTGATATTATTGTAATGAAATTCTCGTAGGTATTTGACAATATTTTGTCTTTCTGAGAAAAATTAACTATAAAACAAAACAAATACTATGTAATTATAAGAAAACAATCCTAAGATTGTCTTTGTATATTATTAATGAGTTCTCAATTCTACCAATAATTATATTGGACTTATTCTGTAACCTCAATTTCTGAATGTGATCAACAACAAAAAACTATCGCAATGGTATTGAAAATCTCTTTATTATCAAGAGTTTAACAGAAATTGTACGAATTGTCAGAATTCAGATGGCTAAATTCCTGTTGATCAAAAATGTTCATTAGCCTATTGGAATTTATCGATTTGCTTTAGTTTTGTGATGTACTAACTCTTGAATAGCTTTTTATACCGTGTCCATGGTTATCATGGCCTATTATAGAAGAAACTAGTCATTAGACGTTATCCTTCACCCTATACGATGTGAGACAGAGATAGAGCGTTGCTTAGTCATCGTCATCTTGTCAGATGAAACAAAAGACGAGACGAACGAGGCGTCACTCAGTTGCCTTTCATGGTTTCAATGTGTCCTTGCACATGTATCGTTAATGTCAGTGTGCGAATACAATGTATGGCCAAGTACAAATCATCATTCTCTAGTAGTACACATATTAATCATCGCAAATTTGTTTTTTTTATTTGATCCTGTCCTAAATATGGCATTACACTCTCGTATTTACGGTTTTTTGGCAAATCATTTTACTCGAAAATAGTCAAGAAATTTTTTCCTTCTTTTTATATCATTGTTCCTTTCTGAATGAGAACAGATGAGTCACTTTCGCACTTGTGTTCTGTACTTTCATAATTGTTCGAGAACATGTTTTAAAAGAAATAAAAATGCTAATCATCATTCGCCACGACTTTAACCAAATAAACTATTTTTTGTGAAGATAGCGTACAGATGATGAATAATTCTCACGCATAAAGTTCTACTATTTCTGTGCGTTGTCTGATGCAAAGTTTTTTCTTGATATTTGAAACGCCTTAGGAATTCGCAGATTTTCTCCAGTAAAAATGATACTATAGTGTGTCTTTTAAGTACTTCGGATACTTGATATGATTAAACAATATTTTAATGGAGCTTAATTCATTTGAATACACACAATATTTATTGTTTCTTTCTACACTATTCGACTTTGTTTGTATGAGTCAGTCTACGGTTTTTTCCTTTTTCTCGATAGAGACATATAAGAATACGAGAATATGGTGAAAACATTCTCATTTTGAAAAAGTGAGTACAACAATAAAACTATCTTGAATTTGAGGAAGTTCGTTTTTTTTTCAATGAAAAAATGATAGTTAGCGACCTCTCTGTATCTGCCCTATACCCATATATAATCGATGATTGTTAGCGCCATTTAATATTTAATTAATTGCTAAAATTGTTTTACATATACTTCAAAAGCCTAGTTTTACATCGTTCTCTTTCCTTTTCGTAAAACTTTTTCTTTTACTTTTCGTCATTCATCTATAACCACTCTTAATATTCAAGTTTTCTTTCTTACAATCGGCATCATAGTGGAGGTTGACTTTACTAGCCTATGGTTGATTACATGTGATTACAATTGTTTTTTGTCTAGTGGCCATATATACTTGCTGTCATTTACATACAACATCATCATCAACCCACCTCCCCGTCTCGTCGGTTCCATACTATTGAACATATGTGAGTTTTGTAATTCTAACATTGAACACTAATACTGAACGATAGACAAAAAAAAAGTTTGGTTGTTACTCAAGGATTTTCTATTTTATTACAAAAGGAAAATCCTTGAAAGAAATCTAGTCTTTCCCTTTCTAAATATCAACTCATGATCTTCGTTTTCCATTCCATCACAGACAGAATCTACCCATTGACCTTGATTTAAGAAATTTGAACAAACAACCTTAGCAGTTGTTATTATTCCTGTTTTTTCTTTCCATGCCATTGTTGTTTGTTCTCGTCAAGACAAAGAACGGAGAAAAGCTCTTTCTTCCTTTTTGTACGCATATAATGACAATCAAATGACGTACACGCGCGTCCCTGTGATTCACATGTGATTTTTTTATACCGTCACCATTACATAACTATAAAAGTGTATATTTTCTTCTTATTTTAGACATTTCAGTGCAACACAGTATTTATACATCCTGTATATTCTTTGTATAAAAAAATAAAACAATTTCAATGGAACAACCAGAATCTAATCCAACATTTTGTACAAATAATTGTGGGTTTTATGGTTCATCACAATTTGAAGGAATGTGTTCCAAGTGTTATCGTGACCACGTTAGTCGTTCATACAATGCCGGACGAACTAATTCCTTTAACAGTAGGTTTAATTTCATTTTCTAAAATCGAAAACTAACTGTTTTCTTTGTTTACAAAAACAAAAGGTTATTATTCATCTTCGAACACTTCTGTGACTTCTCAAAATCATCATCAAGATGAAGCCATAGAAGATAATGCTACTAGTTCAATAGAAAATGATAACAGTGATGATCATTTAGAACATGAAACTGATGCTAGTCAACTGCCTAATGTTGCATCAGCGTCGTCAATATCAGATGAAACCGAGTCAACAACAAAGAATGATTCATCCATTACAGAAACAAACTCACTAAGTAATAAAAAACTTAATTTTCATTGTTTTATAATCAACAATAACATAAAATTTTTTCTAGTAGCTTCTCCCGTCAGTGTAGAAAATAAAAAAAAACGGAATCGTTGCACATGGGAAACTTGTAATAAAAAACTTGGATTAACAGGTAGAAATATTGTCCTTGATCTCAAAAACAATTATTTCATTTTTGCTACTTCTAGGTTTTGATTGTCGTTGTGGTGGTCAATTTTGTTCGTTACATCGTTATGCCAATGAACACCATTGCACATTTGATTATAAAGAACATGGTCAAAATGAAATCAGAAAGAATATGCCTGTGGTACAAGCTGAACGTGTTCGAAGAATTTAGAGAAGAGAAAGACATTTTGTATAATTATAATTTATTGAAAGCAGTTTTCCTTTTTTTTCTTTTGTTCATATGAAACAATGCTTTTTCGTTTCGTTTCTTTTTTTTTCGTCTTTTGCTTAATTGCCGCGTGGGATTAACCTATACCATACACGCACTCGTACAGTTCTCTTTTTTTTCGTGTGTACAAAGAGTGAGTTAAGTGTATGTAAACATTCTTCATTTTCTTTTTTTATAGAAAAAAAATGCAAGATGAAAACAGAAAAAAAATCTCCAATTAGTTAAATTTTTTTTTGTTGTTTCTAGATGGCTGGATTTGATGATGTTGGAGTGTTCTTTTCCGATAATTTCGGTGCTGATAATAATAATGAATTTGATAATGAAACTGATCTTAATCGAGCATCGATTAAAAAGAAATTTAAAATGTTTATACGAGAATTTCATATAAATAATCTTTTCATTTATCGGTAAGTTGATTAATATAGAATTCGAGTTAGTTTAGAAATATTGTTGTTTTTCTTTTTCATAGGGAAATGTTACGACGAAATTATAATAGTCGAAGATATTGGATTGATATTGAAATCAGACATTTAAGTGATTATGACGATAATCTTTGTGATCATCTTAAAAAGCAGCCATCGGAACTTTTACCATTAGTAAGAAGAATGATTGAGTAAGGGAAATTCCCTAAAGTAAATATTTTTTTGTCTTCTAGTTTGAAGAAGCAGCCAAGGAAGTTGCTGATGAAATAACTCGCCCACGTCCTGATGACGATGTTGACATGCATGATATACAAATAATGTTAATGAATGATGCGCATCCACTTCATCTTCGACATCTAAAAGTTTGTTTTCTTATTTCGTTACCAACTGTTTATATGTCTTCTTATTCTAGTCGGAATATGTATCAAAATTAGTGAAGACTGTTGGTATTGTTATTGCAGCAAGTAGTGTACGAACAAAAGCTTCACATATCGCTGTACAATGTCGGTCATGTCGCAACATTATTTCAAATATTAAAGTTAAACCTGGCTTAGAAGGTTATGCAATGCCAAGAAAATGCACTAGCGTGTATGTATTCAAATATAATTAGAGAATAGCATAGTCGACAAGTAATCCTTTATCCTACGGCAATAATAATAATAATAATAATAGCTTATATCAGTGCTAATTAAAATATGGATACAGTTACGAAGTAGGATTTTTTTTGTGAGTTTATATTCGATCTTATGCCTTTAGAAAAAAAAACTTATTTCGAAAATGAGGAGACCCCCTGCAGGAGTGAAGTGTTAATCAATATAATTTTTCTTTTCATGAATCGACATCTGTTACATTATTTCATTTTATAATTAGAACTCAACCAGGTCAACCACCATGCCCACTCGATCCTTATTTCGTTATGCCCGATAAGTGTCAATGTATTGATTTTCAAATTCTGAAATTACAAGAAGCACCGGAATTTGTACCACATGGTGAAATGCCAAAACATATTCAACTCTATTGTGATCGGTAAATTTCATTTGAAAAAAAAAGAAAAACTCAATTTTCATACGATATTTTTATTATAGACATCTTGTTGATCGGGCAATGCCGGGAAATAAAATAACACTCGTTGGTATTTATTGTATTAAACGAAATGTTGCTATGAATAAGGTAGAATGAAGGTCAACATCATTCATTTTCTATTGTTATTTTTGTGAATAGATGAGAGGAAAAGAAAAATCTACTATTGGTACACGCCAACCATATGTTCGTGTTCTTGGTATTCGTATTGATACAGATGGTGCCGGACGATCATCGGCTCAAACACTATCAACTTCTGAAGAAGAAGAATTTGTTCGGTTCGCTCAAACACCTGATGTTTATGACACAATCGCAAATAGCATTGCGCCATCCATTTATGGTGCCACAGATATAAAAAAAGCTGTTGCTTGTTTATTATTTGGTGGTGCTAGAAAACGGTAAATTTAATTGCAACAAAGAGAATAATCTATCGAACAATTCTGATATTTATTTTAGTTTACCCGATGGGTTATTTCGTCGTGGTGATGTTAACGTTCTGCTTGTCGGTGATCCCGGTACAGCTAAATCTCAATTATTGAAATTTGCAGAAAAGGTTTCACCAATTGGTGTTTATACAAGTGGTAAAGGTAGTAGTGCAGCTGGTCTTACGGCAAGTGTAATACGTGATCCAAGTTCAAAGAATTTTGTTATCGAAGGTAAAAGAATTCGATTGAATTTTGATTTATATTTATGATTGACATTAGGTGGTGCAATGGTATTGGCTGATGGTGGTGTTGTCTGTATCGATGAATTTGATAAAATGCGTGAAGATGATCGTGTTGCTATTCACGAAGCTATGGAACAACAAACAATATCAATTGCGAAAGTAAGCGAATCCTATTCGTGCGTATGATTTTTGATTATTCTTTGTTTAGGCCGGTATAACGACAACATTAAATTCTCGATGTAGCATTTTGGCAGCAGCTAACTCAATCTATGGCCGATGGGACGACTTGAAAGGCGATGACAATTTAGATTTTATGCCTACTATTTTGTCACGTTTTGATATGATTTTTATTATTAAAGATGAACATGATGAGAAACGAGATACGGTATGTAATGATAGAATTTGAATTAAGAACGAAAAATATTCATTTTTGCTATTTAGACTTTAGCTAAACATGTTATGAGAATTCATATGAATATATTGAATACAGATGATAATGGTTCTGATTTAAGTATTCAAAAATTAAAGAAATATATTGCTTATTGTCGAAGGTAATTTTTGTTTTGTTTTAAATAGTAAACGAAACAACTGATTTATTTTCTTCTGAATATAGTAAATGTGGACCACGTTTATCGGAAAGTGCTTCGGAAAAATTACGAAATCAGTATGTTGTTATGCGTAATGGTACGAGTATTTATGAACGTGAAGTTGGAAAGAAAACGGCTATTCCAATTACTGTTCGGTAAGAAATTTATTTTCCATGTCGAGGATTTTATTGATTTGTTTTTTTTCCTGATTAGACAACTTGAAGCATTAGTTCGTATTTCTGAAAGTTTGGCTAAAATGCGTTTAGCACCATTTGCTAATGAAACCGATGTTGATGAAGCACTTCGATTATTTCATGTTTCAACGCTCTCATCAGCTGGCTCAGGAAATTTAGCTGGTAGGGCGACATATTTCTATGATTTACTTTTTAATGATTTTTCTTCTAGGCATCGAAGGTTTTACAACTCGTGAAGATCAAGAAGAAATTTCTCGTATTGAAAAACAAGTTCGCCGTCGATTTGTAGTTGGTTCACAAGTATCCGAACATGCTATTGTTCAAGATTTTATTCGCCAAGTAGGATCAAATGTCGAAGATTATTTAAAATCTATTGTATACTTTTCTTTAGAATTATCCTGAACGTGCAATATATAAAGTTCTCCATGCAATGGTACGCCGCGGTGATATTCAATATCGCATGCAACGTAAAGTTCTTATTCGTGTCCGATAAATACAAAAAGCAACGATCAAACAATCAATTAGATGTATATTTTGACTTTGTACAGATATATTAGAGATATTTTTTTCCTGTCAGATGAAAGTATTCTTTTTTTTGTTCTTAGATATCGAGTGATCAGATAAAATTGTTACTATTTTTTTTCTCTCCCTTGTTATCTTTGCAAATGTTCAATGAATGTGTAAAACAAAACGATATTTTCATATATACTCAATAAAAATGATATATTAGATAATTATTAACAGATAAGAAAAAGAATTCATTATTCGATAATACGAATGCTTGATTGAAGTATCAGCGAACCTGAATTCTTTCTAAGTAGGAAAAAGCTATACGCCACTGCAAAAGATTTCAAGTACAACTCGATTACGCAGTCTTAGATTCTTCTTCAACAATAGGCTGTATCATATAATTTCATTTGATAATTCACATTATATACAAACAACGATTTGGAATCATTACGCATAGAATTATGAAAATTCTCCCACGTCAAAACACTGCTTGAGCCTATACGTGCAGATGCAACAGTGAACAATGATAGCGACATCCTATCTTTATGTTTTTTTCTATAATGCACTTAAAATATGTCATGATTTGCGATCATATAGTCATTCGATAGAATGCAACTTTTCTAGGTAGATAAACGTGAAGAAAAACAGTAAATATCATGTAACTTACTAATAATTTTGTAGGCATTGCATACTGCTTTTTGTGTAATCAAATATTGAAAGCGTGCCTTACTTAATGATAGTTGGCAACATGGGATAAATTACTTAAAGCTCTGTGTTTTTAAATTATTTAATATACATGATGTCTACGAATCAAGCTAGGCATACATAAAGCGATGTATCGTATAAAAAAATGAGAACGTTCTAATAATAATGGAACAAATGATGATGAATTTCAAAACGAGTGTTATAATCATTGGCAGTATGCTTCTGGTATTTCGTAAGTATCAACAATAAACATTATTAAAAGTAAAGGTATATGCAAGGCATTGTTGCAAGTATTGAGTCAATTTATGATGATCAAACAAAATTAAAATGCTAAGATTTTTGAAGTCTAAATATTTAATTTACTCTATCTCATTGACATCTACATCCAAAAAAACAAAATTTGATCGTTATTCTAGTACTCTTAGGTTATGTGGTAGCCTTAAAAAGTTATCGTTTCAAATACTGATGCGCACAGTGCATTTCATCTGCAAGACGCATAATAATGAACACACTAGAACAACTCAAAGAAAGGGACCTCTTCTGCCAAACTCAGTTGTCAATTCTGATAATTTTAAAACATGTATTGCTGTTTGTTTTTAAACTGTAGATAGTGTTTTTCTGTATTTGAAACAAGGGAGAAACGGCGGACTTTGGGCTTGAAGTAACTTTGAGCTACTTCCAGTGGTAAAATTCGAAGAATTTTTCGACTTTAAATTTACTTGAGACTACTTGAAGTTACATCATATTTGCAACGCTGCTTGTTCTTGTTTCGGACTACTTGAGTAGTATTTTTAGTTTCTGCAAGCATGTAATTTGACCTACTTTTGACGTACTTTTCTACTTCAAGTCCGCCGTTTTCCCATTGATTTGAAAAGTGCTCGAAATCAAAAGTATGAGGAAAATGAATGTAGGGAAATAATGATGAAATATAATGCTGGTTGCTTGTCTCGACAAGATTCTTCATTTAGTTCTCGCTTTTGTACATTTACAGATATATTTTAAATATTTACTCGGAGTTTTTGCTGCTGATATAATCATGAAGATCCAAATTTGATGTAATATTTCGTTCTCCTTTGATAGATTTTTGTGCACCTTGATTCTACGCTACGATTTTCGTACAGTTTATTATTTAACGTGCTGAGAGTTCTTTCCGCATTCTGTAACTCGTATTCATAAGAGGAATAAAGTTCCTTTTTAGAATTTTTTAACGCTCTAAACTAGTTTATCTTAAGACTATTAGGTGTTACTTTCATTAAAATACTATGGTTGCTTACTAAATTATTTTTATAGCTCCTTATTGAGAAATATGGGTAGTCATTTATGCTGATTACTTTATGTCATTTTAAAGGTCTATTTTATTGTTTATGATTTTTAGCGACTGAAAACGATGCTCAATGTACAGGTATCATCAAAAACAGCATAACTTTGGTGAAACTATCCAATAAACCTCCATTCCCCTATACACGTTATGACGAAATATTCACGGCAACTGAATATAGTACAACTCTCATGTTTGTTATTAGACAGGATCCAAGTTTTTGGTCTATCGATGATGTTTCAGTAATTGACACGAGCAATAACCAACAGCTTATCAACAACGGTGGTTTTGAATCGGGAAGCTTTGAAAACTGGACTTTTTGTAACCCAAATGGCGCAACATGTTCTGGTGTGATTAAAGTTGGGTGTGCAAAGAGTGGGCAATACTGCTATTATGACGGAGCGGTTGGATCCATGGATTATTTAAGTCAAAATTTTTTGACTACACGTGGAAGAACATATCAGGTGACATTTTGGCTGCGGAATCATGGCTCCACACCGAATAGTGTAGACATCCTTGTTGGTCTGTATCTAAAATGTTGTGTGTAACAAAACCTTTTCCTTCATGTATTAGGTTTGCTTCAAAATAGTCAAATGTAATTTAGTTTGTCATTGAATCTAGTCTGCTGAGATATCAATGTGACCAAGTAGTAGACCAGAGTAGTACCTAGACTGACTATAGTTCTACTAAGTTAACTCAGACTAATGCATATTTTTAAATAGTTGCGTAACAGCGATCGTGCTTTACTGTAGGTTTACATGCCAGTACAATGTTTCTTATGTAATACATTATTTTAATAATTTTTTAAAATAGTATATTTCTTCTCGATTAAAGCTTTTATTCAACCCAAATAGTCTTATATGATGTGAATCGCTCGCCATCCTGTGTTTTGCTAAGAAAAAAGTTGATTAATTTAAGTTGTGACAAAAGCTACTCCTCTAATCCCAGATGAATCAATCCGATACCGAATCCCATCGAATTCTATGGGGTCCTACCATCCGACGAAATCTCGTTGGATTCTTGGTTGTGGAAGCAATGTCGGATCCGACAGTCGTATTTCCAATGATATCCGATTGTCGGAATCAATGAAATCCGAAGCATTCCGGTTCAAATTGACGGTTACTGTCGGATTTTATTAGTTTCCGATATTAGGATCCGATATCGATTCCGGAACCAGGAATCCGACGATAATCCGATAGTTTCGTTGTGCCTTCCGAAGAGCTCCGTCGGATTCCAATAGGAACCGATCAGAACTCATCGGATCCTAGGCTAGGATTCATTCTCCTGGGTAATGGCTCAAAATCTTTCGGAAATAGAAAAAAGTAAATAAAACAGTATAATCAATACTGAAAACATAGTTACTCAGAAATCTAAAAGAACTTTTTCTTTTTCTTCTTAGTTAAAATCTCTGCCAACCCATGTCCAAGAAAACGGTGCGTAAATGGCAGTAAACGGCGTAAAAACGGTAGAAAACGTTGAGAAATGGTACCGTTTTCCATCAGCTCGGAAAACGACGAATATAATGTTAAAAACGATGGTCGTTTTCTAGCGGAAAAACAGTCAGTAAAATGAGCTGACGGATTACGGCGAAATAAGGTGAAAATTAATGCCTTATTATACCGTTTTATAGCAGTTTCAGGCCTATTAAGATGCCCGTTCCGACGGTCGAAATGATTGTCCTGGGAATGAATGAATTAATTGAAATAATTCATGAACTGAAAAATAAGGCATCAACAATAAATACATCACATGATAGTGAAAAAGTAATTAAAGAAACTTTCCATTTCTATAAAATTTTAATAATAACTGACTGATTGCATAGTTCGTTTTATATCGAACGAAAGTACTCTATCAAAAATAGTATTACATTTTATTTCTAGAGGATTTCATAGCGACTCTTTAAATAGAAGTATTTTATTTTGATGTATTAGCTGAATGTAAATTATCTTCTGAATACTGGAAACATCGTTCAATCTTGACAATTCGATAGTCAGCAAAATTGTTTTACCAGTTTATTCACTTAAAAAAGCGTTAAGATAAGCAAAATAATTCAGGATGTGGATGTAAACCCAGGTCGAACATTCCGGGCACCGGATCCCGTAGGATACTCCAGGGAATATGCGGGAAAGTCACCATATCCTGCAGGAAAACACAGAAAATCACTGGAACATGGAAGCAGTATTCCGGTCAAAAATACGGCCGGACTTTTCCGACGAATTCCTGCCAAGTTCCGGTGCTTTCCGGCAGGAATTGATCGGAAATCACCGGAAAAAATCCGAAATATTTCCAACCGGAATACTGCTTCCACAAAATCAACGGAACTACTCGGAACCGGTCGTTTCCAGGCCGGACTGTTCGACCTGGGAATTTAGGGTGTACAAAATAGTTTCTATCATGAATTGATTTTTAAGATCAGTCAGTAGTCTATATTCTCTAAAATGCTTAAAAAATGCTATTGATATGTATATACGCAATTCACTGATTTATTCTGACTTGTCTGACCAGTATATTTGATACTATTGTGAAAATAATTAAAGATCAAACAAAACTGTAACGTTCTTTTATTCATTTATATGTTAGCAGTCGTACGATTATTAAGATTATGTTTTTTTTTATTTGACAGACACCATCAAACATGCTATTACATAAATGATCGAACACTGGTGTTAATTCTTCTGAATCAACTGCAATTCCATTGGAATCACCTGATAGTGAATCATTAACAGATGATCATGCAGAAAAAATAAAAACCAGTGAGTATTGAGTTCGACTTACAAGGGAACCCATACAATTAATAACCACCGTTTGAGCTCATATTTTTTCTATAGATAGGGCTTATAGTATAGATAAAAAAATCTTAAAATAACTCGTGCCATTAGACCCTTCTGCGAGTTATAATCATTTTACTGAATTTTCAACCTGTCCTAAAGTATAATGAAAAAACTATCAACAATGAATTTCTGCCTGAAAATTCTCCCAACAATAGACCATATGGTCCTGATTATATCCTGAAAATTACAACTAAAATGGATGAAATTTTCTTTACATATGATATATCTAAACAATGGACTCTTTACAGAGCTTTTGTGAGAAAGTAATGTTTTCTTTTGTAAACGTACTATCTTGAAAGAGAAATCTTCGCTTGAGTTGACATTTTCGAAATATAATAAGAATCATGAGGTCTATTATTGGGAGAATTTTCAGGGAGAAATTCATTGTTAATATTTTCCTATAGTGCCTTGTGACAGACTAAAAATTCAATGAAAGTGTCATAACTGGAAGAAAGACCTAATGGTACGAATTCTTTTAGGGTTATTTTTTTTTGTCTAAACGATAAGCCCTACCTATGGACAGAATGTGAGTTCAAACGGCGGTTATCAGTTGGATGAGTTCCCTCGTGCGATGTGTTTTTAAAGTTGGATCATTGAACAAAGCTGTAGTTGACTGTAATTTATTTCCTTTGTAGAAAGTTTTAATTTGAAAATCCAGATAAAGAAAATCGACATAATTGTATGTAAAAAAGTAGTCAAGAAATTTTATAAGCACTTCACCGTGAAGCTCATTAGAGGCTACAGAAATTTAAAAAAAAAGAATTTGGTTTTAGCAGATTTTTCAGAAATCTTGGCCATCAAAAAGAGATGTTTTATTGTTTTGAAGTAAAGAAATATTCTGAGCACACAAAGTAGAGCATGCTTGATAATGTTTAAGACAGCTGAAATGTATTTTGGCAGGATTATATACCTTTTCTCTTTTTATCGAAATAATCAAAAATAGCTTTATTTAATTATTGTAGGTTTTTGTTCGATTGCTGCATTATTTTGAAAATTATCATAGCCCTGAGGTTTCTGTTGTTAGCTATAAATCATCGGGAAAAAATCCGAAACATTTCTGGCAGGATATGGCGATTTTCTCGCATCTTTCCTGCCGGTTACTGCAGTATCCGGTGACCGGAACGACCGGCCTGGGTAATAATTGAGTATTAAATTTATGGTTTGGCATAATGTTAGAGATGTTGTTGTATTAATTAGCTGATACCCCGGTCGAATAAAACGATCAGTAAACGGTCGTATACGATACAAATACGGTCCGTTTTACGTGCCGTATTTTCCCCGTATGACAGGGGCAGTAATACGGCCGTATGTTCTATAGAATACGATAATATTACGCCGGCTTTACGAGGTTTTACGGCTGATATACGGTGTCCGTGTATGGACGTAATACTGCCCCTATTAAAACGCCTTAATTCGGCTTAAAGCGGCCGTTTTACGGCGGAATACGCTGCAAAAACACCGTTTACGGTGATGTTACGCCGGTTTATGGTGGTCCGTTTTGATCGGCCTGGGTAGACGCGTGGCTAAAGTAAATCGTGTACATCATTAAATAATTTGTATGTGTCAAGAAATATTACATGATCAAGAATTTGTATCTGCTGAAAACACAATATCATTTGATTATGTTGATCATTATAATTCGAATAAATTAATAATGCAAGTATATAATGTTGATGAGGTGTTATTCATTGTCGATGTGGGCTATGCTCAAAAAGTTTGATAAGTTGTAATAAGTCAGAGTAGAATGTTCCTATTCAGAATCATGATGAATAATTTGACATGGTGTTAATGATGTTACTGTTCAATGTCGTTGGGCGTTATTGATTTAAATTCATTAAAATGTTATTGGCAATTAATTTTACTTCTGCTGTTTTTCTTGTCGCGACATTGGTTGTTTGTTCGTTTTTTTAACCCCATTTTGTTTTGTATTGACCTCTTGAAAAATAATTCACTGAGATTTTCTCTCATCTTGGATTTTCTTCATAGAAAGATTTGAAACCAAATGAAACTTCTAATTTGTTTTTATTAATGGTAATTTGATGACTGGTATAAATATTGTCGTCTTTTAATTGAGCTCGAATTTTTCGATAGTCGTACTTGTGATAGATTGGACGTATCATTTTGTGTCGGATGATATTTCTGTTTCCACTTAAGTTTCATATTTTTTCGACGTTGTTTTTCAGTTTTCGACAGGGTTGTTGCGGTTGTTCTTTCGTTGAGTTGAATTCGTTAATTTATTCTGATGTTGCTTTAATTGTTAATGTTGCTCGTTCTTCAATGGATATTTGTTATGTCGTTTGTCGTGTGTCGAATGTTGTTCTGATAATTTGGATTCATTTGTCTTCGCTGCTGTCTGGTAAATCATCGTAAAGATCAAGTATGGTTCTGGTGGTAGTTGTTATTGAAGTTTCATATATATACATGTGTGTGCATTCGTTGCTGTCGTTTATTCTCGATGAATACATTTTAAAATATAAATTAGCAACCGATGTACAATAGTGCATTGCAGATTACTTAATTTTGAAACGTTTATTTTGTTCTACGTGTTTGTTGTATCGGTTATACGGCTGAATAACTTGTTATTCCACGTGTTCAGTTCGAAGTCGAGCCCACATTACCAGTGATTAATTGTTTCAGTTTTATCGAGGAATTTGCTGAACGTTATTAAAACTGCCTCTTGTAACGACCATTCGATCCCTGAATTTCGATGATGAGTATTATCCTGAAAATTATAATTTGGTTCTGCGTCGTCCATATCATCGTTACTAAGTGGTTACATTCAACGTATCTAATTATATGTGGCCGGTTATCGCATCATGCCTCTCCACTTTTGAATACGTTTTAGAGTTTTTTTTTCCAATCGCTAAACTCAGATTGTAATTTTTTAGCATTAATGTTCTTACCTCGATGAATAAGTTCGAGATGATGAAAATATTCAAATTCTTTGACAATTGCCCCCAAGATATAATTTTATTGTTGTCGTTAAATATAATCGAGCATAATTCTTTTATCCGCATAAATAATATCGATTATGAATCAGGTAAATAATCCGTTTCGATTAATATTATTGTCGATTGACTGATTGAATGTACAAATTGTATTTGGATTAAGGTACGTTGGTTTTTTCATTTTCCGATTCTGTATCTAGCACATATCTTGCTGCTTGTTTTGCTTTTACGATCAGCTCATCAATAATATTAACTGTTGATTTGTAATGTTGATGTATAACAGTGATGCTTGATGATGATTGGAACAGTGGATATCGAGTTCGTAATTCTTCATTTTTTAAAGTTTTCTGATTGCTAATACATGATTTTATATTACTAGAATAGAAATAGTATAATTTATCAAATGAACTAATAAAATGAATTTTCCATATAGTAGAAGATATTTTTCTTTCCTGTGCTTATCGGGCATGACCTCTTCGATATTTATATAAACATTTTTCAGTTCTTCTGGTGTGGTATATATGTGTATTTTATCCTGTTCTTGTTTTCATAATAGTAAAGTTGGTGATCTACTCAGTGAAAGTACTCGCCCAGCGAGTACGAATTTGCAGCATAAGTACTGGGATTACTCGAGTGAGTACTCAATAAATTTCATGTATAACTATACTTTTCGTGTACTAACGTAAGGTGAGTACGCCAATGACTTTTCTCTCTAAGAATTATTCGTACATGAAAATACGAGTACTCGAGTTAGTACTCATTGTGGTTTTTCAGAAGACATTCAGTAAAACAACTATATAATGAAACGAAAATTAAGAAAGAACTATTTAAATAAATGAACAATTTGATCCTCCATATTTTGTAATGAGTCACTCATGTGTCTTAATTAATTGGTTATTTAAAGAATAGAAAAAAAGGAATTCATTTCATCGATTCATTTCTCGAGTAAGACCAAATATTTATTTGAATATATAAAATTATTTGTTAAATTTTATATCTTAAATCAGAGATGAAATATCGTTTTAAATAAAATTTGATTTTTTCTAAAAACTAATGGAACACAAGAAGAATGAGAAAATATTTTCGCGAGAACATAAAGTTCAATATTCTGAAGAAACATCTATTGTTATACAGAAGACAATTCATAATTTTTCCATTTGTTACTTAACGGTTTTTGTTTTCGATCTAAAATATTTGTATTTTTTTTGTAACGATCTTAAGTGAATAAATATTGTTCTCGCATATCTTAATTTGATTCATAATTTATTTGTTATTTGTGTTTGTGTTTACATATGCTGTAGTGTTCTTAATACAGAATTTTATTCATTTTTTCTTACATTCTGTGGATAAATTTTTATCTCCATGTCATAATTAACCAAATTAAAACTATGAAACACTCCGTTTCTCAGATTCTTATCGTGGAAGTCACTGTTCTATCATTAGTTTTTGAAATAAATAAATTGAGTCTAGTAAACAAAATGCCAAACAAAATATGCGCCTGACAATGGAGGTGTTCGAACTGTAAGTTGAATTTACCAGATATTTTTGCATCAATAGAAAGCCCTCACAGCCAAACTAACATGGTTAAAACATTAGCGGGTGTTGGTGTACCCTTAAGGAGATATTCGATTTTTCAGTGAATTTTCTCTACAGGACCGGCTTTCCCAGCAATATCATATTCTCGAATTGGAACCTGAAACTTTGTCTGCATGAAGGTTTCAATGAGACTAACTTACAGAAAAAAAAACATCAGAAGGTTTGGACAAACCCTCTTCGAGATATGAATCTCTCAAGCATACNGATTCATATCTCGAAGAGGGTTTGTCCAAACCTTCTGATGTTTTTTTTTCTGTAAGTTAGTCTCATTGAAACCTTCATGCATACAAAGTTTCAGGTTCCAATTCGAGAATATGATATTGCTGGGAAAGCCGGTCCTGTAGAGAAAATTCACTGAAAAATCGAATATCTCCTTAAGGGTACACCAACACCCGCTAATATTTTAACCATGTTAATTTGGCGGTGAGGGCTTTCTATTGATGGGAAAATATCTGGTAAATTCAACTTACAGTTCGAACACCTCGATTGTGAGTATTTTACGAAAAACCCACCAAAAAATACAAAAAATGTACGATGAGTACTCTCGAAACGCTCGATTTTACAAGGCGAGTACTCGATAGTCGCACTCAGATACTCAGACCCTAACACCCTAACACGAGTATTACTGGTGAGTTCTGGCGATATTTTCTAGCGTGAGTACCTTTTTTTGAGAACTCTCTTGATGAGTATCTTCACTATGATAGAAAAAGATGAACTAGCATATGTTAGGCAATCATAAAATAATCCAAATAGGTATAGTACAGATACATAGGCATTTTTTTAGTAATTGGCATAGCTTTTTTTTTACTGTTAGGTACAATCCGAATAAATTATTTGATCTTGTACTTTTTCTAATCGATAAATTGAAAAGAATGAGATTGTCACTGTCTTTACTAATTTCCATTTATTTGAACTGAAACTTTTTTCAACACATTCAGGCTTTGATTCTCTAGAAATTCAATGATATATACGTATTCTATATTCGCAATATTACGCTAGTAATATCGATGATGCACATTCGTTTATTAACTGTAGATCAATTATTCTTGTCCATCAGTTACAAGTGTCTTTTAAGGTTATTTAAGTTGGTTGTGTGTATTTTGTTGTATTGAACTCGTTTATGTGTGACTTTGTATGTGAAAATATCACGGGAAAAAAACTCATTTGGGCATTACCTGATACTCCAAGCTGTTATGAAGCATTCTCAAATAGGGATGACGTATTTTACTTCGTGAGGCTCAATTAATAACACTAACTAAGTGGTTTCACTCGGCAAAAAACTGAAAAATGTTTTTTTTGCTCTAAATACTTAACATTTAATATTAATTATTAATTGATGACATTAAAGTTAATTTAAAGTTACTATAAATTGGTCTACTCCTAATATCATGTAGTACTATGTTTTTTATAAATTATTATATCTATCTTTAGAAGCTTGTTGTTTTCCAAAGGTTACATTTTCCCATTTTCATAATGCTGACCTTACGTTAGTTACCATATATTCACAAACGGCGATAGCAAGCATTGAAAATGCAATAGGTTTTCATCGATTGGTAACTACGCAATACCAGAATTTCACACATGGAGTGCTAGTATTCTGAACAAACAACTGAGGTTTGATTTTCCGATCTCAAGAAATATTTTGCTTTTCGAGTGTGGTGCGGGGAAAACATCATATTTTTTCCTAATCTTTCTGAAAAATGTATACGTTTAATTATCATTGCATGCGTTCCTATTTGTTTATTGGTAACAAGAATGCGACATGACGATCTTATTTTGTCTTTTTATCTTCGAATGAAATGATATTTCAATAAACTTGTTCAACAGAAATACCTGAGGTAGTGGGCGTGAGGAGAACATCTACACCCTGTGACACTATAAATGTTTGTGATACTATAGTTTCTTTATTCTTTTAGAAAGAAAATGTTGGAAATAAAATTTCATTTTGATTGTAAGTAACATTAACGTAGTGTCTAATCTGATGAATATCATCACTGATCTAATTCTAATTGCAAGTCATCATTGATAAGAATTCGTTTCATGACTACTTTTCAGTTTACGACGAAAAACATAGTTTACTACTAGAGAAGACCGATATGAGTAAACCTCATTTGTATTATGATTTTTCATTGATACATAATTACATAACTAATAGAAAAGACATTATGAATCATTGTAATATATTTCTGAAGCGCAGACTCTTAATGAGAACGATTCATTTCATTTGTTTGACACATACTTATGACTAATATGATTTCCGTTGAAAAGAAACACAATCACTACTAATTCACACCTGCGCATATGAATCAGCTCGTTCAAGATCGTAATCTATGGCAAATTATCAACACATGTCATGTGGTATAAATTGAAAAGCAAATGACTTGCCATTGGTAAAATAAAACATCACAAATATAGTAAGTTATATATATAAAAACGAACACTAGATACTCAATGATCTATTTTATCATTTAAGAGCTGATTTACGATGCCGCTGAAAGCATTTTTAATCAATAAACTTGATCAAACAAGATTCCGTCTTAATGGTGTTGTACCATCATCACGTTTGCCGAACAAAAGACAACTATGCCAAACGTTTCGTGATCATATACTTTACAGAGCTGAACAACTTCCACCCAAAATTGATTTACGAACCGACATGACGGCTGTCGAAGATCAATCGCAAATTGGCAGTTGGTAAATAAGTCTTCAGACATTTAATATTTTATTTTTTATTTATTTATTTTTTATTTACTGATAGTACGGCAAATAGTTTAGCCGGTAGGAAAAATAAATCAATGTCTGATCGATATTTTCAGGTGATTCCATTTTTTAGGAGCTTACGAATATTTAACAAAGAAAGCTAATGGTCGTGATATTGATGTTAGTCGTTTATTTATCTATTATAATGCTCGAGTAAAAGATCAAAGATCAGAAAAAGTTATAGATTCAGGTTGTACAATGACGAGTGCTATCGAAGCATTAGAAGAATTTGGAACTTGTCTGGAGTCGATTTGGCCTTACGATATTTCTAATGTCAATGTACAACCAAATGATCAAGCTTATCGTGAATCAATAAGCCATAAGATTACAGAAGCATTGCGAATTAATATTGATTTGCATGAAATGAAATCGTGCCTTGCACAAGGGTTTCCTTTTGCATTCGGTTTGATACTATATGCTTCATTCGATAATGCGAGGACGACAGGAGTTGTGCCAATGCCAAATCAATCGGAAAGTAGTCAACAATCATATGGAAGGTTTATACAAAAATCAGTTTAATCCGAAAAAGAAGCTTTATTTTACTCATTCTTTTTTAGTCATGCTTTATTAGCTGTCGGTTACAGTGATCAGTCCCAAGCATTTATTGTACGAAATTCGTGGGGAGAAAATTGGGTAAGCACTATAATAAATTTTATTCAGGAGATAAACAAAAAAGAAAACGTTCTAGGGTGATAACGGATATTGTTATATACCTTATGACTATTTGACAAATTCTAATTTATGCTTTGACGTGTGGACTATACGTAAAATAGCAACGGATAATTTTAGTCGAGATCATTGGGATAATCGTGATACAATAAATTATGTAGGAATTAATCGAAATCATAATTTCAATGATCACAATCGAATTATTGAATCTATTGAAGAAGGCGATGATGATGATGATGATGATGTTGACGATGATTCTAACCAGTCTTATAATTCATATCAAAATTATAGAGGTTTGTTTATTATTGTCATCCGTGACTTTATAATTTTTTGAAGTATTAATAGGATATAGAGAACAGCGAAAACAGCGTGATGACTTCTATCAGGAACCATTCACAGGTAATTGTCTCAAATAATGCGACCAAAGGAAAACTAAAAATAATATCGTTAGGCTATTCTGGCAGAGACAATTTTTCGTATTCATTTTATGATCAATATCAGCGAGACGATCCGTGTAAGTTTTGAAAACAATGCATATCCCTCATTGAATTATATTTATCTTTTAGTTGGTTTTCGTGGTGATTATTCTAATTTCGATTCATCTCGGAATACAACGCCGAATTTCTTTAGTAATCCATTCATACCATCGCCAGCATTTCCTGCCTATCAACAATATGGACAAAGTTATGGTTATACTAACCCCTATACTTATGATTATAATTCAAATTTTTAATAATCGTAAAACAAATACAATATAATAAAGAAAACAATAAATAGTTGATAATCTAAAACTGAACATGAACTTTGAATACTAGGATAACGTAAATTTCTCGCCATTGATGAACAGTTTAAATCAACAAATGTCCGATAATCGAATAAACGTGCATGAATAATTCCATTTGGCAGGATACAAGTTGTTGTTTGATATAATGGTGAGAGATTTTTATTATAATAAGTGAATGAAAATACACGTTGATAATTTCGCAAATGAACACAATTGCATGATGGTGTAGAAAATAAAGTAGTAAATGTTGAATTTGATAATGTTTGAAAAATGATTTTCATTAAATCCAATGGTATCATTTGAAATTGATCCGGATTTGGAAAAATCGATTGTAATGAAAAAGTATTCGTTCGAATAGAAATATATTTATTTGAACTATTCCATTTATGAGCCAAATTAGCCCATTGAATTGCAGATAACTGTTTTTTTGTTGTTAAAGTTGAACTCGAAGACATTAAATTGATAGATTCAAGACTTGATAGGCCAAGTATATAATCGAAATAGTCAATGTATTTTAATGGATTATTTTCTACATTCAATGTTACTAAATTATTCAACGAACGAAGAAGACTACCATCGAGAATTTCTATTTGATTATTTGATAGGTCAAGTGTTTGTAAATTTTTTAATCCATACCGTCGAAAATTGGGTATTTTTCTAATTTGTGTATTACTTAAATTTAAAAAAAGCAATTGAGATACACATGATAAATCCATATATTGAGCATCGAGATAGGAGCCACTTAAATCAAGAATTTCAATATTGGAATAACCACATAAATGTAATGGCCAACGAATTAAAGCATGTCGAGCAATAATTTTTGTTATATTCAATGAAGTATTCGAATTGAACAGTGGCAAGTCCGGTAATGAATATGAACAATTCAAAAGTGTAAATGAATCTTCAGTTAATAAACATTTACATGGTGTATTAGAAATACACGAGGAAACGTTTGTAGAATTTGTTAAAGTAAATAAACACGAGAGAAAAATGAGAAGTTGACGCACTTTACACATGTTTTGTTCAATGAATGCAATGAGCATATGATCAACATTAACTGTTCGATTTCTTTTTCCTTTCAGACTCTATTTGACTAAACATGCTTACAACAAATTATCTGTAATTTGATATTAAACACGCTTTTCGATTTGCTATTCAATCAATTGAGTCGACGTGACCATAGGCAGACAATAGAGATATTGTATGTGTTTAGATCATCGACACGCGTTTAACCGTTCGATCATGTACGAATAATATTTTCATACTCAAGTTTCAATCATTGTCGAAAAACTCTTTAAAAAATCAAACCAGCTTATAATCTCGTGTTTTGTTAATCGACTTAAATCCTATTACATGAGCAACAATTCACTCTATGCAATTTTCGTCATTGCGCTATTTTCTTGCCAAACAAAATTCATTTCAAGTTTCAATCAAGTTTGAACGCGATGGAAGTGAAATATTATTTCGGTTGTTGCTCGATACTTTTAATAGTAATTGAATTTAATCAAGTGTTTATTTATTGATTCGAGCAAACAAGATGTAAACAGATCGAATTACAACCTGTGACATGTAATCCATTTTCGTGTTTATTAGCTTATCGGCATGCATAATAGTGTATAGACTATGGCTGAATTAATATTTACAAAAATTTCAATTAAGAATAAAGCAGAATCACAAAGTTAAAACATGATGTCGAATATATTTGTGTAATCTATTATCTTTATGTACAAAAATATTAGAGTATGAATGTTTCACATTTTAACCTGAATCATCCTCTAAAATGATTCCAGTACAGCATAGTAAAAAGAAAATCAAAAAAGAAGATCCGATAAATTCACACAATAATACAATGCGAGAGACTGAAGTTTTCTTTTGTATAGATTCTCTCTCGCATCTATACAATAGATAATATCATCGTCACTTGGCGATATACTTTTTTTAAACATACATTGTCTAAAATAAAACATCCGAAACAAAAATGATTATCTTGTAAATCCGAATACTTCGATTTCCATTATTTGAAAATGCTCGCTGCTGGATAATGCTTTATTACCATATGTATCACATTGTCTTGTACTTCCTTCATTTAAATCTTTTTGAATAGCTAAACCAATATTGAGCGGATCTTCGCTACCGCCCATTAGTAAACGATCGTTGTCGGCATGTATAAAATAATCTTCAAATGCTTTTGTACTGCCTCTCGTCGATGTTTGATAGCCAACCCATTTATAAACTTGTCGTTCGGGTTTTAATGAAAATAAAAATGATTCACCCGTGCCAAACCATGTTCGTGCTTTTGTACGATTAGCTAATTGGCCTGAGCAAAAAGCTCCAAAAATTTGTTGATGTTCATTTCGTATAATAATAAGACAATATTCATGAAATTCGACATGATCATATAAGGTTTGTAAACGACGGCCGTGAATATTTGACGAATAAATACGTTCAGGTTGAAATTCAGTAAGACGACTTGGAATCAGTGACCAAAGATAAGCAAAATCTGAATGACTTGCTGTTGTTGAATCGAATTCACGGATCATGATTATTGGCATTGAATTTTGATGATGAATGGGACGACTGATAGCAGATTTTGGAATTGGAATAGGATTTAATGTATGTTGATCACCAGCAGACGATGAACGACGTAGAAGTGGCATTACACGACGACGTTCCAATTTGATCTTTTCTTCTTCAATCTGAATAAAAAGAACAAACATGTTTGAGTTCGAGACAACTGTCAGGGAAGTTCAATTGGATAAAGACAACAAAAAACAATATTGACAATAATTCAATAGCTAGAAGATCTCAAAAGAAATATTCTATTTCGACATCGTACCTCAATAGCTCGAAAGATTTCTTTTCGTTGTAAATGTGAAATACCAAAAGCATGTTTAAAAAGTTTGTCCATAGGTAAATCAAAATGTTGAATATAATGAATTAAATTTTCATAAACATCTTTATTCGATGAAGACGACAATGATACTTGATGGTCATATTGTACTGCTGCGCGAGTAGATCTTGATAGGCGAAATAACGAATCACGTCGTCGAGGTTTTGCTGGTACTGTTTGTGGATTTGAAGCATATTTAATAAAAAAATGAAGAAGTGTCATACTGATACGTATAAGTACCTTCATATCTTCAATTAAAAGACAATCAATTATTGGTACAAGATATGCAAATGGTAAATGTTCGAATACAAGCCAAAGCCATCCATCAAATATGGATGCTTGTTGTGGTTGTTTAGCAAAAAATTCGTATATTGAACGGCAATGTCGGCGTAACAATGTACGAAATGCTAATGATAACGATTGATACTGGATTTCTGTTTGAGTTATTATTTTATAATCCCCACTGGTGAGAATTAATAATGATTCGTATGCATCGATTTCTGTCATGTAATGTAAAAATAAAGCTGTCATTGGTGCAAGTAATGGTGCCCAGGTTATATCAGGATGATAATATGTGAATACACTTAAGATTCGAGTTATAGCATGTTGACCTCGCCGATTTAGATTATAATGAGGCAAATGATTGGCATCAACACATGAAGGAAGACGAACAGCTATATCATTTCGACGACCAAACATATTTCTAAAGAGAAAAATAGAGATGAGATTGTTTTGAAGTCAAATCAATGAGAGAAATATAACTAGATGTACTAAGATTGAGTAAGTCAAGAACAGTAGCTCATAAAAAGAATCATGTTCGAAAGAAATTTCTTGAATATATACCATGAAATCATTATTATTTTGTGCTTTTTTTCTTATAGATAAATTACAAAAAAAGAGGAATGACAGTCTTTCAATAATAAATAACGTTCGTTCTAAAATGATTCTTTTTCTTGAGAGAGAGAGAGAGAGAGGGAGAGAAGGGAGTTGAAATGAGCTACTAAAACTTAATGAGCGACATTTAGAAGAGTAGATATGAGAAATAACGGTATCGGTCAACGTTCGCACTCTTACTTGAAACTTGATTTATCATTCTTCTTGTTTATCAAATGAAATAATGTTTCGACAATCAATAGAGTATCATATTCTATGGGAAGAAAATCTAAAAGAGTTTGAATTTGACATTATCACTTTTGCAAACTGGAGCAGGTCCCTCATCAGAGCCCCCTACAGTATCTTTCACACTGATGGCTCATAAACTAATTATATCTTTTTCATTATCAATAGCAAATCTATGTAAATCGATAACCGATAAGTGTTTACAAATTGAGATATACATGTACGATATTCATCTAGAAAAACACGCGCTTGCTTTCACGGTAAGACTTATCGAAACTAGGGTTTTTGTGAATTTACGTTGCTCTTTAATTTTTATACCATATCGCAAAAACATCTATGGACGTAAAAATTCTCATAACCGTAAAGACAAATCTTCTAGATTGATAATGAGGTTTTTAATAGGACTTGAATGTTTCTTTTTTATTACTTAATATCAAAACTAATATACCTATTGCGCTATTTTTTTGCGTATAAAAATATACAACCAGAACTCATCAATGAAATATATTGTGAACGAGTATTCTTGACGTATATTATACCATCAAGTACGTGCCCTTGAAATATAACTTACCGTATATCGTCTGGGTAACGGTCAATAGCTTGTTGAAATTTATGTGAATGCCGTGATTTGTCTTGACGAATAAGATTAAACCAAAGTGATGCTCGAGATGGGTGTGAGGCGCTCAAATGTGATAAACGAAATAATTGTTTGATATTTGCTGATGGACAGAATAATGCTGAATTATTTGAATGCTCATCGTTATTCACTGAAATCTTATTTAAATAGTCGTCAGTCAGTAACAGTTGATTAAATGGTTTTAAATCATGTTGTGAAATGTTGACTGAATTTGCAGCATCTTCACAGATGCTCGTCAACGTTGATAACGTAGGATGCATGAAATCTAAAATTATAATATATATTTGAAGATAATGTTATAAATATTGCGTTTATATACAGAAAGATAAATATCAGAGAAAGAGAAAAAAAACGTAAATTTATGCATTACTTTTTTTTTCGTTTCTTTCTACAAGGAAAGAAGAAATCTGGTTTTATTCAAGATAAAAAACGGTTGATACGAATTAATTATATGCTTGAATAGTTTTTCTTGTTTGATCGCATTTTCGATTAAAAAATTTCATGTACTTATTTGTTCATTCTTTTTGAATTCTAGAAAAACCGTGTTCAATTGACTTTATGTATTTTATTATTTATCATAAAAAGTTAGAGAAAAAAGTTAGCTGAAACAATAATCATAAAACTGCAAGGACAAAATGATCATAAAGAAATGAACTGAAATATATCTATAATTGTATGTAATAATGGCTAATTATGATTAATTTGTCCACTGAACATTAATATATATACTTGGATACGTGCGTAATTAAACAACATAATACAATGATATGAATCAATGTAAAATATCACTATCAAGAAGAAAAGAATATGTCACCGTACGAGACAATTATTTGTTAGTAGAGAGAAGTATCAAGGCAAAATGAGATCAGATTTTCTTTGTCCGGCACGTAGTCATCACAATAAATATTGACTTGTTCTAGTCTACTTTGATGATAGAGTAGATTTTACGAACAAACCAGAAACAAGCAAGAAAACCGATCGTACCTGAAAGAAAGAAAAAAATGAAAATCATTCTTGTAATTTTCTTCGTAAATTACCAGTAAATAGAAATAAAATAAACGTTATCATTAATGTATAACCAAAGTATAGAAATGTTGATGTACCCTCAGATATTTTTAATTTCGAGACGAAATAATAAATCGAATATAGAAAGAAATAAACAGCCGTGGAGCCCGATGTCAAAAACGAACGCCACCACCAATGATAATCCTAAAAATTAAAGCATATTCGATTATGTAACACTCAAAGCCAATTAGCGATGCATATACCTCAGCACATAAATGAAAATAACAAAGCAATATTGTTGTTTCTGAACATGTTAAAATTAAGATTATATACACAACAAATAAAAATCCAAAAAAATAATAGTATTGATGAGCCCTAAATGAAATTTGTTAAATTTAATTTAAAAACAGAGAAATCAATTTACCAGATACTATTCAAAATAAAGAATAATTGCATGAAAATACAACCAAATGGAAGCATGCCACCCAGTATAATGCCTATAGGAACTTTTAATTTTGTTGTTTAAAAAAAAAATTTTTTTCATACTAGGGAAAACTCCTATATATGTTGTTGGATCAGGTACTTGACGTGGAATTTGATTCGTTCGAACTGGATGTTCTGTAGGCTAAAACAATCAAAATGAAAAATTTTCGCCTGATTTCATTGTTTAATTTTACTTTATTCTTAAAACCACAGTAAACTCCTAGAAATACCAATGGAGTTGATACACAAAACCACAGAGCTAATAATGCTAAAAACGTTGTAAATGGAATAGCTGCTGAACTACCATTTGCCCAAAGAACAATATTTAAAATTAAGAAGATACTAAATATGGCACTAAAATTTAAAAAAAAATTAGGCAAGAAATTAATTCATTCAATCGTTACCCAGGACAAACAATCGCTGTCATCCAGACATTTTTCTTCCAATTTTTACCACCAAACACTAGGAAAAATTTTAAAATCATTTTCACATAAATTTCATTTGAAAACCTTTCTTTACTTCTATAAAAACGAGCTGAAGTATAACCAGCTGGTGTACCCAATAGAACGTAACAGACTATTGCACCTTGAGGAACCGAAAAGCAAACGTTAAGAATAAAATATTTTCTGAAAATATTATTTACAAGTCATCAAAGCACCGCGACTCGACGGTGACAGAAATCCAAAGCAAGCAAAAACTAAATTAACAAAAAAAGATAAATTAACAGATAAATTTGAAAAAAACATCTTACGCAAAGTAATCAATGACATAATTACAAGTTGAACACCATTACCAACAAGGACAGCTAGAAGCATTCCTCTCTTCGGCGGTCGAAATACATCACCATGTACTCTGAATAATAATATTTATTTTATAAAATCATACTTTTGAATAAATCTTACAATTTCCAACCGAATTCTTCTAGAGACTCTTCCTAATGAACATAAATAAATTTATTCTACTATTAACTTTTTTTCCTTTTTACTTCAGAGACACGATCCATAATTCGATTATAACGAGTAATATCTTTGTGCAATGTACGTACAAGAATCATTGCAATCATACCAGTAAGCAATAGAACAATTACAAGAGAATTCAATATTGAAAACCAATGGATGCGCGTCTCTGGCAATGAGTTAAGTATATAATCCCATCGGCTAGACCAACGTATTTCATCGTTTCTTTTAAAGTTAACGCTGTATGTAAATGGAATTTCAATTCCATTTGTTGTTGTTGACTGAAACCTAATAGATGCAGCATTACGTTCACAAGTCTGCGAATCAAGACTATAATAAAAGACAAATAAGTGGTTAAATATGATTCAATAAAATGCTGGTGCATCGTTCTTTGTTATATTTCTTTTTCATAAACCCAGTCATTGCTCTATAAATGAGCCTTAATTTAGATAACTATCAGATCAAGGATAATGGCTTTCAATGTCACACATCATTGACTGTATACAATATTTGTGTTCGACTTGGTATATGCAGAAGAACAAATACAGTGTATTTGAATGCTTATAGTCACTTTTGTAACAACATGAGATTTATGATAGAGCGTGGAGACGATGTCTGAATAAAATTCACTAGAATTATGTCGATTGATAGTATCAATAATAAAAACTACGTCGATATTGTGCACAACATAACCTTATGTCTTCTATGAGAAATTTCTGTCGCTCGACATTGTTTTGATAACATTTTAATGACTTATAAAACCTTAAGTCGTGAAATATCCTATAATTCAATACACACCTGCTAACTTGAACTTTAGCTGCAATAATTCGACCACCATTCTCTCCAAACGCAGTTCCCCATGTTTCGCCTATTAAACAGAAACTAATAGATATCATAATATATACTTTTTATTAGAGTACCTTCTCCGCTATGATAACTAATTTCGAAATCCAAATGGTTAAAAACATAGAAAGTATCATTTTTTCCATCTCGAATATTGCATGATTCTTTCGATTGACCTCTTTTAGTTACATAACAACCAATAGGAAATCCACGCGAACAAAATTCTGTCCCTTCAGAATTTCTATAACACAATGTTACTGGCATATTATCAATAATCCAATGTTGTTGATAATTGAAAATCATGCCTTTCATTAAGCGTTTAAGAAATTTTTGTTGTTTAGCATCAGTTGATGTAAATGTTTTTTTGCATACCAATTTGCAGTCAATGGTTTCAAGAAAATTAAACTATAAGAATATATAATGAATTTATATAAAAAAATCAAACTAAATAAATAAATAGCTAGCTTTATATGGTGATGGACGAATACGTTCGCCAAATAAAACTTGTCCAAGATTTTCCACTGGCGATGACTCGTTAACAACTGAACAAAAATCAAAACTGATTTTTCTATTAAAATTTTTTTTCGTCAATCAATACAATGAAACTCACTATGAATATTCATAGGGTAATATTGATTCAACTGAATCCAGTCGATTGACAAAGACTTCAACTTGAGTCTACATAAAAACAAATATATATATATATATTATATTTTGACTGTATCTTCACATTCTACTAACTTTGCATTTGGAATCTGGTGTTGGTGTCCGACAAAATACGTTCGGTGCTAAACCAGGCAAATAAAAAGCACTTATCGTTGATACATGTAGAAGAATAAAAAAGACTAAATTTATTGTCATATCAATAATTTGTAGTGTGCTTTATCTGAAAACTTTAGACATAATAATGTTAATGAACAATATTATTTTAAAAAATCTTCCTAAATATTAACCTAGAGCCGTCTCTCTCCTTTTTTTCCTATCCACTGCACGCATTTAAGCACGTAATCTTGTATGCATACCACATGCAGTTATTTTTTCCAGTTCTATCGCACCTTGTGTCGTACGGGCGACAAGCGATGCGGAGAAAAAAAAGAGAAAGAAAGAACAAGAAAAAATCGGTATAAACTAAACAAATATCATGATTACATGTGTAGACCAATTTTTTAAAATATTTGATCGACATATTTTTTTTCTTTCGTCCCACTCTACAAATCCCTGATACACGGTCGTTTATCATAACTAAACAAGCTAGAAACGGTTGGTAGTTTTAGTGGGACTTAAAAAAGAAGATCACCGAGAAAAAAGCTTTTCAGCCGTGACAATCCGATTATGATAGTAGTTGATGGGGTGCTCTTCAAATGAAACAAATAGAAGATCTTTAGACCAATCATTATGTAAGCAGAGGATCGATATCATTTGATATGTCTTTTAAAATAGCCAATCAATAGAAATTTTCACTGACAACTCGTCATCATCGTTCTTCTTTAACTAGAAAAAGTGTATGTTGAGCACCAACAGATATGTGTTGTATGTTTCGTTGTTCTAATTGTTTGCTTTTGACTAAAGTTGGAATAAAAATATCTTCGTTGCTATGACCTATTTGACACGTATCACCCATACCAAACGAATAGATTTGTGCATTTTGATTGATAACAAATGAAACACTACCGCCAGCAGCAATATCAAAGATATTTGTTAGATTATTGATTTGCTTTGGTATTATGATATCATTGGCAAGATCATTACCTAAACGGCCATCATCACTCCTACCTAATCCATGAACATATCCCATTGAATCAAGTATAAGCGTATGTTGAAGGCCACAAGATATTTTTATTATTTTATCTAGACACGGAAATCTTTGAATTTCAACTGGTGAATAAATGGGTTGTTTTGACGGATGTCCTAGTTGACCAAAACTATTAGCACCGCATGCATAGAGATGAATAGTTGAATTTTGAGTGAGAGCAAAAAAGCCATGACCACCAGCCCAAATATTTAATATATTTTGTTCTTGAAATGAAGGAATTTGAGAAGGCCGAAGCCAAATAGAAAAATTATCTTGAATTTCTAAATGAGCGTCACGGCCTAATTGGCCTATTTCATTATTTCCAAATGAATACAGGTCACCTAATTAAAATAAAAAAGAAAAATTGTTCTAATAATGGCTGTAGCACATGTTAAGTTGAAAAAACGAAAATATTTAGTGCAAAATATGAAAATTTTGATTAGTAATATTTCTTTCTCATATACCATAGAAAAATTTAAAATGAGCAGTCTTTATTAGATCGCTCACATATTTATTCAGTCCAGATTATGAACATTATATGCTGAATGAAAAATGATCCTGCGAGACATTCCAACAAGCGTCGTAACATATTTACGATCAAATTCTTTTATGTACTTTTGACATCGATGCTTTGCTCACTAATGTAAGAAAAAAAGACGGGGGAAGAAACTGTTTCGAATTTGGCTGACATTCATTTTTTGTCTTCAAATAAAGCATACTACCATTTTCTGTTAGTAAAAGACAAAAATCAGCACCACACGCAATCTGTTTGATTGTTTGATTAAGTGGAATCATAATAGGCTTTTGCACTATTTGTTTATATTCAAATAAGCCAAGTATACCCTCACTACTTCGAAAGCAACCACTAATATAAGCTCGGCCAGATTTCGCTAAAGCAACAGTGAATGTATCGCCTGCACAAATACTTTTAATTTCTTCAGGTAATACAAATAATCCAGGCATATATTCGTCATCGATATCGTCTGTTATTCGACCTAAGGCTCCGTCGTCGTTACAACCCCATGTATAGACATGTCCAGTTATCGTAAGTGCACATGAATGCATACCACCTGCATAGATCGATTGAATATTTTCATCTATATTGAAATTATTCACAATTTTTAAATATTGTGGTTTACGTCGTTCGATAATATTTGTCGATAGGCCAAGTTGACCGCAAATATTTTGACCACAAACAAGAACAAAACTAGGAGATTCTGTTGAACTTTTATGTTTCTTTTTTTCCGCTGTAATGCTTGATGTAATCTCCTTTGGTAGAGATCGTTTCATATTTACACACTGATAAGTCATTTTTCTTTGTTGTGATATAGAATCAATCAGATTGAATTGAATTCCCGGCTTATTCCACGAATGATTCAAGTGACGAGTCGATGATACAACATTCATTCGAATTCTCCAACTCATGATTATATTCAAAGAAAAACTATTCTATTTTCAAACTATTTACGCGCTTCAAAAAAGAACATCGGTTTATAATAAAAAATAGTAGAAAACTTTGAGAATGTTAATAAATCTTTAATTGATTATTAAATAACACGAAACATTTCATTACGTGAATTGTTCACGCGTAAATTCGGTGCTGTTGAGCTTTTAACAATTTTTTTTAAATCAATTGTAAAAGGACCATTAGGTGCAGTTTGGTATTGCTGATTTTCAATGTGTGGAAGATTCTGTTGTGCATATGCGGTAGTTGGTTGAATTTGAGGCGAATTTTGATGATTCGTAGTTGGTGGTTGTTGATAATGAGAGCGTTGCTCTTTCGAATTCACTAAAAAGTTCTGGCCCGTCACATTTACAGGCGTTGTTGGTCTTGCTGATGCAGATGCCTCTTCGCGTATTAGCTGCGTTTGAAGTGCTCGTGTACGAAATAGCCATGGATTATTAATACCATTTTTCTCTAATATAGTCATTGCAAGAAATGGAACTCGACGGGCAATATCGAATAGTTTCTCTAGCGACAAAAATTCATCTTAGTTATAGTTTTTAGATGATAAAAAAGGCAAACCTGGCTGAAATTTTCCACCTGATAAATGACGTGTCAATCCTTCGAGACTCGGTGCATCTGAAAAAAAATTTAAATTGATTACGAGAAAAGTTTTCGACTGAAAATCACAAACTGCAGTAATCATAGTTTGACATAATATGAACGAGAACTTACGCGCTACTATTAAAATAGTTCCACCTGTAGCTTGATGTCGTTCTGTAATAATATCCATAATTGTTTGACATCGTTCATAATAATCCACTTGACTATCATGTGGTCTCATGAATGGTAGAAAAGCCTGATAGGATTTATCGATATTGTAGCCGTTAGTTGCTAGTTCATCTTTTGTCATAAAACATAACGTACGTTTGAAATCATTTAAATAGCATTCAAATAAACACGGCTCCTATTCAAAATAAGTATGCATTTATAAATAGATAAACTCTTTGAAAACAAACATTATAACTTACTAAACGCATAGGTACACTTTTTCTACTCATACCAGTTAAAATCCCATTAGCACTCTGTACGCATCGTAACGATGGGCTTGTATAACAGATATCAGCGGCGTATCCATTAGTAAATAATGTTTTACCTGTTTTCAAAGCATGCATACGACCACGATTTGTTAATGGTACATCAATAACATAATGATGCAAGTAGGAACGAGTTGGGAGTCTAGAATAAACAAAAATATGATTAAAAATACATTTCCATGGAACGTACGCGTCTGGCAAATGTTCGCTGAATCGTACATAACGACCATTTCGATCAAAACTTTTCTTTGACCAATCAGAACCTAAAACAGCATCAGCTCTTTCAGCATGACGAATAATAACGATACGAAGTGGTTTCACTGGTGATGATTGAGACGGCACAGCTGCTGATGTTTGTGGTAGTAGTCGTCGATCAAGTTGCGGTGCAGCTTGTGGTTCTTGTACATATTCATAGATTTCATCAGTCGTCGGTGGTACATATGGAGTATTTTGTGGTTGAGCTAAAATATTATCTCTAGGTCTTTGCTGCTAGAATACAATAAAATATGTCTGATGCAAAACACGAATGCAACATAGATAGATAGATATATACTTGTACAGCTCTCACTCGACGTTCACGCTCCATCAATTTCTTCATTTCATAGTCGTAAGCGTCTTGTACGATTTGATTATTTGTAGGAATGTTTATTGATAACGGTCGACGACTATCAATATGATTCTTATCAGTGATGATATGATGGATCATTATAAAATAAAAAATGGTATTATATGCTGAAATTAAGACCAATTTGTTTTTTTTTCTGGTAAAATGATTATACAATTAATTCTATTATGTGTGAGGTATCAAACAAGAAATATAGTTGTTAAAAAAATATTGATACATGATTTACCGAAAAAAATATCCATATTGATGGCTCGATAGTAGCAGCTTTCTGTAAGCAATCCCTTATTTCTTACTTGATGCATGATTGTATATTATCATTCATTCGATCGTATCTAAACAAAATAAATACACAGAATCACCTTGTCTCTTACTAGACAAGGCTTTTATATTCGACGCTAGTATACTATTATTATGTGAAAAAAGGTTTATGTATGATTTGCAAAAAAGAAAAGAAAGACCATCTACATATACATTTTTATCGTCACCTGTTTATTGTTTAATTTGTCATTCACACGGTGTTTCTTTTTTTCGTCTCTCGCTACGATATGAAAAACAAATCTATTTTACTAACTATATGTGGACATTAAAAACAAAAGTGTACAATCACAAGCATGTGCGCATTGAATGAATAAGTCAATCAAAGTGGAAAAACAAATAAATTACTAATACCGACTAGTCAAATATGATAACGATATATCAGATTCTAATGATTCAAAGTAGAAAAAGAAATTTATTGTAACAATAATCTTTTCTTGTGTCTTATTTGATATTGATGGACATATTATTCGAAAGTATTCTACCTGTATTTTTGTGGTTTGCGTAATAGTGTTATGATGTTTATCTCGAATAGTCGTATCCAAACGGCAGTCGGTGAAAATCAACCCGACATAAGATATCGACATCATTCATTTCTAGCTCAGTAAAGCTTTCTGCTAGGAGCGCATAAGTAGTTCGAACAAATTGATAAGAAAACCTAACGAGCATGTTGGTTCCTGGAAAGATTTCAAGAAAAGGAAGACTATTAAATGCAGTTTAGCTCCTACTTCGACGAAAAGCTGATGAGTGAAGTTCAAAATAACAATAAATTTTATTTTATTCTACTTTCTTTTTTTAATATGAGCAAAAAACTTATCTATCCATTCAATATTTCAATAGTCCGAATTAAGCCATCGTTTTATTCAAGTGAGAGAGTACAATTTTTAATAGTATCGGACAGTGCGAAACTCGATGGATATGTGTGTTGGACAAATCAGTTGAACTCTTTTTGTTGTAAGTTTGACCTTCAAGTGTCAGAGAAGACCGCAAGAATAAAAAAATAATTCTTAGTCGAATAAAAGAAAGCTTTTGAATGAGAGTTGTTTCGAATGCAATATCATCAAGTTATTTCCGGTAAAGCAATTCATCAGAATACAAAATGACTTGAATTAAACACACTCTCAAGATTTTTCTATCATATTTCATTGATTAGCAAGCTCGTATATAGAAAGATTTAAATATAAAAAAGAATCTATTTTATCGAACATTTTGACATAAAAATAAATATACATATATATCTTAAGTGAATAAAAATAAAATGGAAAATGCAAAAAAATTCAATAAATAAATCACAGATATCGACTAGTTATATAATATAACAATTTCATTTCAGGATCGGACGCCAGCATGCATTTGAACATATCTAGTTAGAAAATCTTTTTTTGCTATATCAGGTATTAATTGTTCAATAAGTAAATCAAATAAATTACAAAGAAAATCTCTAAACAATACAAAGGAAAAAAAGCATTTTTTTCCAATAGTTTCAACTGAAAATACGAACTGATTAAGTTTTTCATAGATTAAACAGCCAAGAAAATTCGTAATAATACGATGAATACTTTCTTTGCCCACAATATGTTGAAGCCAAGCTTTTCAAAAAAAAAAAGTAAAGTAAAATATCGAATAAGAAATAAACAAAAGTTCATACTTGGAATTTTATTCATGCATGCATTATATGCTCGATGTTTCACATTTTTCATCGGTACACTAGTACTATTCTCAGCAGGCCAAAGAACTTTTGTACGTAAATCCATTAAATATTTTATAATTTTTTCCAATGAAACTAAATCATCAATTTGATTTTTTACAAATCTAAAATTATTTTCTTTTTTAAAACATGAAAGTTTCAATAAAACAACAAACTCTTCAATCAAATAGCCCAAAACTGTACGAAGACTCTGATTCGTTGATTCATAACTAATATATGTATCACGCGAATGTAAACATGTATGAATTAAATTAAGTAACGCATCAGTTAACGGTATATCGGATTCTAAACGCGAGAAAGTCGAAATTCATTTTAAGAATAATCTTTTTAGATCTTACGAATAATATGTTTTTCACGTGACGTCGGAATCGATGAACGTGTCAATAACAATTGTAAAAATTCTGAATCTATTGAATTTAATTCTAATGAATATGATGGACATCGAAATGATGATCGCTGAATAAAAGACTTGAATTGATCCATGGTAGATGAATCCTATAAACGCACATTCAGAATTAAATGGGTAGTGAATAAGGCGATTTTTCTTTATGTTTGCTTTTCCTTAAATTTATTTCATCAAATGGCATCCCGTTAGAAACATTTACCAAAATATTTTATCTCCTTGAAAATTTGTTAGTATTCTGATAAGATGCGAAAAGTCTACGATTCAAGTTTAACATACTTTTTCATATGTTGTTAGAATGTTCAACTGAAATGTTTCTTGTATTGGAGCTGCTTCACGTTTAGTTGAACGAAGTTTATTTAACTTGTTGCCCAAATCCGACACCGTACGAAATAGAACCTTTGAATTGCAAAAAAAAGCAAAAGTGTTAAACCAATCAAAGGAATTTTTTCAACAAGTTCTACTTTATCAACTCTTGGAACTGGTAGTTTACTAGGTAATATTTCAAATGGTATATTAGGATCGGAATTAAAAGCAAAAAATTCCAGTACATCATGTGAACAATTGAGAACTTCATTTGAAATAACTTTCTAAATAAAAAAAAGAAATATGTTTATTAACGTTTAGTTTTTCTACTTCAAACAAACTTGAATATATTCTTCAAGCATATTTTTTCGTCGACGAATTATATCTGGATTCATATTATCCATTGACATAGGAACTGTTCGAAAAATCTCATCGATATCTAAATAGTAACAAAACAGAAGTAAATCTTCAATTCATCTAATGTAGTAAAAACATCTAACCAGAACAATGTCGAACTGTTACTTGATTTTGTTGTAATCTTTTGTTTAAATTGATGAACTCACTAAAACGTCTTCCAACTTTGTATCGATGAGTGGCATCAGATGTAAATGGAGATTTTGTTTCACACTAAATAAAAAAACGACTAGCAATCAATCACCACTCAGAAAATTTACTATTGAAAAAACAAATATATCTATATCATAGAATTACTTGAATCAGATAAACAGTATAGGCTGCGCCAAACATAGAATCATAGGCTATATCAGATGAAATAATAGTTGCCGAATAGATGATACGTTCTAAACGTGATGAAAGATGTTCATCATTTTGATTTGGTTGATCGTTTACGTGTCCAGCAAGTGTTATAGATTCATTTTCATTGAGAACTGTCGAGGAAACTTCTATTGAAGAATTTTCACTAGTTTCAAAAGTTTTCTTTTGTTCTTCGGTCTCGCATAAAAGAACAATTAAGTAGTAGAGTGTTTGTGGTTTAGAAAATTGATTAAATAAAGGTAAAAAAACGCAATTAACAAAAATTTGTGTAAGAAATTCTCGTCCAGCACGATTATAAGAATAAATATGGAATGATTCAGGTATTAAATCTGTGAAAAGTAATTCAACAATTGCTTTTAAATATGCATGAATATCATTATGAACTAATGAACGATGAAAACCATAGATTTGACCAAATTCTTCCACAACTGATTTACTTATTCGATTTGGTTTACGCTGTTTTTCAAACGAGTCACACGCACATAAATATTGTTCCATATGTCGCTGTTGTAAATTTACTATAAGACGAATAATATCATAAGATTTTAATGATTTAAAATGATCACTAAAACGATTCAGTACTACATGAAATAAAACCATTACGTCTTCGGGAAATTCTTGGTCTGTCGATACTAATGGATAGTACCAAACATCGATATAACGAGCAATTATCGTTCGAATATATGTATCACATTCTTTATGTATTGATGTATCATATGGAGTTGATATATAAATAGTTTGTTGTGTGTTATCGCCTTGTTTAAATGATCGTTTTCGAATAAGAAGATTGTAAATATGACCGGAAAATTTTAATGGTAATTGATTATCACGTGATAAACGTTTTACAACGAAATTAGCAAAAATAGTACTTAATGGTAACAGAAAGATACACCACCAATGATTGAACATCAAGAGTAAGATGAAAGATACTGATAGAATAAAAACATATTGTTGAAGAAGAGAGAAACGATGAATTAAATTAAGAAAAAATCGATAAGACATAGCACCTATCTAGTTATGGAACAAAACGAGAAATATATCTATCAGTGTGTTGACTTGTCATTTGATTGAGAGAGAAAAAGAGAGCAATAACGCAAATATGTAGTTTGTTAATTGTAGATGTCGCTCAGGACAAAGAATGTTTAAAGACGTGAAGATCAGAGTCATCTTGTATTGTATATGTCTCGTTGAGTAAAGATAGAGAATTTAAAAATCTAATTTCTCATATTACTAGGCCGACTTCAATAGAAGAAAAAAAGATGATAAAACTATTGAAAAGTATATTGAGTGTTTGTTGTCGGAACTATGAATTTACACTTAACTCTCAATACTTCAATCAAACGTGTATCATACAACATCATTGCAAAGAAAACTTGTTATTACCATTAAAAATTCCAATAAATCTTATCAAGGATCAAGTTTACAACTATACTGCACTGATAAACCTCTGATAAAATATTATATAACTATACTATAATTGGAATAACATTAACACTTGTTATTTTATAAGACTATACACTTCATCTCGATATTATAGGGTTGATCATTAGATGAAAGAACAATTGATATGTGACTTCAATGAACCAAATCTTTATTATAATAATTATTGTTCGAGGAAAGAAATAATTAGATATGGTTAGATGGGTATACTCGTTGTAACCAGATGGAACAATATATTTCAGTAATATCGAGAGTACAAAATAGTACATAGGTCCATTTGAATCATTGAGTCGATTTCGACGAGGCAACAAATGATATTAGATGAACGTAATGGGTCATCAACTAAAGTATAACTCTCAGAATAATGATATGATTATCGTCATGAATAGAAACATTATTTGCAGATGTTTGTCTGTGAGTTATCGTGTTAACTCTATGAGAATAAAAATACAATACAACTCGAACGAACAAAATCAAATTACTGATGTGAACCTCTACTCGTTTGTCCTATTACTGAATTTGACTTTTTTTGACTGTAACGAAAAATCGCTGAAAAAAATCATAATATGCGAGTTTTTTATTTATATGCTAAAAAGCTTTCGCTTCTTAAGTAGATAATCACTCATCGTTACCGGATTAAGACTAGATGAGTAAACCTACTTTATACCGTTGGTTGTCATTTTTGTGGCTACCTTATGACTTCGACTTTTTTTTATCGTCGAATGCATGTTAGAGAAATACAAAAGAGTGACAAATATATAATCCTTTCTTCTCGATGAAGATGTCTGTTTGTGATGCGCTCTTTTTCGTCGATTGAGTCTTCATATGACGATGACTCAAACTTGTAGGACATGCCGAATCGAAGATCAAACGAATGAACAGAGCAATGTGATGTATAAAACGTTTCATGTTCATTAAATAATATTTACTATGACTGTAACATATAACGATGTCATAATGTCTTTTTCAACTGAAAGTGTCAGTTGCATACAAATATATCGCAACTATGTAACTCATTTCATTTAAATCCTATATTATCATTTTTTTCTTTGTTTACTATTAATTTAGTTGTCATGGTTGAATAATGACAAGTCAACGAACTTTTGTTTTATTGCTCTCCTCTGTTCTGTTTTACGTCCCACTCATCGATTTCTCTTCTTTCCCATTTTCTATATATTTGTCTACAAACGAACAGGAAGAGAGAGAGAGAGAGAGAGACAACACGACATTGTATGTGAATGGAAGAAAAAAAAGAGACGAGAATATTCGCTAACCCGATAGATCCATATTCACACTTTTTCTTTCTGACTGCATCATTCACAACGGTCAGTCGATACATTTCAGGACAACGTACTTCCTTTCTATTGTTTTCTTTCTGACACATTGTGAATGGTCAAATACATAACAATGTTCATTTTATATTGCAGATTATGGCATCGAATAAAAGCGGTTTCAAAACGTTTGAATGGGATCTTAAAAGTGGATATAAACCAATACAATGGCGATCAACAGTTTCAGCGCCATCATGCGCATTGTGTAATAAAGCTGTTTTTCCAGCTGAAGAAGTTATTGGAGCTGGACAAAAATATCATAAACTTTGTCTTAAATGCAGTAAGTTTTCATAGTGTATACTATTTCGATTGTTCCTATGGTCTACCGTCTAGTTTCATGCAATGCCTTACTCAATTCTGGGAATATAAATGAACATGATAAAAAAATCTATTGCGTCGGATGTTATCGTCGTCAATTTGGTCCACGAGGAGGTTAGTATTTTTCATATTTAAATAACGAAAAATTTTGCTTCTTGTCGCAGTGGGTCGTGGTCTCGGAACAACAGCATCAGTTAGTCTCGGAACAACAGCATCAGTTAATCTCGAAACACCACCAAGTAGTCCTAGTTTAAGTCAAACAAGATCTAATTTTCATACTGAAATAATCGATACTACCGATGGATTACGTCATGAACGAAAAACATCAACAGGTTCATCACCGTCTCGTACATCATCTGATGATGATTCACGACACAGTAATCCTCTCATGAACAGTGTCACATATATCGGTGGAGTGACTATAAAACAAACAATGTTGACTATGGCTCGTCCTTCGTCATCTAATTTAACAAATGGATCATCTTTTCGAATGAAATCAATATCAGCACATGTTTGTCCACGTTGTTCAAAAAGTGTTTATTCAGCTGAAGAAGTTAAAGCTGCTGGAAAAGTAAGACACGTCGAATTGACGCTTGTATAATAATCGATTTCATCTTGGTTTTAGTCATTTCATAAACGATGTTATACATGTGCTCATTGTAAAAAAAGTATCAATGGTGGCCGATATTCAGAACATGAAGGAGAACTCTATGATAACAGTAAGATTATTTATTTCCTTTAATTGAATTTTTTATTGTAAATGTTCATAATTTTAGATTGCTATCAACGATTGTTTGGTCCTAAATGTGTTGGTTATGGCAATGGATCAACGACATTATCAACAGGAAGTTAAAATCAATTATGAATTCTCTCTTCACCGGTGCCGTTATAAATGAACTAAATAGAATACCTTGTTTTATTGTTTTTTGTGTTGTCTTTTCCCTTGGTTTATTCTATCTAATCTGACTCTTAGTCTTCTACATATTTCTTTGGTGTAGTTATTCTAGAGTAAGAAAATATGCTTTTGTTTTCTATATATACAATGATTGAGTGTATTGCATGAATAACGTAGAACAATATTATTGAACGAATAAATTGTGAATATTATTTCATTGTAAACGACGTTTTTTTTTCTTCCTGTTATTCATCAAAAGAGATCGATCAACTGCTAATGGGATTCATTGCGAGATTTTCATTGTTCAGTAGAACTCGTTATGAGTTTGATTTATTTTATGGAAGAAGAAAAAAACGGTCAAAAGGCATTACAAGGTGATATATGTGATGTCTTGTTTAACATTTAAAAATGTTAATGAGCGTTGAAGTCATATAATCATAGGAATTATTTACATATTCAAGTGATACTTGATTTGAAGAGTACATGGAATTGTTCATTATTTTTTTTCAAAATATTCCGATGTTTATGAGTTCGCAAAACGACTGTTTTTACAGACGAAATAGATAATTAATCATGACCAGTATAGTTTATTTGTTTGATGTTATTAATACAATCGTCAGTGTCATGTTCGTGCTAGACGTCGTGATTAAGAAATGAAGGATAAGCTGCTATGTCTACAATCACTGATGACATTTATGTCAATGAGTTAGTAATCATCATTTCTTTGCTCTTTTAACATACTTAAGAATATAACAATAAGCTTAGCCAAAGTTAGTTAAATAGTTGTCAACTTTATTCATTAATCTAAATATTAATCATTCTATTTTATTCATTGAAAATCCGATATTTATGTGTATCAATACATAGGTTAAATCATAGGCAAATACGTGGGTCTTACGTTCATGATCGTTTGATTTTTGAAATATGAATAAACTTGCACAATATCTTACATGATCATGAAACAATTCCTACTCGGCTTTTTTTGCTGCAGCCGAAATAAATTTAATGATCTAAATAAATCACAAAAATAATGAGCATTATTTTTACTACCAATTTATAAATGAAATGGAACTGATGATCAGATTCTATCCCAGCAAAAATAAATTTAAAGAAATCGATAAGAATAAGGCAAAGAGAAAAAAGATGCACCCTAAAAACGACTGAATCATGGCAAAATTTATTCTGTATTCATTTATGACTATCGACAATAACGATTCTTTACAATGATAAGAAAAGAATGAAAAAAATCGCTTTTATTCCGCATATGTTAGATAACATACAGCTGAAGATTGTTTTTTTTTTGTTTCTAGAATACAGAGGAAAGAAATACTCACTAGTTTTGTATCTTTTAAATGCAATTACTTCATCTATTATTCGTATTTCTAAATATTGAAGCAGTTTTTAGTTTAATTAATTTCGATTTAACTCATAGTATAAAGTCAACGAATCCAATTTTTCCTGGTTTAACGCCTTTTAATTTTACACAAACTTACACAAGTTGGGGACTAGACGGTGACACAAATGAATCCTATTTTAAAGCATTGAATACATTTATTACAGGCGAACATTTCGGTACTCATATTGATGCGCCGTATCATGGATCGAATGCATCGTGGTCGGTCGAACAAATTCCATTCGAACGTTTAGTATCGATTCAAGCGTTGATTGTTGATGTATCGAAAAAAAGCTTGAGAAAACGAAATTATGAAATACAAATTGAAGATCTTAATGAAGACGCTATGCAACAAGCAAATGGATTTTATGTTTTATTATTTTACACAGGCAAATCAAAATTTTGGCCAGATCAAATAACATACGCCGGTGGTGAACTGAGAGAAGAACTTGAATTTCCTGGTCTTAGCGTTCAATTAGCTTCCTATTTAGTTAATAAATATTCCGATAAACTTGTTGGAGTCGGAATCGATACTTTATCAAGTAAATAGTTTTAAATTACTTTTCTCATGGTGTTATTATGATATTAATTTTAGTCGATCCTGGTTCATCGAAAGATTTTCGTGCACATCGAATTTTATTCAAAGAAAATATTTACGTTTTAGAAAATGTTGCTGAACTTCAGCGTGTTCTAACATATCTATCAAATCGACGTGAAACATTGTTTTCATTCGATGTTCTACCGATGAAAATCGAGGGTGGCACTGGTGCACCATGTCGTATTGTAGCGCGATTAGAAAATTTCGATGATGCTGGTGGTGAATGGTTTTGTTTTCTTATTTTTTGTCTTCTCCTTATGCTTATCGGTATAGCAGCAAAAGTAATTTATGATTTCAAATTTCATCCAGATAAAAATTTTTCATAATTCTTCTCTCTCGTGTTCATTTCGTTTTTTAATAGAATAGATATAAATAAGACGCCTGGATTAGCCATAAAAAATCAGATCTAGTCAATACAAAAAGAAAAAAAACAAACTAAAACAACAATCATGGGTCAAAGGGTTATAGAAAAAAAAAGAAGACTTGTTTTTGTTTCGTTTATTTTTCGCACCACTGTATGAGATAATGACTAGCGATCGAAGTTATGTTCCAGTTGATAATGCTCCTGATCCAATACCATAACCAACACCTTTTGGACCAAACAGTCGTTGATAGCAATCTAATAAACAAAATTTTTAACCCATGCTGAACAATATGTATTATTCTTGTGAAACTTTTCGGTTAACGACTTGATATAATTTATGCCTTAGAGTCTATTCTGGATCTTTCAAATATTTCAAGAAAATGATTCATTAGTTTCTCTTAATTAATAGTCAATTTGAAGCTTAGGTATTGTTACATATGTTCGTGTTAAAAAAAGTAATTTAGAAAAATAATCCCGTGCAACTCAATTGAAAATTTATGTCAAATTTTTCCTTGAATTAATTCAGATTAAAGGAAATAAATAGTCTTACTATTATCATAGAGTTCTCCTTCATGTTCTGAATATCGGCCACCATTGATACTTTTTTTACAATGAGCACATGTATAACATCGTTTATGAAATGACTAAAACCAAGATGAAATCGATTATTATACAAGCGTCAATTCGACGTGTCTTACTTTTCCAGCAGCTTTAACTTCTTCAGCTGAATAAACACTTTTTGAACAACGTGGACAAATATTTCCCGATATAGACATCATTTTAAAAGCTGCTCCATTCGTCAAACTGGTCGTTGATTGACGTTGAACATTTGATACTGTTTGTCTTGTAGTCACACCACCCATAAAGGTGACGCTGTTCATGAGAGGATTACTATGACGTGACTGATCATCGGATGATACTCGAGATAATGGCAAATATGATGATGTTTCTTGTTGAGAATTATCATTCTTAGTATTTACTAATTCATCACTTGGTTTTGATTCTAATTGATTGAATATATTTGGACTACTAGGTGGTGTTTCGAGATTAATTGAAGATGTTGTTCCAAGGCCACGTCCAACTAAAATTTAGCGTATGGGTAAGTCAATAATAGGAAAAAATACAAACCCCCGTGTGGACCAAATTGACGACGATAACATCCGACGCAATAGATTTTTTTATCATGTTCATTTATATTCCCAGAATTGAGTAAGGCATTGCATGAAACTAGACGATAGACCATAGGAACAATCGAAATAGTATACACTATGAAAACTTACTGCATTTAAGACAAAGTTTATGATATTTTTGTCCAGCTCCAATAACTTCTTCAGCTGGAAAAACAGCTTTATTACAAAGTGCACATAAAGGTGCTGTAATTGTAGACCGCCATTGTGCGGGTTTATAAGGACTTGGTTCGTCCCAAATTGAAGATTGATAGCCATTTTTATTTGTTGTCATATTCTATAATGTCGAATTAATAGCTTTTGTAAAAAAAATACGTAGAAATATAACACCAAAAAATAACACGATTAAAAATTACGTAGTTTTCTTTTTTGTATCTCAAGAAGAAAAATAAGAAAATACGCGTCGTGTAGGATAATGTTAACTGTAAAGGTTATTTAAGCAAAAAAAGAATAAAAAACATAAATGTACTATCGTGATTATAAGCGTTTTTTTTCTCTGGCTCTGCTCAAATTGACGACTTTTTTCTTCACTGTTCTTGAACGATTTTAGTAGAGGAAAGAAGAACTAGAGAATCAGTTACTGGAAATCAACATCTAAACTTAAACACTAGTCTCATAGAAAAAAAAAATCTTACTGGTGATGGAGATGAACTTAGAAACGAAAATATTACAAATAAAAATGATAATTTAGCAAATAACAATTATCTATCTTACGTGGCTCAACAACATCTGAAATGTACGTGAAAAACGTGGTGATAGTAACGAAGATGTACGGTTTCGTTTCTTTTTCAGATTCAACTTGTCGCTGCATGACTTAACTACTATGTATATATCGATCTAGCTAATCGCGTTTTCTTATTCCAAGTTCATCACCGCGTGGCCTTACACATTATATTTCTGTCACTTGTCGTAACTACAGTATGAGAAAGAAAGGAAAGAGAAAAAGAAAAAAAAAACATAACAGTTCATTTACTCGATTCTTTTGATCTTCAACTGGACATGTCTTTGTTTTGTAAATTTGACTTCTTACTATAACCTTTATTCATTCTTCTGATTATCTCTCTTAAATGTAAAATCTCATGTAGACAATTTGTTTTTTTTTCTCGCTCTTTTAAAGTATAAGACAAAGAAATTACAAATCTAAAACCTATGAAAATTCGATTTTATCGTTGCAATTATCAAAACCAATCGAATATTTCTATGGAATTTATTCATTTCGAACGCATTTATAGATTCTATTGAAATTTTGGATTGCTTCTAGGCAATCACTGAATTCGGTAAATAGAAGAAAACCTATCGATACGACTCTAAAGCATACACGCATGGTAAACATATGTTCTATATGTAAAGTGATGGTATTTTTCTACATGCTTACTTTTCATGGTTTTCACTGCTCGTAAACAGGTTATAAATCTGGGGAAAACTAAAAAAAGTTAGAATAGCAAAACAGTCAGAAGATCAAAGTTTTTGAATTTGTCATAAGAGACGTGCCAAAACTATAAATCGACTCGTTAAAACAAGACTTATACTTTTATTACATTTAGTCTCTCGAAAATATACCGACAGAATTACACTCATTCCTATTGTTTCTTGACTGCTCATGTCGGGAAAAAAAAGTCTTTTCAACACGCACATAATCCTATCCTACTATTGTTTTGATAGGCAATAAACTATGTCTATGAATTATGCTTTTTTTCTCTTCTTCTTCTATAAATTGAATTCAATTTATTTCATAACACGTTCTGATTAAAAATCGATAATTGTTCGTCTGGGCTCCATTTAAAAAAACATCATAATTACCTTGTCACGAGTGTTTTCAATAAGAAAAAAAACTCACAGATTTGCAACGCAAAAAATAATCCCGAGCTGTTTTTGTTAAAAGCAAACAGAACTGCTAGCATGCTGTATATTTGACAGAGGCATGTAGGTGCACTTGTGTGTACACCTTTAACAGCTACGATTTGTTGTCATTTAGCTGTCAGAATGAAAAAAACTGAAGACTAATATTTACTAAAACTCAATTTCATATGACTCCACTGAATTGTAATCAATGAAAAGATTCGTGCCAAGAAGAATGAAAACAATTTACTAGTACATAAGTATTGAAATGATGATTATTAATTGTGGTTTCTATGCTTGACGATACGATTATTGCTGATTTAATATCATCGAACGAGATCATCTTTGTTTTGATCGAATCGATTATTGATGATCCATTGAGAGAAAAAAAATACTAATATTTTCCCGCTACATAATTTTATTCAGATACAAGTTCCTGTATGAATATCCGTCTATTTAAAAACTAACTTACTGCTCTAGTTCATGTTTAAATAGATTAAATTTATTATGTTAGATCAGTAACGATCGATTGATGGCAAATAGGATATTCTCTCGTGTAGAACAAATGTGGATTACGCAGTCGATACAATTATACAAGCATGATAAATAAAAAATTGATAGTGAGAATAAGTAGTTCGCTTTCCAATCGAATGATTGACTTTGATAATTTAATTGAACCATTGATAAAGTTCCCGAAGGCATCATATCTATTACCGAATATGACATTTTGTACGTCAAGCATAATTGGCACCAATGAGATGTTATTTTTGAGTATAAATCGTGCATGACAAATACTTTGAAATGAATGCTATTTTAAGGATTAGCAAGTACTTTCAATCATTATTCTTGAAAAAGTATTATTTTCACACTTATTGCCGGATGCCAGATTATGCGACCATATTGGCTATAACGTCTATTTATGTTAGCCATCTATAAAACCATGTTCATGTGTTTGATACACTTCTAGAGATTAACTAAGATTTAGAATTCAATTAAAATTATGTGGGTTATTGCAATCTACAAGTACTCTAGAAGTAAGTATGTGCTTGTACAACACATTGTTTCTTTTACAATGGTTTGAACCTAAAGCAACGAGTCGTTTATGTATGCTGAGAACTTCTTTTCAAACACATTGATAAATTCTATTTAGATAAAATAGTTATAAAATAATATATTTATGATATTTAACAAACCTACTGTTTTACGAGTGTCCATTTATAGTAGGAATGATCTTGAGAGTAGACTTTGTTTCTCGGCTAAAGTTTTTATATTAGTTTTCTAGCAGAGAGCACGGAAAATATGGAGTGCTCTTTAAATTGATAACTCAACAGACGTCAGCAGTTCAGTAAGTCATCGTATACTAGAAATTGTAGTTCTCAGAATAAATTCATAAGTCACATTAACATTTCTAATTCCCAGAAAATATAGATGTTATCTTTTTTTAAATAGAATGATAGAGAATCTAATGTTTTAAAAGTCTCTTTTTACATTTCATTTCTACCATGTATTCCTTCGAAAAAATGTTGTATCATAGGATAAATGTAGAGTTTTTAAGTATGATTTTTCGATAGCGCATGCACAACTAATCGCAAGTGTTAGTCTCAAGCTTGTTTTCGCTAGCGAGCAGTATCATGAGCATTGAAAAGGGTCATAGATCCAAAATTTTACACGCAAAAAATAAAATTTACTTGCCAACATCACTCATAATTAACAATTTTTCAGATCAAGACATTCTTTATCCTTCTGTATAAATATTACATGTGTTGAGGAAGGTCATTATAATTGGATTGTTTTGCATAAAAGAAAAGTTTTTTTTTGACGAAGAGGAAAAGAGAGGAAATACTCCAAGATCTAGTGTAACTTATGCTGAAATACTCAGTGCGTTCTTTTGTAATGTAAGCAATTGTTTGATATATAAATATGAAGGTAGGCATTTTTTTCATGGAATATAAGGTTCGCGCAAGGCAAACTTCGAGTAAAATTTTTAATTTTCGTCTTTTATACCTCACCTGATAGAGAATTTTAGGCCATCACGAAAACATGTTTTTTAAGTTATTTCTATGCTTTTTTTCAGTTGGAGAATCGAAAAAAGTCGTCAGACTGAATCAAAAATATCTTAAAACTTGCTTTTCACCTAAAGCGTTCCCCGCAAGGGGGGAAAAGCGGCTCCTAGCGGCTCCTGATGGATTCTAGAATCCACCAGGATCCAGGCGCCGCTCCCCCCCCCCACATTGGTTGCCCGTCATGGTTTATACAAGCGCGATTTTCAAAGTCCAAAAACTAATTTTTAATAGCCTTTAAAAACGTTTTCCTCAGGTGTTAAAATCGATTTCTTTGCGTGGTTCAAATCGTCAGATGCTTCTTTTCAAAAGTATCCGAGTAATTTTTCGAAATTGCTTTTCTTCGTTGAGAAAATCGGATTTTACCTAGGACTACGCGGAAACCTAAAAATCCGTTTTCAGGTTTTCTGGAAGTTCCTCAATAATACAATCAAGACAACATCCAGTAGGCTAGAAACGATGGGGAATTCGATGGGGGCACTGCCTAGATCGTCAGATGGTTTCTAGAGAGTCTACAAAAGGCTTTTGAGGGATTTTCATGCGTCCACATGGGAGAAATGACATATGAGTGCGATTTTTTTATGTGAGGTTTGCTACTGTTAGGAAAATTAGAAGCTTTTTTTAAATTTTCTTCTCTGTATGAGTGCTGCCACAACTAAATGAACATTTAAGGGGTTTGAATGTGCCTGTGGCTATTGGTGTAAGTATAGATATAGACTGTTTAAATTCACACTCATACCTATACCCTCGAAGTTCGCCTTGCGCGAACCTTATTGAGATAAATTTTAGCTTAACGATTGCTGATCATCCATAAAATCTTGTTACCACAGATTTTCTATGATTTCGGGACGAAAAAAATAGTTTTTTTTAGAATTGATTCATGTGAAAGGATGACATTTTGATAAATGATAATCATTGCTAGGTTATTTAATGTACTCTATAATAACTATGCTGATTTGAATCAAATCAATACGAATAGTTCTTAACATGTAAAAGAAATATACAACGTTATGACTAGGGGTGGACCATCTTTTTAGCAGAACTTAATTCATGACATTAATTAATGATTTCCATTAACCATTAATATTAATGGTTAATGAGAAACATTAACATTAATATTAAATTAATGTTAATGGCCCACCCCTAGTTATGACTAAGACTTAGAGTAAAAACTAATACTCCGCAAAGTTTCATTCGAAGCATGTAATCATATTCCCAGTTCACAGTGGGCATACATGGTATTAATTATAATCCACTTCTGTCAGTTCTTCGAAATCCAAGCAAAAACTTGACGATTAAGCATTTATATAAGCGTACGCGATGCAAATTATTATTATGGCAATATCATTAATTTACATGAGGAAACTATTTCTATTTAAGTTCTTACATATGCATCATAGGATGTTACCTGTGAGCACACCCATATCGAAGATAATTGATAACAGAAAGTAATATAGCGACATCTATCATGATATATAGTACCAAAAGTAAATAACATAGAATTTTTCAATTTTAGATATTTTAATTTGGTGAAATTTTGCAATTGAAAAGTCTAGTATGAATAAAGTAAACGTAGAGGAAAAGAAAATAATTCTATTGGTTCTTATGCTAGACAGGGCCACTTTGACCAGTCGGAAAAAACAGCCTCTTTTCTTCTTCTTGTTCTCCATTCTCATTACATTTATATTGAATTTTTTGAAAAATAAATGCATGAATGAATTCTTTTAATACGAAAATACTCTTCAATTGACGCTAGTTATATTTAGAGGATGATATTTAAATCAATACGAATATTTATTTTTCTACTCATGACGACAACTATCGTCATTAGTGAAGTAAATGTTACTAATCAAATAGTTGATATTGATGATAATACTCCACTCAACAAGAGTATTACATGTTTGTGCACTAAAGATGAACAATGTGATGCGAATTCTGCAACATGCCAACTAACACATCAACATCATTCATGCTATGAAAGTTGGACGTTAGAACCCGATGATGGTCAAATACATGTTACTGCTGGGTATGTCATTTTTGTTATTTTAAATAAAAATATTTTTATTTCAATACGTATACTGTATCTATAGATGTATAGTTAATGAATATTTCTTTATGCGAATGCTATGCAGTAGTAATAGTACATCTCGTTATATTGTTTGTTGTGCCCAACGTGATTATTGTAATGATCTTGATGCTTACTCAACAGAAATTCGCCATGCCTTAATAAATCCTCTAAACGCGTCAGGTAGATCTACGCCTAAATAGATTTCAGGGAAAAATTTATTAAAATGTGAATATTAAAATAGGTGATCCAGTTCATCATCAACCTAATGGTAGTTGGTTTATCTTAATATTAATAATAGCTATTTCAATTGCTGTTGTTGTTGTCTTATTATTAACTGGATGTCTAATTATGTATTTAAGACATAGAACTATAGAGAATAGAAAAGCCGATTATTCGAAAGGTATTTCATATGTTGACGATCATCAAAGAAAAACTATCATTCAACGTTTATTGAAATTCGTTCACCGTGGAAAACATTCGCAACGAAATGGAGATGAACCTATATCCACTGATCAATCATTAACTGCACTCCTTGATGAATTCTCTACTAGTACAGTCGGGCCAGGTAATTAAATATGGATTTATTATGATTTTTAGAAAATTGTTTGTTTGTTTCTAGCGCTTCCTTTATTAATGCAACGTACGCTTGCGCGACAAATAACCTTGGAAGAACTGATTGGCTCGGGTCGTTATGGAAGTGTTCATCGAGGCAAATGGCGTGAAGATCATGTTGCTGTTAAAATCTTTTCTGCGAACGATGAACGTTCATGGCTTCGAGAAATCGATATCTATCAAACTGTTTGTTTAAGACATGAAAATATTCTTGGATATATCGCAGCCGATAACAAGGTAGATAGAGATTCGATATCGAACCAATAGATAGAAAAAACTTTCATTATTAAGGATGCATCGACATATACGCAACTTTGGCTTGTCACTGAGTATCACGAAAATGGCTCTGCTTATGATTACTTAATGAATCATACAATAACAGTTCCAATCTTAATTAAAATGATGTTAAGCATTGCCAGCGGTCTTTGTCATTTACATATGCCGATTGATTCAACCAATGGTATAGAGAGAGAGAGAGAGAGAGAGAGAAAAGCGGTCTTAAATGCTGATATTAAATTCGTGCGGTTTTGTTTTTAGGCAAAGTGGCACTTGCTCATCGTGATTTGAAAACAAAGAATATTCTAGTGAAAAAAGATCTATCTTGTTGCATAGCAGATTTAGGGCTTGCTGTAAAAGAAGTTCGTACACGACCTAAATCACGAAAAGATCCAACAGCTGCAAATGTATCTTATCAAGAACAAGTTAACATTGACATTCAACCAAATAGTCGTGTTGGCACATACCGTAAATCAAGCTTTGATTGGAAATCGACATATTTTGTTGTTATTTTGAATTTTTTTTTCGTTTCAGGTTATATGGCACCTGAAGTGTTGGATGATACGTTAAATCAACGTAGTTTTGAATCATTTAAAGCTGCAGATATTTATGCATTGGGTCTTGTTTATTGGGAATTATTAAGAAGATGTCAAACGAGTCCGAACGGTAAATAAAAACTTTTTTCTTTTTTTTGCAATTCTTATTGGAATTTCGTTTTTCTGTAGTAAATGATGCTGATCCCTATCAATTACCTTACGAAGATATATATCCAAGTAGTCCAACAATTGAACAAATGTGTGAAGCAGTCTGTACGAAAAAGATTCGACCAGCTATATCTGAACGATGGTTAACAAATCCAGTAATTTAAAAACAGAAAAAAAAATTTGCTTTTGAATAAATATCTTTTTTTCTAAGATTCTTTGCCATGCTGTTCGTTTGTGTGAAGAACTATGGATTGCAGATCCAGCATGTCGTCTTGGTAGTCTTAATATCAAAAAACAACTTAAAAATCAAATGGAATTAGTAGAGAATAGTTCATCATATGTGAATGTTGAATCGCAACAACAACTAACACCCAATGATGGACCTTGGACTGCATAGATATTATACAGAAATATCTTTTCATATGTAGATAGTTTGCTCGCTTTTTGTTTTTTTCTTTTTCTCATCTTAAATTTATGTTGTTTTTCTTTTTTCACTAGTTCTTTGAACAGTTCATATACTGTTTTCTTTTTTGCCATTTTTCATATGTACGTCCGTTTTGTCTTACGAACTCTGTACAGTTGTGTTATAAACTAATAGAAGAAAGAAAACAAAAATACAAAGAATTAACTGTCAGATGTCCATTTATTGATTACCGAAAATTAAGATTTGGAAACGAAAAATATCATTTATTTCTTTCTCTCTCTCGCGCGCGCTCTCTTGTTTTTGTTTCAAACGTCTTCGGTATCTACGTGTACGTGCGTCTATTGTATTCATTTTATTCATGAGAAAAAAATCAACAAATATAGCAATGATATCGTTGTGCGAATTTATAACGAATAAAATTTATTTCTTATTCGTATAATTATATTTGTTTCAGTATATACTTTTTCTGATTTGACTTGAAACTATGGCAACATCACAAGGACCAACATCTACAGGCGATAGCATTAGCTTATCAACGACACCAGCAACAGTTAGTGCGCCACCAACAGTCACTCCGTCGGTTACTGTTGTTCAATTGTTACCATTGGAACTTGTTGATAAATGTATTGGATCAAGAATTCATGTTATTATGAAATCCGATAAAGAAATCGTCGGAACATTACTTGGTTTTGATGATTATGTGAACATGGTACTTGAGGATGTAAGTTTATTATTATGTTAAACATGATTTGTAGACATTCCAATCTGATAAGGATTGAACTTTTTCTGTTTGAAAATACATCAATTTGTTTAAATCGCAATCGAAATACTTTATTCAGTTGTAAATAATCACATGACGGCGTTATTGTTCTTTTACCGCGCATTTTTTTTGCATAATTTAATATTTATATACGACTCGTCATCAGACAAAACAAGGGTAGGAAGGACAAATATGAAATCCGATTCTATATGACTGTTAGATTTAAGAAGGAAATTAAGCTTTCTATTGAATATGATGATCATGATATTTTTTTGTTTTATTCAGGTGACCGAATTTGAAACGTTACCGGATGGTGGTAGTCGTATAACAAAACTCGATCAAATACTATTGAATGGCAATCATGTTGCTATGCTTGTACCCGGTGGTGAAGGACCAAGTACAACCGGTGGAGCAGTATAAACAATATAAGAATATTTGTTGTTCTAGTAAAAACTTTCTTTGTTATAAAAATGTTTTTTCCACTTTCACACACAGAAAAAAAAGGTCTTGAAATGAAAAACCAAAATCGATCAGATATTTTCGGCAGAAAACAAAAGTCTTAAAATCAATTTTGTTCTTTTCATTTTAGATAGAAATCCATACATTTATTTTTTATCTATTCACTAAATGGATAGTACGTAATTTCAAAAGCAAAAAATAGATTATAATGCATTTTTCATCTTCATCCACCACATCACCATCGTCTCAAAATCAAATATCAAATACAACAAATTCAAATAATAATGTTTTATTTGTTCCATCCAATACATCAAAAATGTCATTTATAATTCCAAATAATAATAATAATTCTAGTCAACAGCAAATTGTTTCATCATCCAATATACTCTCAGCAACATCGAATAGTGGTATGACAGCATCTATAAATTTAAATGGCATTAATACTCAAACGAATTCAACTGCAAATATATCGTTATCATCGTCTGGTCAAACATCTCAAACGCGTTCACCATTTCTTCAACGACCAGCAACAGATCAACAACAACAACAACAACAACGTACAACACCATCGCAATCTTCTCAACAGATTCCACAAGAAGAATTCATGAAAATTCTTCGTGTACTTCAAGATAATAATATGACTGAATCGATTGAAACTCTAAAAAAAGAATATCAATCATTATTTAACAAGACAACATCTTCCATTAGTGAACCTTATTTTAATGCACTTGATGGTTACATAGCCTATGTACAAGAACAACCGGATTCGAGTCGACATGAATTTGCTCAATTAATCTATCCACTATTTGTTCATATGTATTTAGATTTAGTCGAGAAAGATCATCTTGAAGAAGCTCAACGATTTTTTATGACCTATGTTAAAAATACACTTTTACAAGCAACAGTTTTTGCTTCACATAAAGATGATCTTTTCCGTATTAAATCATTAGTTTCCAAAGAACAAATAGCACAAAGTGAATATGTAAAATCATTTCGTCATAATGGACGTTATTGGATTAAATTATGTAATGCATCACTTGAATTACTCGATCAATTTTTAATTAAACAACAAAAATATCCTTTATTAACGAAAATTGTTCAAGCTTATTTTCAAGTAAAAGAAAAAAACCAATTAAAACTTTTCTTTTTATGAAATGATTACATTCATTTTAGCTTGAAATTAATGATGGTAGTGCACGTAATGCTGAAACTCAACGTTTACTGAGTGGTGGTCGTCTTGGTGAAATCAAAACTGAAGATAATACAAATCGAATGTATTTTGGTTTACTGCGAGATCATGATCTGACGCGGATACTACAACATAAATCAATTCTTGCGTCATCAGCGGGTGGCGATAATGAAGATGGTGCTGGTGATGATCAACCATCAACATCGAAAAATCGAAAAAAACTTAAAAAAGATTTTTTCAATCAACGACAAAGTAAAGCTTCATTAAAAGTTGATCCAAATGCGCCACAACTCACAAGAATACCTATTCCAGAACTGAGAGAACACGAACGAATGGATTTAATTAATACATTTCAAGGTAAGATTAGTACTATAAGAGCATAAAATTATGTTTAATTCTCGTCTGTGTATTGTAGAAGACTACTCACGAATGTTAAAAATAACACCTGATAATTTACCATCTTGTTGCTATTATACTTTGTTAAATGGTTATTTGGAAATCAATTGCCTTGGTAAGTTAATTCATAGAAAAAGAAAAGAAAATTGCCACAAAAAATAATATTTTAAGAAATATCCGAAGATTCAACACTACTTGCTGTTGGTGGTAAAAATTCCATTATTTATGTATATTCATTAAATCGTCAAAAATTATCAACCATGAAACTTCCACATGAACTCGAAAGATTAGATAAATCAAATGAACATGTATATGAACAAATGATGACTAATGATGATGATAATAATAATAATAAAGATGACCCAAGCAATAATGATTCGGATATACTTCATAATCAACGTATTCTATGTGGTCACACAGGGCCGATCTATGGCTTATCGATGTCACGTGAGAAATGGTTTCTACTTTCATGCTCAGAAGATTGTACTATTCGTCTATGGAGTTTATTAACATGGACATGCTTAATTACGTTTCGTGGTCATACTCAACCTGTATTCGATGTTCAATTTGGTCCGTTCGGACATTATTTTGCTTCATGTTCACTTGATAAAACAGCACGTTTATGGTGTATTGAACATGCACAAACATTAAGAATATTTACTGATGGTTGCAATGATATGGAAGCATTATGTTTCCATCCGAATTCAAATTATATCGCGACATCATCAGCAGATCGTATTTTAAAAATATGGGATTTATTAGAATCTAAAGAAGGACAACAATTGAAACCCATAAGACAAATGTCTGGGCATAAATTAAATGTTTGTATATTAAAATTTTCAAAAGATGGTAAATATTTAATATCAGCTGGATACGATCGACAAATAATGATATGGGATTGTAGTAATGGCTCTTTGGTTACATGTTTGCTCGGTCATTCGGATGCTGTTTTTTCTATGGATCTATCTCGTGATGGTTCAATTCTTTGTACCGGAAGTGTTGATTTCTCCATGAGAATTTGGAATTTCGGACAATTAATTAAAGATAAAGACGATGGAAAATTAGATACTGTTCAACGTATTACACCAACATCAAAATATGAACTTGTTACCTATCGTACAAAACGAACATCTACTACGTTAATACATTTTACTCGTCGTAATTTATTACTCGGTTTTGGTGTATTCATACCACCAAACGAAACAATAACAACAACAACAACAGCAGCAGCAGCAGCAGCAGCAGCAGCAGCAACAACAACAACTAAAGCAAAAAATTGATTCTATTTGTGATAAATATTCGACTTTTCTCTTTGTATATTCAATGTGATAATATAAAACGAGAGCTAGATCAATTACAGTGAAAATAGAAGCGAAATCATCCGAATAGAAATCACTTGAACATATGTCTCTCTCATACAACACATTGTATATAGAAAAAAAAAAGTTTGTTTGTTTTTATAAAACAGTATATGTTATTTCTCTTGTGTTTCTTTATTCTTGTTCGTATGTGTTGGTACTTTAAATTTCTCCGTAAGATGTATATATATATATGAAAACAGACATGCATTGAGAGAGAAGAAAAACAGAAAAAAAAACGAAATGTTAGTCCAGAAAATTTCTTTGTCCTTTCTTTTATATATTTACTAAAGAATCAAGAATGAGCGATAAAAATATCTTTTTTCTTTTTGTTTGTTTATTTGTATTTTAAGATTATGCCACCAAAACGTACAGCAGGCAATGCCGCTTCCGGTGGTCGAAAGAAAGGCGGTGCGGCTTCTTTATATGAAATGGCTGAACCATTTGCAAATGGTACTATTCTAACAGATCTTTGTCATAAAACATGGTCAATTGGTAATACAATTGGACAAGGTGGTTTCGGTTGTATCTATGAATGTCGTAGTACATCAGCAAAAACGCCAATTTATGTTGTTAAAGTCGAACCTGATTCCAATGGACCACTTTTTTGTGAAATGCATTTCTATTTGCAATTAGGAAAAAAAACTTTACAAGATACATTTATTAAAGCCAATCAACTTGATCATTTAGGTGTACCACAATTAGTTGCACACGGCATGCACGTTAGTCCAACATCAAAACGTCGTTATCGATTTCTAATCATTCCATTTTATAAGCAAACACTTGCTGCTGAATTACATTTATCGAATAATAATATTGGCCATTGTCTCGATGAGAAACGTGTACAATCCATCGGCAAACAAATACTTGATACATTTGAATATATGCATTCCCACGGTTATGTACATGCTGATATTAAAGCTGAAAATATTCTTATGAACGATTCTGTACATATTTATTTACTTGATTATGGCCTCAGTCGAAAAGCTTCATTACAATATGAAGAAAAAATTCAGCGACGACACGAAGGCACCCTAGAATTTACGTCCATCGATGTTCATCGTGGTGCTATACCATCGTTTCGAGGTGATTTGGAAATTCTCTTTTATAATATGTTGCATTGGCTCGGTGCACGTTTACCATGGATAACAATTACGGATGGTGCACGCGTTCAACAAGCTAAAATGACAGCACGTAGTGATCCATCGGGTTTTGTTCGAAGTATATTCGCAAATAAGAATTCAATTTCATCGAAAATGCTTGATGCTTTAACACAATTTTTTCGAGAAATTATAGAAATGAATTATACTGATAAAGGTGATTATCAACGTTTAAGAGAAATAATTGCATGTAAATCTCGTCAACGACGTTCATCAATTGGTGCAGTTTCATCACGAAAACCAATTATTAATTTAGTAAAACATGACGACGAAGAAGAAGATGACGAAAAACCTCAAGTACCCAAGAAAAGAAATTCACCACGTCGTCCAGCGACAGCAGCAGCAGCAGCAGCAGCAGCAGCAACAACAACAACAACAACAGTAACAACAAATCGCGCACGAAGTGCTTCACGTGATCGTGATCGAAGAAAAAGTCGAAATGCAACACGTTCACCATCGCCACCCATTCAAATGCTTTCTGCGCGTAAGCGTGCTCGTTCCAAAAAAACAGACAGAAATTCGAAAAGAAAAATTTTCAAACGATAGTTCTTTTTTTAACCACACTTTTGAATAAATATATTTAATTTTGAGATAAAACATTCAGTGCAACAAACATACCCTCAGAAGAGCATCACACTATTCTCTACACATTTTGTATTTTTAGGCACGCCAACATTAAATATGCTTAGCAATCTTTCAAATCATTCAAAAAACAAAATTTCCCATCATGATATTGAAGATGATGAAAATGATATTGACATGAATGTAATTCTCAATCCAGCATTAAGTTCCACACGTATCGAACGGCCACGTCGAGTACATGCACCTATACCAACACAACCGCCTAAAGTAACAAATGATTATTACAATAAAGCATTCAATCTGAAGACTGAAGATACAGTTGCTAAGAAACAACCGATTCCACCAAACCAAAATTCAAAAGATGAAAGAGAACATTCAGATATTATTTCAAAAGTACTTGCTGGTATACCATTATCAGATAGTGAAATTCGCCGAGTTATTCATCGACCTAAATAAAATATTGTATAGGCTGTAAAAAAAACAAAAAATTGTATAGTATTATTTTTGTCTCTCTATTATACTCAGGAATGTTGTGAAGCTTAGAACGTCATGAACAAAAACAAAATTATATATATCATAAAATAAACTTGAATGAATGTATTCTATTTCTTATTGTATTTTGATTGATAAATAAAAAAAAATGAATGTAATCTTATAGATAGTAAACGGAATTTTTAGCATGAGTAAAGTGCCGACCAGCCGTTTACCAGTAACACCAAAACCTGCAAATACTGCAAAATCTGGTCTTCGTCCTCCTCAACAACCATCGACAACTGTAATATCATCACAACAAGCAAGTCCAACTGGAGGAGATTCATCAAATAGTCAATATACTGTTGGTGATCGAATTACGACAAATGGTAAACCAGGAACCATAGCATTTATTGGTCCAACTAAATTTGCTGATGGTATGATTATTTCTAGAAATAATGCTTCGTGTTTTTTCTACTAAAACATAATTTAGGTGAATGGATCGGAATTATTCTTGATGATGTTCAAGGCAAGAATGGTGAGAAAATTTGAAAATTCGATTCATATTCTGTATATTCCTTTTTTTGTTAAGACGGCTCATACGAAGGAACTCGCTATTTTGAAACTGAAGTCAATCGCGGTTTATTCTGTCGATCAACTAAAATACAACGTCTTACTCCAAATGGTGCTAATAGTAGTAATGATATACCTGCTCCAGTAAAAGCTCAAAAAACTCCATCCAATAATACTTCAACGTCTAATTTAGATAAAGGTACTCTACAAAAAAATAATTTTCTAAAAATAATCTGCTTCTTTCTAGGAGAAGATGCTGATACAACATTAATAAATACAACATTAGCAGCTGATACTAGTACCAATACTAACGATCAAACTATATTAGCTGAACCACCACCACCGCCACCAGTAGCATCGTCTCCAGAACTTCGCGTCGGTGATCGAGTCGTTGTTAGTGGAAGTAAATTCGGTGTCCTGAAATATCTTGGTAAAATTCATGTTGCTGAAGGTGTTTGGTGTGGTATTCAACTTGATGAAGCAATGGGTAAAAATGATGGTAGTGTTAGTGGAAAACGCTATTTTACATGTCAACAACGTTATGGACTTTTTTCACCATTGGCGCGTGTTGAAAAAGTAGCCAGTGAAATGACACAATCTCAAATTAATTTACGGAAAGCCTCCGTATCTTCAAGTACGAATAATAATCGTCAATTACAACGCTCAACAAGTCAAGAATCGCTTCATTCTAATCTATCTGAATTTTCGACATCATCCAATAGTATTAGTCGTATACCAACGCGTACACCAGCTAAATCTCAACAACAAAAATTACCAACAAATTCAAATATTTATACCACACCCAATACAAAATCGTTATTAACACAAGCAGCTGCCACGCTAGCTGCCGTAACACCATCGTCAAATCAAATGTCAAGTTTAGTACAAACAATAAAAGAAAAAGATATATTCATTGAGAAATTGCAATCACAACGTGAACAAGATCGTTTAGAATTTTCTCGTGCAGCACAACAAGTGGATGAAATGGAAAGTCGTTTATTGGCATTTAAACAACAATATGATGTTAAAATAGTAGAAAATGAAGAATTAAAAAAAGAGCAATATCAAATCAATCGACATGTAGAAGATTTAGAGTTTCAATTAGAAGAATATAAATTAAACGATGTTAATAAAGATAATTCAACGACATCAGCAATACCTGAAGGTTATCGTTTATTATCACCCAATGATAATGATATTTATGAAAAAATTAAAGAAAAACATGTTGAACTTGAAGCAACGAATCAAAAATTAATTCTTGAAAAGCAAACTCTACTCGATGAACATCGTCAAGAATTAAAACGACAACAGGAATCATCGGAAAATGATTATAAAACTCGTCTAAATGAATTGGAAAAAAAATATTATAATGATTTAACAATTAGTCAAACAAATAATACGGAAACAATCGTAGCTGAATATGAATTAAAATTAAATAATAAAGATAAACAATTTCATGATTTAACTGAACAACTTAAAAAGCAAATAATCGATCTACAAAATCAAGGTATTGCATCGTCTGAAAAAGAAACTCTCTATGAACAACAACTCAAAGAGCAACAAGCAAAAATTGAACAATCTATCAACGAAATACAAGAGGTTAGATTCAGGCGCAAAATCGTAGACCTTAACATAAGTGGATGCCTTTTTATTGTTTAGATTCAATCTCAACTATCAACATTACAGCAAGAAAAAGAATTAAATGCAAAGCAAACAAATAATTTACTTGTTGAACTGAAAAACTATCAGGAAAATATTATTCCTGATTTAGAAAAACAAAATCAAAAACTACTAGCTGACTTGGAAAATCGAGGTAGGGCACAATAATTGTCTCCGTAAAACAGATTGTGATTTTTCTTTCGTCTAGTTCAAGCAACCAACTCGACACTTAGTGAGCGTGAATCTGAATATGAACAACGAATGAAACAGTATCAATCAAATATCGATGAAGTAAATCGTGAATCAGAACAACTTTGTCTCGAATTAAAACAAATTCAAGAAGAAAATAGGTCAAAAGAGAAACAAGCCAATGACTTAATCAATACATTAAAACAAGAATATGAAAAGAAATGTGAACAACTTCAGCATGAATCATCTGAACGAGGTTAGATCATCTTTTTTAGTTTCTTCATTATTTCTTAAAATTGTTGTTTTTATCCTACAGAACAAAAAGCCAATACAACTCTCAACGAACGTGAATCACATTATAAACAACAAATAAAAGACTATCAAGCTAAACTCGAACAATCAACGCATGAAATACAAGAAGAAAAAACGTCCAATGAGAAAAAATTCCACGATACTATCAATACATTAAAACAAGATTATGAACGGCAATATGAAATTCTTAAAACTGAATTAACAGAATTACAAGATCGAGATCGTACTCAAAATATGGCATTAAATGAAAGAGAAAGTCATTATGAAGTACAAATCAAAGAATATCAAACTAAGCGTGACCAAGCTATTCGTGAATCACAAGATCTTCGAACTGAATTAACTAAACTACACGATTTGGAACAACAAATTGAATCTTATAAAATACAAATAATCGAATTAGAAAATCAAAGTTTGTTTTTTTTTCTAATCTATCGATATGTAATTTTCTCGTTCTCTCCAGATCGCACAAAAACAAATGAATTTATTGAGAAAAATGAACAAATACAAAAATTGAGTGAACAAAATCAAGAGTTACATCAACAAATCGAACAAATTCAGCAAGAAACTGAACGTAAAATAAATCAATTAAAACAAGAATTCGATGAAAAATATCAAACCAATGCAGAAACACAAAGTGAATTTGTTCAACGTGTAAGACTCGCACTTCAATCCATTTTTATTGATTACTTTGTTCTTTATTTTAAGACTGAAAATTTACAAGCAATCAATGAAACATTGAAAACAGATTTTGAAGATTTACAAAATAAACATCATCACCTTCAAAATGAATATCAAAAATATTTGGCATCCAATGAACAATTGAAAAACACGAACGATAATGTGGTTAATGAAAAACAAGCATTGATCGATCAATTAACCAAACAAATCAATGATCTTCAACAAACTCAAGTTGAAATTATTGAAAAACAAATTAGTCAACATACAGATTTTGAACGTCGCCGTTCAGAAGATAGACAAAATGTTGAGAAACTATTAAAAGAAAAAATTGATGAATATGAATTCAAAATACAATCAATGAAAAGTAATTTTGCTTGACTTTATCGGAAAAGGATACATCATTATACATGTCTATGTTCTAGGTGAATTTCTTCTTGAAACTGAAAATAGTAATCTTGAACATGAACAAGAAAAACTTCGGTTAAAAAATCAACTTCAACAAGCACATCAAAGTTTGGAAAATAAAGCCACGTCAGGCTCAACTACTAATGTCAAACAAATTGAATACGAATTAACTGAAGCACAATATCAGATAGAAAAATTAAAAAAACAAATCGATGTCAATGCAAATAAAGATGATCGAGCAACATTAGAAAGTCAAATCAATTTTCTCAATGATGTTATCGTCGAGTTACGTAATACCAATGAACATTTGGCAAAAGAAATTGAATTTCTAAAAAATCCATTTGTTGATGATAATGGATTGCCTGAATCTACTGCTACTACAACAAAAACATCTGCTCCTCGACTTTACTGTAAGTTTAAGAATACAATTTTGTTTATTATTTATTTACCACTCTCTCTCTCTCTCTCTCTCTTTGTGTAGGTGACATGTGTGAAATATTCGATGAACATGATACTGATGATTGTCCAAAACAAAATTCAATGATTGACGATCATCATTCACATGAACGAGTCATACCTCCAGCAAGACTGTATTGCGAAAAATGTGAAGAATTCGGTCATGATTGTAATGAAGTCGATGAAACATATTAAAATTTTTACTTTATTTGTATTTGCATTCAATTTAAAAAAAACAGTGATCAAATATTTATCAACTATTTGAACCAATGCACTTCTTTCCTTCTGCTTTTCTCGCTCGCTCTCTCTGTTGGCCTTTACCGAACTATTCAAATGTCCGGTGCTCGATTTAACTCTCCTTTGTACATTTATTATAGAGTTCTTTCTTCTTTACATTTATTCTTCTTGTTTGCATATTATGTATTCATTTGCTAGATGATTTCAATCAAAAGGAAGTAGATAATTACGTGGGCTCATTTGTTTTTCTTTCTTTCTTATTATGACAATTTATGTGTGATGCAATATAATAAAAACAAAAAATAAATAAACTTGCACAATAGAAAATCTTTGTTGTTAATTTTTGCCAAGTGTAGGTGTCATTGTGAGTGTTTGATGAAACGAACATCGGCTGTCAAACCTCATACCTACACTCTCACACTTAAGAAGTAATGAAATTATATTAAAAACTAACAGGACACGCAAGCTCTCTCCAGTGTATCACTAAGAGAAATCGAGCGACTGCTGACTACCGTTTTAACTTTTCTACCTTTCTTCTCTTGATACTCGTATTTAATTGCGTTGGATAGTCGAAACTTTCCTTATCGCTCCATGTGCAATTCTGGATGGAGAGCAACAGTCAAAGTACAGAGCACAGAAGATAACAATACTTGAGAAAATGCGTCGTTTCAGAGAAAAATTCATACAGAATATACTCAGCCATTGATAAAAACGAAACCACCATCGAACGTTGTCGTTATATTTTGAGCGTAAGTAGGTAGTTTTTTGAGAGAAATAACAACCATTAAACTGATCAACAAATGGTTTTTTGTTTTTGTTTGAAATGACTGTGCTTGTGAAAAATCACAATCAATATGAGGGAGCGACAAGAAGAGTCTGAAATAATCATACAATTAAGGAAAATAAATAAAAAAATAAACCGATTTTTTGAGAGCAAAGTACATCTGTTAGAAACAATTGTTTTTCTATATTCCTGGAACAGAATGCATGAGCATCGACGGGGCGTGGGTGGTTCGTTGCTTATATTGCCATTAGGCCTCACATACAGACCTTGAAGAGAAACTCAATATGGTAATTTACAATTCAATAATAACAAACTTATTTATTCATTGCTTTTTATTTTACGTTGATATCGATATTATCCATATGGTAAATTACAAGATAGATATAAACAATGGGTAGATTAACTTTAAGGGGCTAAGCTATTGGATATATGTCGACTGTATGAAGCTGCATGAAATAGAATACATAGACAGTGAAAGGAAAAGGTTCATCGGTTCATGTTGTACAAGTGCAGATCGAGTGCATGGGAACTGTGAAGAAATTTCAGCTACGAAAGCATGTTTTTACGAAAAAACAAAAAGATTTCGATTTTGTTTCAAATCTCTGGCGCTTTTTTAAGTTCCATATGGAACTTTTTGTTTTACAGTGTACTTTCTACTTACTACTTATGGGCCACGGTAATAGGAATATGATACCCTTAATCAGAAGTGAGAAAGAAAAGGGAAAGGTACTTTGAGATATGATCGACAAATGAAATCTGCTGTAAACGTCCTCTCAAATCTTTACAGCAAGCACGTGCATACCACTCGATCATAACCATCGCTTATCCGAACAATTCAGAATGCTGATCGGCTAAAGGAGAAGTTTTAGATTGGTAGTAAGTTATTTGCTAGTTTTCAGTATTCATTTGATTGAAACTGATTTTGTCGTAGTGCATGTCTCTGTGCGCACCAGAATTTGGTTAGATTCATGAAAGAAGTGTATCAAATGTGAAGAGTAGGCTTTCGACATTCTTTCCATTCACGACAAGCAGTATTGTTGTGACATGAAACACAATTGGTCAGTATAGCAATTACCGAATCCAACTCATAGACACACTTGCTATCTCAGTACCGATTGGGTAGAATAAGTAGCAGGCGGCGTGAGATAACCATACAACGAAAATTTCACTAAAATCTAGCAGCTTTCATCTATTCGATAAGTGTTTAGAAAGAGATTTTACTCACAATGAGTTGAAGTTAAATGTGCCAAATGCTTCTTATTCATAGTGACCATACTGAACACATGAAAATAATGTAATATACAAGCTCTTCACTGTCGATTTTTAGATCTTATATGGCTTCGGCTGCATTGCTTTCGAAAAAAAGAGCGTTGGTAATCGGTATTGATCAATACGCTGACAAAGCATCCACATTACAGATATGTGTTGTCGATGCTATTGATTTAGGCAAGGCTCTTCGCGACATCAAATTTGAAGTCTCACAAGAAACCAACTGCAGCTACACTAGATTCAAAGAAATGATTGATGATTTCATGAGAAAGATTCAAAATGGCGATTTCATTGTATTTTATTTTGCTGGCCATGGATTACAATCTGACGACAAAAATTATCTTCTATCCTCTGATTATTGTTACGATCATAGCATAGATGAGAAGAGTTATCTGTCGAAAAATGCTGCCAATGCTCAAAATATCTTGCATCAAATAAATGCTAAGAGGCCTCGTTATATCATATTCATACTAGACTGTTGCAGAACTAAACAAATTCGAGGAAATCCCACGTCAAGTTTAGCATCGATGAATCCTACATCTGAAACCCTATTGGTATATTCGTGTGGCGCTGGTCAAGGTGCACTTGACGACGCACAGATTGGTCGAAATAGTATATTCAAACGTCTGATGAAGATTTTGAGTCGCTGCTTATGAAAATTACCTGTGAGGTTCGAGATGCGACAGGTGGCTATCAAGTTCCATACCGCACAAGCTGTCTGACGGAAAAAGTCTTCCTAGTAGAAAAAACAACATCAGGTAACACGCTATCCGCTAACATATTCTCATCCGATCAAAACAGTCGTATGTGTTAGCGTGGGTGTTGATGCGAGTATTTGGGTGGATGAAGCGAACCCTCACACCCACCCACACTCACGCCCTCAAGAAAATATCTTGCTTTCAGCTGATAATGAGTTACAGAGCATTTTCGTGACGAGAATCACCCTCACAAAAACGCTACTTTTAAAATATAAATATTTTTCTTCAGAAAGAACAAAATGTGGATCTCTTCTTATCATTAAACAACCTAGTCAACGTAGTTCTAACAAATTGTGATTGACTTTGAAAAATGTCATATCTATCTGCATGGAAAAAGCACTATATATATATATATATATATATATATATATATATATATATATACAATTACTTGGATAAGCATTAAACTTTTATCTACTATCGGCAAGGCTCTACAAGATAGTTATATTTAATGAATTCAATTTTGAAGTTCAACTGTGCTCACAAAGGTGGACCATTACATGGACAGATCGTCATATTACTTTTTCATTCATCTCATCTTCTAAAAACTCACTTCCCATTATAGACTTGTCATTCTCAAGAGAATTTCTTTCAAAAGAATTTTTCAATATAGAAAGACATTTAGACTTGGTATAATTTCCTTTCCCAGAGAACCGTTTTTGGGGGAATATTCTTACATTTCTAAAATATAATCTATTCAAAGAATTTCGCCCGATACTTTCGAAATTATGATGATGATCTCATATACCACCGGATAAGCTAAGAGTATACTCTCGAGAAATTAGTGCTTTTCACACTTCTTTCCATGTCTTCTTTTCTAATAATATTATCACTTTAGCGATAGATAGAAATCTCCTTTTTTGATTTTACGATGCCTTCCAGGTCATATTTCTGTTAATGCTAAATGGACACAGAATGGTGTGACTATTGCTGGAGGTGACGGAGGTGGGGATGCCACCAATCAACTATACTGCCCTGAAGGTCTCTTCGTTGATGATAATCAAACAGTGGTTATTGCTGACTTCTACAATCATCGTGTCGTTCAATGGAAAAAAGGTAATACGACGAATGGACAAGTTGTTGCTGGTGACAAAGGCCAAGGAAATGGATTAAATCAATTGGATCGACCAAATAATGTATTGGTCGACAAAGAGACGGATAATCTCATTATTTGCGATCCAGCTAATTAACGAGTTGTACGATGGTCTCGTCGTAGTGGCACAACACAAGGAGAAATAATCATCAGCAATATCGACTGTGCGAGATTGACTATGGATGAACAGAGATATCTCTACGTTTCTGACTACAAAAAACATGAAGTAAGACGATATCAATTGAATGGTAAGAATGGCACTGTCGTAGCTGGTGGAAATGGCGCTGGTAGCGGCCTCAATAAATTCGACGAGCCGACTTATCTCTTTGTTGATCGAGAACAGAATATCTACGTGTCAGACTACAACAATCATCGTGTAATGAAATGGAATAAAGGTGCAAAAGAAGGTATTGTAATCGCTGCAGGTCAATACTACGGGAATGCTCCGACTCAATTGTTTTACCCTAACGGAATCTTTGTCGATATGTGGGGTACACTCTATGTAGCAGACCAGGAAAATCATCGTGTAATGCGTTGGACTCAAGGAGCAAAAGAAGGCACTGTAATTATGGGTGGAAACGGCCCAGGAGCAGGAGCAAATCAGTTCAACCTCCTCGGTGGTCTATCTTTCGATCGAGAATGTAATCTTTATATCGCCGATTGGGGTAATAATCGTGTTCAACAATTTTCGATCAAATAAGACTTGTGGATTGTACTTTTTTTGTTCATTTCTTTTTCTATACTTCTACCACGTATTTTACAAAGCATAATTACTAACACTCCAACGTTAGAGTCATTGAAAGCTCTTTCTTGCATAATAACTTTCATTTCAAATATTTAACGATCTCATTCATACCGTTTCAAATTGAAATGTCTGAAAAAAACTTCAAAGTCAATATCTTCCATTTGAAGTATTTGAAAGTCCACTTCACTGACTTCTATCTAGAAAGATCACTGAAGATCTTTCTGGGGTCATACCAGTTGTTTGAGTTTTTTTTCTAAGCCTCCTTTATTGTGTTTCAATCAGAAGGATCACTGAAGATCTTCCCCATTCTGCCATTTCCATTTCAGATATTTGAAAGTCCGATTCATTGTATTACTTCAAAAAGAATCATGAAAGATCCTTTTTGTTCAATATCCCTTATTCCAGATATTTTGAAGCTTCCTTCCTCTCAATCAATCATTAAAGACGCTTAAAGGTCTATTTCAGTCACTACCTTTCAGTTGAGGCATTTGAAAGCACCCTTTATTGCACTTTGCCTACAAGGATCCTTGAAGATCCTTCTTCATGAATACTACTTATGCCAAGTATTACGAACTTTCATTCGTCGCAATTTACCAAGAAAGTCCTTTAAGGATCCTTTTTGATAAAAGTGGATGAATGCTGCTTTTGAATACCTCAAATGGAAGGTAATGAATTAAAAAGACCTTTAAGCGTCGGTCGCAATTGGTTTTCAGGCAAGAGACTTCGAAATACCTGAAATTTATAGTAGTGAACTCGCGATCTCTTCGCGTCTGTTATACTATAGTGAATGATTGTGAAGCAATGCGTGACGTTATTGGCATCAGAGAAGCCGGCTGGTAATTTGTTTTGTTGAGGATGCGACTACCCAAGATGAGGAGGTATAGCGGTGTCAGAAAATCTGCTCAAGATCTCAGGAAGATTGGAACTTCCGGAATTTTTCTAGCTGGAATCGGTCGGATTTCGTTAGTTCCGTCGCTTGTTCCGTTTGTATTCTTTGTGATCACGGGTCGGTTCCGGGAATTTTTCCCAATGGTTATGATCGCAGAAATAGTGCGGAATACTGCTTTCACCTTCCGGATAGTTTTCCGATCGGTTCCGAAACTAGAAATCATCGACCTGGGATGCATATCAACAATGAATAAAGGTATAGTTTTAATGCAACACGTCTCTTGTAAAAGTCTGATTATAAATTTAACTAAACAGTTTTTAATGAGACTGAAAAATCGAACAAATATAATTCTTATATATAAAATTATGACTTGTTTACTTATTAAATAATATCAAGTGTTTCTCGCTGACTAACAGGATATAAGTTTAAACAAAATCTATTATTTTATTCGAGTAATGAGAAACGAATCCACGTTGAAGCAAAAGTTTTGACTATTGCAGATTTATTTCAAATAAATTATACTGAAAATTTCCATGAAAATCCGTTTTTATTAATTTTAATATTATATAATTACAACGGAACAGAGAAATTGTTATATACAGAAATAGATCTTCCCCTATTGAGACAGTTAGAAAGAAAACACTTTCCTAAAGAGAACAATGGATAGATGCACCAACTTGAGAATAAATCGTTTCATCAATGTTCGACTATTACCAGTATCTGCTGCCAGCGTCATTATGAAAGGCGTACGCATCTATCATAGATGAATAATGTAGTGAGCTAATGTGCGACATTTTCTAATCGTCTCTTATAAATAAAATTTTTATACTTAAAGCGAATAATGCAGTTAAAATAAGTGATCTACAAACTAAAACGAAGCTCTTGTGGTCGACATAAAAAATAAAAACAGCCCAAGCGCAACAATTAATTTCAATATAGATAAACTGGTTTTCAATTTATTGGTTTTTTATTTTACTCTACAATTCTAATAAGTACTGTTGACCGTCCGTCTCATTATTCAAGAGGAATAGAAATGATAACTTCGACGTTTCGTTTTGAATTAGTATTTTCGATACAAATGAATTAAATAGTCATTAGAATTATTTTCTTTTAGTGGAGCATGTTAGCGTTAGTGTCGGATCACAGTAACGCTAAACGATGATTAAGTTGCGCCTTCCAGTTTAATTGACTTATGACAACTTCCCGGGTAGCAGGAGGTATGGGTTTGATTACCTCATCTTTTCCATCGTTCTGTCACATAACATTACTGACACTGCTTGTCTCTTTCGTTTTATATATATTAGAACCTAACAGAGCATGACATAAAAATATTCTTCAGATGGTTGTACTTTTTGGCTAATATATTGCACTCATGGCGATAATGGTGTGCCTCAGTGACGAAATAATATCGCTTTTCGTGTATACACGTCATCACTAGCTCCATTCTTGTTGATAATAATCATCGAACAAAAAGTACATTCTTTTTCTTCTTTTTTCTCGTCCTAGTTCTTTGACATCTATAAATAAAGGAGCGGAAATGAAATGTGTAGTACACAATATTTTACTGCACAACCATGCAAAAGCTCGTCATCGTAATAACATTTGTAAGTTGATTCATGTTTCCATCAGCAAGTATATATATATATATCTTTCTTGTTTTTAGATATGTTTTAGCCTTGCTACGGCTGGTGTGGATCATCTTCGATCAGATCGTGGCCATCGTTTTCCATCGGCTCGTGGCGATCATTTTTCATCGGGCGGTAATATCAATATGTTGGCATCAAAATTGTGTGCCAATAATAGCTTGGCTCAAGCATTTCTTAGCAAAAACCAAGCGGCTTTCACACAATTGAAGTCGAATGGATCATTTGCACAATTTCTCGAAGAGAAAGCACAAGAAGTAGCCTACATTCAAAATAGTCCCAATGTAGCTCTTCTCTCATCGAACTGTACGCAATATTTCAATGGTCTTGCAACTGCACGAAATGCTGACAGGCAAAAAGAACGTCAACAACGGGAATATGAACGTATTGGTGCTAATCTCCTCCGGCAAATCATTCCAACTATTTTTGGCTATGGCAGTCAACGCCACTAAAACATTCTTTATTTTCTGCTTGTCATTTCAACAATAAATCTTATTGAAATGTGAAAAAAATAATTTTTGGGCATGCAATCATCTTGCTTTGATAAAAATACTGAAATAAAATCCAACTATCATAAAACATTGCAGAATCTCTCGTTTGATTTTACATTATGACTGTGTTCTACTCGAGTAGTGATGCTGAATAGATCGTGATCTCCTGGTCGTGCCTTTTTGAACATGTATTATCAGAGAAAAATGTGCGACATCAATTTTGATTGTTTTATTTATTCAAATGCTTTTTTCTACAAAAATTTCTCTCGGCATCGTTGTTGATTAATATTATATTCATGATCAAAAATGGTAAACTACCAAATAACTTCTTCCACCAGTACAACCATAAATCGGCTAAGCATATACTTTCATTTTCTTTTCTCTAGTATGTTGTCTACGAGTATGACTCATTTTACCATTCAGTACGCCTAATATTCAGAATATTTATTGTACGGAATAACTATTTGCAAACATAATGTTCTAAATGGGTCTTCTGAAACCAGTGCATAATAATCTATCATATCGTAAGCGAGAAGAGATAAAATAAAAGATTTAGTATGTAGTTATATGATTCGTTCAATTATTTCTACTGAACACAACCAGATGTATGAATTAATCGTCTAAATGAGACCATCATGCTGTGTATTCTCCTTGTCTTTCATCCATCAACTGGTATTTGTCCGATGGTAATACCCTCGTCCGTCGTTTCAATTATTTTTCTAAATGCTATCTGTAGATGATTTTAATTTCTTTTCTGTTGCAAACGCATCGTGACAGAGTGAATATGGTAGTAACTTAGCGTGAAGAACAAACGAAAGACAACAATAATATTTGCATGTGAAATATTCTTTTGAGCATTTTGTTATCATTTTAAATAAAAAACATCGATTGCTTGAATAACATCTAATGTAGCTGTAAGTACAAGAATAATTTTTTCCACTCTATCTTTTTCAATGTTCTCATTGTTCTGCCCTAAATAATAAAAAAAGACACAAGATAGTACTAGGTGTATTGAACAATTTTATACTCTAAATAAAATCCGCTTTCTGGGAAACGAATAGGAGGTTTCCAGGTTTGTCACTGTATGAAACCTTTTATAGGTTTTCGTGAAAGGGTTTCCGGGCATTCGGAAACTTATCTGAAACCCTCACAAGCAATCAAGAAAGCTGACAATCCCGAAAGCCTAATGAAAGTTTCCGATACTTCGGGAACTTTTTAAACGTTTTCCACAGCTACAAACCAGCAACTGATTCACATAGCTATCCGACATTGCCAAATTCGTTTTTCGTTATGAATAGTATTTTAACAACAGACATAAAAGGGTTCTGAAATCATCCAATATTTAAATCTTAGAAAGTCATAAACTCTGTATGCTCTCCTAAGCCAAACTTCTGCGATCAGTCGAGACCTGAGAATATACTACTTCACCAGAATTCATTTCATAAATCAAAATGGAAAAAACAATACATATAATTGAATAAAACAAACTCACTATTTCGTCTTGTGTTCGGAAATTTAAATGCAGAAAAAGAATATATTTTATTGAAGAAAATAACTCACTATATTATAGTTCTTTTCATGAATTTTAATGAAGAAAAATATATTATGAAACAAAATGAACATAGAAATCTCTACTTTGACATATTGAGAAATATTTCTGTTTCAAATAAAAATAAGATCGAAATTGGTAATTTATTTGCAAACTTTGAGCTATCCTGTGAAATCATAAAGTAAATTCAATCGTAATGTATGAATACTAAAATATTTGAAACATGTGTTTCAATAGACGATCCTAAATAAAAACTTATTTTTTAACCGTAAGGATTGCAGATGAAGGAATAAAAAGGTAAAAAATGGTAATCACCTGATCATAAGATAACTTCGGTGGACACTTTAGACAGCTTACCTCTAAAATCTTTAACTATATTGTTATTCGAATTAACCTTATGTAGCCAAACCGAAGCATCGTCCACATTCCATATTAATGGATCAAAGTACTCATCTATAATGATAAAAAGCACAATCCTTAGTAATTTTCATGTACTGTGTGCATGCATTTTAGTTTGGATAACAATATCAGAGTGCTTGACGAACTATCTTTAATATTTTCTGGTCGCGAGTCGAATTGAAAAAATATTTGTGTTTTGGCAGATGTGTCAAACATGAGTCGTCTTATGTAAATAAAAATAAATCAAGAGAAAATAAGAGATTGTCATAAATTATTGGAATTTCATTGATTAATTTGCACGTGAAAGAAAAGTATTTTTGATTTGTTTACGAAAGCATAGAGACATTTTGGAGAAGTTGAATAAATTGTCCAATTAAATAAGAATATACATGAAAAAGATTAAAACAAAATACGCCAATTTTTTTCATCAATAGATGTTAGTTTACTCTTCCTAGGAGCTCAATGTGAATTATCTGAGCTAAGAAAACGAAATATTTCAAACTATATGACAACTAGCAGTCACTCATCATTCAGATCGCAATTCATTTTACAACAGTTGAAGTAAGCAATACGAGACCGCATATGCATGATAAAATATCTCTTTATTAGAGAGGCACTTGACTTTATTTTTATTCAATATTACAAGAGAAGCATACGAAGAGAGAACAAGAACAAAAAGAAAATAGAGTAATACTCTGATTCATCACTGTTCATGTGGATACATCTCAAGTATTTTTTCTGCTTCTAAACATAGAATGCTTGTTTCAGTCTACGTATTAGAAATGGATATTTCCTCATTATTTCAATCATACGGCTGTGTATAAAGCTTTTACGTAAATTAGTTAAAGGAATCTTTAAACATAAGAGCTTCCCTTGTTTCACTCCAATGTTTTCCAAGACAGTATAATATTTGTATAATGAACAAAACTTAATTTAACAAAAAGGAGAAAAAAGAAATTTCTTGAATGGAATGGCGATTTAGTGCAGTGCACCAAGTTTCAAAGCAAAAATCGTCATTTAGTATATTTTACAACTTTACACAACTAGGAATGTAAAAATAATACAAGATTTTCTTGGAAAAGAAGAAGAATTTTGCATCTCAAGAATTCTAAAAGTTTTAGAAAACAATTTCGCGTACACTGAAGACGATTTCTGTTATAGCTACCGGGGTAAATCCTAAAAATGTAAATTATACGATGGCAACGTGAAAATGAGAAAGATGAAATTTTAATACTAGTTCGGTTTTCCACTATGATTAATGGGTTTCCAAGACAATTTTTCGGAAACTCATAGGTTTCTAATAATTTAGAAATCTCGAAGGGTTTTCGCGATTATGTTCGAAATCCAAGCCAGTATTCTGGCATACGCTTTCAACGTTTTCGATCCCCGGAAACGCAAAAGGTTCCCAAAAAAAAATTTTCCTCGAAAACCGATAGGTTGCTGACGGCAAGCTATAAGTTTCCGAGAAGATTTTCAAAACCAGAACGGTTTCCGAGGATAATTTTTGGGTTTCGAAAATTGTTTGATGGTTTCTGAGAATACTGGTAAAGGTTTCCTATCTGAATTCTCAAAAACCGAAGCGTTTCGGGGGGACTCGGAAATCTATAAGGTGATTTCAAAAACTCACCTTAGAGCCGAAAACCTTTCCGGATACGTTTGTGAGCTTCCGAAAGTGTATGCGAAGAGATTTCGGTTTCTGGGGAAACGCTGTTTATTTAGAGTGTAGCCGCCCCCACTCGTTAAAAATCTGTTGTGATTATAAGACTACAGGCTTTGCAGACTTATAGAATAGTTACACGTCGTCTCGATCAGAAAAGTTGGAACAATTTTCGAAAATACAAGATATTTTGAATTTCTTCCGACGACAGATCGTGAAATAATTGCTCAACTCGTGTGAAATATTTGAAATTTATATTTGCCGTGATTATCTTAATAAGTTTAGTTTTTTCTGATTGCGAGTGGATTTGATTCAAAAGATGTAAATCTCAGATTTATCTATCTGCGAACGTGCACCCGAGAATGAATATATGCATTCTAGACGGGAAACACACCAAAACAAAATGAACCCACAGGAGGTTGAGCAAAAATTAGGACAAATCTAACCGAAATCAAGTTAGAAAAGTCAGTTTGATGTAACCTCTGATCTACTCGTGCAAATTCATGTTAAATATCTAGTTGATAGACCAATTTGAGTTGTACCTTTACTAAAATGGGGTATTTCGATCATAGCTCTCCTGAATGGGTCTTTTACTTCACTCCGTTATCAAGCTGATCGAAAGCTTTCGGAGCATAGCTTGAACTGTAGCAGATCGGATGCACTTAACTTTACTATTGCCATAGAGTATTAGTGAGTACTGCTTAAATGCCGTTTTCTTGGTGACACTTCCAAGCATGTTTTCTATTTATGCTCGGTTATCAATTGTGTTTTCTATGAAAATCATTTCGAAGCTATAAAATGTGAAATCTCTCAGCTAGATAGTTTAGGATAACTACGTTCTACATGACTAAATCCTTTCAGTAGAGAGTTGGTGATGCTAACGTCGCGCTACCTTGTGGATTAGCAATGGATGAACAGAGATATCTCTACGTCTCTGACACCGAAAAACATGAAGTAGGACGATATCAATTGGGTGAGAAGAATAGCACTCTCGTACATTCTAAAAACTTGAGTATTTTTGTTACTATCGGAAACTTTTTTAATGTTTCCGAGCAATTAAAAAACCCTTTTCTAGGCTTCCGAGCTGTTCGAAAACCCTAAAAGAGTTTCCGATAGTAACAAATACCCAGTTTTGTTTTAGAGTGTAGCTGGAGGAAATGGCTCAGGTGATGGTCTCAACCAACTCAACCGACCGAAATATCTCTTTATTGATCGACAACAGAATGTCTACGTCTCAGACCGCAACAATCAACGTGTAATGAAATGGAATAAAGGTACAAAAGAAGGTCGTGTGCTCGCTGTAGGTCAAGGCGAAGGGACTACTCTGACACAATTGTATTATGCTTATGGAATCTTCGTTGATATGTTGGGTACATTCTATGCAGCAGACTCGTTAAATCATCGTCTACTACATTGGACTCAAGGACACAAGGAGCAAGGCAATTTAATTGTGGGTGGAAATGGTCGAGGAACAGGAGCAAATCAGTTCAACTGCCTCCGTGATTTGTCTTTCGATCTTCATGGTAATCTCTATGTTGTTGATGAAAATAATCACCGTGTTCAACAATTTCCTATCAAATAGAATTATGAATTGTTTTTCTTGTCTTTTATTTTTCTACTTTGAAATAAATGAACAAAAAAAGAAATAAATTCACTTAGATCAAAAATAAAAGCCCAGCGAAAAATAAACTAAAATTTAGACGTGAATGTGAACAAGAGTAATAGTCGAAAAACGTAGTCTTCAGCATGTGAGAGCGAGACTGTAGTTGTGTAGAAAAGCTGTGACCTGCACTGACATGCATAAGTATATAATGAACATCGTCTTTCCGTAATTGTGTGTTATTTCTCGATCAAAAAATTTCAATAGTGATAGTAATATTGATGACGCTATATTTTTTACCAAAGCCCAGGTCGACCGTTTTGACCACCGGATACTGTAGGAGCCGGCTAGTACTTCTCGGCCTGGGAGATTCAGTCATAACCAATATAGTGTACGCCAGGGTGTGGATATGCGTGTGAGCTATGATGGCGGTCTCCGCTTAATACACATGTATACCCCCCTGTGACGGCACCGTGTGTCGTCACGTGTTTTGTTTCTGATCTTGCGCGAGTTTCTCGCTATGTTCTTTTTCTCTCTCACTCGTTTGTATCGTTGTTTCTTTGTCACGTTTTAAACTGAATTAATTATGTTTGGCGCGTCTCGTCAGTTGATACATTTTGTTCCTTCCATGAGAGTGTAAAAATTATTACAAGAGCTTAAAAGATATATAATACATTATTTGATTCTATCTAAAATATCAACTATTAAAAGAATCATTATTCATTTTTAATCTTAATAATTGTATGATATTAACATTGCCGGAATTAACT